GAATGAAATCCTGCTGACCAGTTCAATCTGCTTTGACACTCTGTGACGGCTTAAAGCTGGTCAAAAATACAGCCGCCCATTAAGCTATAAAGAGGATGACCAACTTCAGGGTTAACCTGCCCATTCATCGCAGCTGAGTCTTCCACCATTTAAGCCGGATTTTACCTTAGGACAAGATCATGTCCTAATCAATATAGCCCAGCAGCAGAGGTCCCGGGATCAATACCAATGAAACATTTGCATCCACTTTTATCAATCAATAATCACAAGAAGTGTCACATCTTCTGCTACCAGTTTGGTGTAACCATGTTTTCAGTTTTACAAGGACATGTCAGACTAATATGGTGGCTTCTTGCTGAGAAGATCACTCACTGTCAGCTGACACTCAACGCTGCCCACTGAGGCAGCCATCTGCTCTGAAAACTTTCCCCTGGGAGACAAGGGCAGTCCAGTAAGACCAGTACACCCATCAACTGACTGGTGCGGTCCTCAGCCCCTACAAATGTCCATGATCACGTCGTCATTATCATCCAAGATGAGAAACTGTCGCTGTTTATTACAAAATCCCACACGCAGCCATGTCTTCACCATGACCATAAAACAAATATAAAGGACAGTTCAGTTACTGCGGTCATGAAGACTCAGATACAGGAATACATGTTTTTTTGACACAGAAAAATTTCCATAACTGGTAATCCTTAAAGAGGAGTTTGCTTTAAAGGGGGCATATGTTTGATCTAGCTTGGCTGATTGCTAGAATGCATGAAAACACAATTTCAATCCGTGTTTAACGCTTCCCTAAATCAAAATCCATGTGCTTCATAAGGCAAAGTGACTAAATTCGGTGATAACAAATGTCCAGATAAATGTCCAACTTTGCAAAAGTGAAGCACTGTCACGGTTGCATTAGCCAGAGTCCAGGCTGTAGTGAAACAGAGAGACGGTCTTCAAGGTGACGTGGAAAAGTAGCACACGATGAAACTAAAATGTTTCTAACTGGCAGGACTATCCCATATGTTCATTTCAAGGTACTTGGCCAAGCTGGTGGCTAAGATAGATAGATAGATAGATAGATAGAGAACTTTATTAATCCCCGAGGGGAAATTCGGTTGTTATAGTAGCCGATACAAGCAATACAAGAGAAATACAAAAAATAGATAAAATATACAAGACTATACAATGCTATACAAGACTATACAAGATAATGAATGAATATGAGTACTTAAATAGTATGTGCTAAGATGAAAGAATCTGTAAGTGTAGATGTGCAAAGGAGAAATGTGCAAAAGTGATAAAAATATTGCTGCTTGCTAGTTATAGCAAACATTAGCTGGGGACAGTAGCAAGTTAAAAAAAAAACAGTATTTTTAACTTTAAGTATTTTTGCTGCATGCTTAGAAAGTCCTCTTTATAATCTTTTTCACTATCCTCTTTATTCGCCCTCATCAACCAACAAAGTCCTTCAGCTTGTTGATTAGAATGCAGTTAGCATCCATTACTGGAATTAGCAGTGTTTCATTGGATTGATGCAACTCTCATTTGAACTCCCACTATACATACTGTAATTGTAATGTACATATTCACAGTTTTATGCAATATGAAACCACCAACCAAGCTGTAAAAACAGCAGTAAAGGGTCATCATCACTTGTTGAATATTGTGTTTCATTATTACCTAAAGAAGAAACTTGATTTCTGTGAAGTCAACAGCAGATGACATGCACATGACTCCTCTCAGAGTAGTGAGTTTGTCCACCAAATGCTGAGATAAGGGATGAAGACATCCTGTGATCAAATGAGACAATAAACTGGTTACTCTAAAGACTGAAGCAGAAACACAAATTTGGCAACGATGATTGTTTATGACTGCAGTTTTAGCAAAGCTGTCACGTGGGAAAGAGATAACTAATCCTGCAAGTTTGCAATGCTTAGTACTCAACCGTTAAATTTTGCATGTGATCCCAGTGTTAAAAACTTCACTTTCAGTCAGAAAAGAATGATGCATGCACAAGAGCATAAGAGGTGGCCTGTCAAAATGAACCTAATACCACATTTTCAAAGGGGTCCCTACATGCAAAATGTACTAAATTAAACAGCTTTAAAAAAGTATCTATAGAGACTGTTTTTTGTATTCAAAACCACCTACCTTGCATTGAGGAAACCATAAAAAAAAGGTAAGCAATGGCTGCCGCAACTTTATTTGGTTTGTGTTTATGCAGTGTACAAGTCTGCAGGGGCTCTAGCACTGCCTGAATTGCTTCATATTTACTTCAGGTTTGATTTAAGAGTATAAAAATGCCATCGTGGCTAAAAATTATTCATTGAGAATCATGATAGCATGCAAATCTCAATCTGTGTTTGAGCCAGTTAGAAAGCAGTCACCTGAAGTTCAAAACCTGAATTTCAGCACGCACAGTGAAGTAAAGTATAAAGCAATAGCCCTGTGAATTAGTAACTGATTATGGTCACAATCTGAGTAACCGTCTTACACCCAGATATCCACACCAAACATTTAGGAAGCCACATAGCTGACAGTTTAGTCCCCTAAACAATGTGGTTACATGGCAGCCACTGCCACAACTTCTGAATAATCATGTTACAACAGCTGGATATTATCTTTAAAATCCTTTATTGTAAACAATCAAAGCTCGTGTCAAGAAAGCCTGGTTACTTGTTTGGGCTTTTTTGTTTAATGCACTGAAATTTATAAAGAGAGAGACCACCCACTGAGCATTTTTTGGTCTAAAAGAGGTCTAATAGAAGTCTAAATGTAGCCTGGATGACTGGTCTAAAATCAGGCAACAACAGGTCTAAAAATGAAAGTTTTTTAGATGTCAAGATTTAGACCAAGTTTAGACTAAATCTAAATCTGGGGTATACCTATACTACACTGCACTTTAATAATGGGTCAAAGTGCAACGTCTAAACTCCATCTAAATAAAAATACAGAATCTAGACGGTTGAAATTAGGTCTAAAAAAAACCTAGATGTCTAATAGCCGTCTGTTACTCAGTGGGCGAAATCATCTACACTTGATTTTTTATGTTGGATTTGAATTAAAAAGTGTGTATTCCTGTTATACATCCAAAATGTGCTGCTTGATTATTCAGTCTATATTAAATGAGGACAAGAGTCTGAAAGTGGGTTAAAGTCATGAAAGTTTTTTTTTACAGTTAAAAGCCTCTGACACTTTAAACGACACAGAATGGAGGGCTGAGGCTGGGCAATCCTTTGTGTTCAAGGGACTTTTGATTTAGTTAAACAGCTAACCTTTCACACCCAAACAATGGACTCCTTTTCTGAAAGTTAGCACTTGACAAGTGAGGAGCAAATTGTACGTGTGTGTGTGTGTGTGTGTGTGTGTGTGTGTGTGTGTGTGTGTGTGTGTGTGTGTGTGTGTGTGTGTGTGTGTGTGTGTGTGCATACAAGTGTGCGTGAGTGCACGTGACCTATGTCTAACAATCACCCTGACACATACCACCCTTTCTTCCCTCAAATAAAAATAGGAGTAAAAGGAGAAGAGAAATCATCCACTGTTGAAGTACTTTACGAGATCCTCCTCTCAACAGAAAAAGGACCAAGTATCCATGGGAATCTTAGCACGTTAGGGAGGCCTTTTTTCCTCTCCTCTCATCCGCTCTCCCCCGCTGCACCCATGGACCAATGCAATTGTTTATTTTCTCCTATTGAGGCTGCTCCATTCAGTGGCTCTCACATTTACTCTGCTCAATTGGAGTGAGACAGCACTTATTCGAGGAGAGGAATGTAGCGTTCCACTGACAGAGCAGCAAGAATGCAGAAGAAATAATTAAACGTTTTTAAAGGAAAAGGTACAGCTGAGCTGAGAATGACGCCAAACTAGACAATGCCCGCTGACAGGATTTTCTGCTGTAATGAGTATATCCACACATCACCTTGACATCACCAAAGTAAAGGAGTGTTTGAATAAGACACAACGCTAGAATGTGGAGCAGGGATCCTTGGAGGTCATTCATTCACCAAGCTTTCTTAACTAAAAACTACCCACAGAACAATGAGGCGTTCTCCAGCCTCTAGTAAGATGCTGCCTGTCCTCCAAACCCCTCTCCGCAAGGCCCCAGCACAAATAACCATTTTCACACGCTTTCTTTTTTCCTCTGACATCATTATCTGAGTGCTGTGATAATTTTGCACCTTTGTGTTCCAGGTCGTATATCAAATAAGTGATTACTATTTTTTTATTTTTGATCCGAAGAAAACTGGAATAATAATAAGTCATATTTCAAAACAATTACAGGAACATCAGGAAATGAGAATTTTGGAAAAATAATTTTAAAAATACATTTTCCATGATCAAACTCAAAAAAGATTAACTTACTTACTCTTATTTTTTGCATGTATTTATTGTATTTATTTATTAATTTGGATCCCAATCAGCTACTACCTAAGTAGCAGCTACTGTTCCTGTTCTCCACAAGGAGATAGCAAACATTCGTACAGACTTTAACGATAAAAGTCCAAACAGGAGAAATATAGAAGATGTTAAAATCATAACTAAAACAAGAACTATGATGACATTACATTTCTAATTACAATAGACACCAATAAAGGCCAGGATAAATGTACCCGTAATCAAAATCTCATTGGCACATATTGTATGTTCTCACAGCCTAGTCTAGGTGTTCTGTTTCTTATTTCAGTGAGTCTGGGTCATTCAATATTGGCATACCTTCTTTTTAAACACGTTTACTGGTTAATCTTGTAATGACAGACGGAAGACTATTCCATATCGTCATACCTCTGAACATAACAGCACGCTGTCCAGATTTAGTATTGGTGAGTGAAAGTATGAAATGTAAATGCAGTCTTTCAAGCCTCCATTATTTCTAACGGTTCAACGCTTGTAAAAATGAGAAATCCACTATCTAAAGTTATCAGGACGTTTTGTAAGATCATCAAAAAATGATTTATAATACAGATTTGTCCAAATTCTAAAAAGCACATGGATAAATACACCCAATACTTGGTTTAGGCTCCTTTATCATAAATTACTACATCAGTGTGGGGTGGCATGGAGGCAACTCAATGTGACTTGACTGATTGACTTCAAGGATTTGAGGCTGGGGATGGCAGTCAGAGGTACTGGGGAAAAGGACAAGAGCACAGAGCAAGTCCACAGGTGAAATAACTAGTAATCATTCAATAACTCACAAGACAGGCGTTTAAAGAGCCAAGCTACTGCAGGGGAAGCAGGGACATTCTGGCAGCTTGCTGTTAACCAGGGAGGTGTACTGACTGAGCTGCTGCTGACTGGGACTTGATGGGCTGCAGCTGTGCCTGTTGAAAGCCTCAGACCAGGCAAACCACACCTCCAACCTCTGAAACAAACAGAACAAGAAAAACATCAACACCACAAAGCCAGCATAACCAACCCTAACTAACGACGAACAAACACGAAACTGAGAGGAAGAACAAAAATAAACATCGTGAGTCCAAACCCTGATATCTTGGTTGCCTCTAGAGTGACCTTTGGCTTGGATGTTTCTCATCTTCCTCTTCTTCTTGTCAGTACTCCACAGACTCTTTATGGGGTTAAAATCAATCAGCCAATCAAGCAAATTATCCTATCATTGTCAGCAAACCATTTGGCAGGAGTTTTGGCACTGTGGGCAGGTGCTAGGTCCTGCTGTAAAGGAAATCTGGCATTGCTATAAAGACTGTCAGCAGATGGAGCATAAAGATCTATCTACTGTAAGTGCTTAGGAGGTAGCTACATTGACTTCGGGCTTGACAAAACACAGTGAACCAACAACAGGACATGATTAGCCACCCCAAATCACCACAGACTGCAGGAACTTCTCATCGGACTTTGAATATTCTTCCTTAAGCCTTATTCTTGCTTAAGCCAGAAAAGTGACCTTGGACCTCCTCAGCCTGTGCCTCTGATGTTGTGTCTGTCAAGTCAGTAATCTTCCCTGTGATTGTGGCTGTATGTTCTGAAATAGTCTATTAAAATAACATACTAACCCACTGTGCAATAGACAGTCTATTTTTTTAAGACTTATTTTCAACCGTCTAGATTCTATATTTTTATTTAACTTAGACGTTGCACTTTAACCCATTATTTGATTACTATTTATTTCAAAATACAACTGTGAGTGGCATATCTGATCACCGAGTACTTAACCAAAATAATCACGATAGCTGTTGAGAAATATATAATGTAGTATAGATATTGCCCAGATTTAGATTTAGTCTAAACTTGGTCTAAATCTAGATGTCTTAATAACTTTAATTTTTAGACCTGTGGTAGCCTGATTTTAGACCAGTCATCTAGGCTACATTTAAACATCTATTAGACCTCTTTTAGACCAAAAAATGCCCAGTCGGAAATAGTATTTAGCATCAAAGTACTTTTAAGCTTGAATTTCCAAATGCTAGAAAATATCAGTTTTTTGAATCAAGTGGTATCATACAGTAAACAGGTGGTTAATAAGAATCTCCTCAAAATGAGCAAGACCCTGATGAAAAGCAGGTTGTTTCTGGTACATCTTAAAACATCTGAGGCAAATGTCACAGTTTCCACCATGGTTGATAACGCTTTTGGTTTTTGAAGAAATCAGCAACTCACAGAAGCGCTGACCAGCTCTGCTGCCATAGTCTGGATTGCAGGACAGAATTTTGCTTCACTTTTCTCTGTCAGAGATGGTTCGGACCCTCTAGCATGTCAGGCTGCTGTCTCCATCATGCTAAAGCTAAGGCTTTTACCACAGTGTCAACAAGCAGATGTGTGCGAAACAGATTAATTTGATACGATCATGTTTTTGCTGGTATCATGAGTCATGAGTAGGGAAAGATTTATAGCCCTACAGTACAGTGTGAGTTTTAAAATGCAGGTTAGTCGTGATTTTGGCACATGAATTCACCAATTTAAATATGATTATGTTTCTTTCATTAAAGAAGTCTGTTACACAAATAGTTTATTTTCTTTGTAAGTGAGATGCAAAAGTTGTGATTACTCAAAAGCATTTCTTCTAAGACATGCAAGAAAACAACACACCTGTGGAATCTTTCAACTGAATTAAGGAGCGGTGAAATAATTTCAGAAAACATTCACTTATATGTCATGTAGTCAGTGGTAAAGCAAACCAAACCATAGCATCTGAACATCCCACCATGAGCCTGGCATCAGAAGGAATATGGTTCTGCTTTTGTTAATATATGGTGAATGTGTCCTCAAGACCTATTTTGTAATCACAACAGCCGACTTATCACCTTGTTTCATCTTGTCAGATAGAGCAGAAAGGTGCTGAGGTGACAAAGGAATGAAGAAATGAGTCAAAACAAACTATCTAAGCAGACAGCGGAACTTGGTTTGTGGTCAACAAAAAGCTGTTGGTGCACACTGTAGCAGTATCAGGCAGTTTCAGGTTGCTTCACTGTGGTTTCTTTGTTTGTTATGTATTAACGTATGTTATGGGCAGTTGTTGGAGAAATCCAGTTTCATCCATGCATCGAAATCTGGGTCTTCTCTTAACTGAAATGTGAATCTGCAATATTTTCTACTCTGCTTGTTGTGTGTATTGTATGAAGCCCTTTTCACATAAGTTGCATTATTCTTTATGAGAACACTGAAACTCAATTTTAGGAGCATAAAAGTTGAGTTGATCACAGGGGCAGTATGATTATAACTCTACAAAATCAAGACACAAAATACCTAAAGATTTCAGATTTCCGGTTTATAAACTGCATGGTTGTAGGAAGAGCACTTCAACATTTAGATACATTGGCCTCTAAATGAGGAACCATTACAGTACAGGACTTTATCACTTGTTCAACATACAAAATCTTCTGTGCCAAGACTCCCAGATCAGACTGGCAAAAACTCCCCAAAGACACAAGACAATTACAAGAAAATATTTTTAAAGAAAGAAAAGGGGTTACCCTCTTTCACTAGTGCAAAGACTAGTGCTCTTGAGGCTGTTTTGTTGTTGATGGTGGTGACATGCAGTTTGGCAGTGTCTCAGGAAGTGGGCTAACAGTGGTAAACATTTCAGTTTCTAGAACTTGGTGTGGCGTAGAACTGCTAGACCTACGGCTGTGCAGATTAAAAAGGATACACAATTAAATATAACATTAATAAGTAATAAATGTAAAAACCCTTGACTCATTGTGCACAGCTGAAAACAGTAGACTTACTGACCATTCAGTCACAGTTTCTTTATAAAGTAATCCACTACTGATGATGTGGAAGTGTAAACAAAAAGTTACCTGCTCAAATATCAAACCTTAACAAATATGGAACATCTTTATTCTTATTTCAGTGGGTCTCTTGCTACTATTTACACATTTAAATCCTTATTTTTAAGTATGCATGTTTTGTGCTTATGCCGGAGGACAAATGGAGAACATTTGACTTTTGGCAAACTCACAACAAATCAAATATGATGAAGCTCATTTTTAAAAACATGCATATCGCATGAAGACTGTTTCTTAATAGAGTCTGATATCAAAATATGAATTGACAATACATTTGTATTTCAGTCAAGTTTGGAAAGTGGTGAAAGAGTTATAAGAGTCTTCTCTTTATATGTGTTGAATAGAAAGAGATTTAAACTCGGAAAAATAAAAGCACCAAAAATAGTCATGGATTTTCTTTTTCTTTATTTTGAAAAAAAGTCTGACTGCAAAACTCTGTCTTCTCTGTACAGACACATGTCTCATGAATGAGAAGCTCTCCACTTTCTTTTACAGATCCAGAGCAGTGACATTTGCCCCAACAGCTTAGTCAATTCAAATCCAGGCAGGTTCTCTGCCACATGAAAAACTGAAGTAAATCTAATATGCCCCCTACTGGTCAGACTGATATAACACACTAATATGTTTTTATCATCCAAATCAAATCATGGACAGGTATTAATTCAACATATCATTAGACATCATGTGGGCAAAGATCAGTTTTCCTGTCATATGTGTGAAATATTTGAACATTTAGACTTGTGATCAGGACTTGATCGATAGATTTATCATCTTTGCAGCTGTCTGCACCTATTTGACCCCAGTGTCAAGCCAAATCTGTTCTGCACCCCTCTACATGAATATTATAATTTATTAACAAGCTCCAACTTTAACCAAATCAACAATTAACTGCAGAAAAATCATTTTGGTTGGAGATTTATTTTTCTTTTGATGAGATATAAAACCTAGAGTGAATTGAATACTTTGTCGTCTCTTACAAGCTGAAATGATTATTATAACTGGAACATAAATTAACAGGATGCAAGAGTTTTTATTGGCTATTCCACATGATTACAATGTGAGTTTTTAATGTTACTACTTTCAGTGTTTTCATGCAAAAGGTTGTATTGTGTTTTTATGAAGGCAACTGAACCCGTAATGCTGTAAGGTAAGTAATATCAGAGCTCCTAAGTAAAGCCTAAATATCCTCAACACATGACTGCATTCGAAACTTATAAATAATAGGAAGTATCCGCCTCATTTGAATGCGACATTCAAAAGGCAATGAGAAATGGGAGGAAGTTATTTCAGACAGCAGCACCACAGACGAGTGCAGAAAAGAAGTTTCAATTTTTTTCATTGGTTTCCACAAGAAATAAGAAGTTGCCAACCGCCCACCTAACCACCAGCTGCACTGCAGAGCCTCTGTGTGATCTCTCAGCATGGAAGACTACACTGATTACTCTTTACAAGATGACTACTACGCCGACCTAGAGAACTTCACTGACAATGGGTCATTTCCTTTCTTTTTTGGCTGTCCCAGCTCTCCCCTTCAGGGCTCTAACATCTTCCTCCCTGTTCTTTATTACCTCATATTTTTCACTGGCTTTTTTGGCAACCTCCTCGTCATCGCTGTCGTGGGTAGCAAAGGCGAGAATAGAAGAAGACTTGTGGACACATTTGTTGTCAATCTGGCTCTGGCTGACCTGGTCTTCGTCCTCACTCTACCCCTGTGGGCTGTCTCTTCCAGCCAGAATGGGTACTGGAACTTTGGGGCCATCGGGAACCTGCTATGCAAGCTGAGCAGCTACATTATTGCTGTGAATCGCTTCTCCAATATCTTCTTCCTCACATGCATGAGTTTTGACCGCTACCTGGCTGTAGTGAGGCTGATGGATTCAAGGTACCTGAGGAGCAACAGGTGCATTCGGGCCACCTGTGCTGCTGTCTGGATTGGCTCCCTGCTGCTTGGTGTCCCGTCATGGGTGTACAGGAGTGTTCAGCAGTTCAGTGAAGGTCAATCCTGTGTGGAAGACAACAGCTCCTATTTTTTCCTCAGTCTAAACCTGGCAACGTCATTACTGACTTTTGTCTTCCCAGTATTCATCATTGTGATCTGCTACGGCACCATCATCATGCGTCTCAACAAACACTGCGCTGCTGCTGCCAATCCTCGGGCCGCAGCCCGCCGCAGACACTCTGTGAAAATGGTCCTCTCTATCATCATAGCTTTTGTGGTATCCTGGCTCCCTTTCAACGTCTTCAAAATCATCATTGTTGTGTCCCAGTTCTCTGATGTTGATCTGAATTGTGATGCTCAAGCATGGCAAAGAAACGGGCTCCTCATCTCTTGCTGCCTGGCGTTCTTCAACAGCTGTGTCAATCCAGCCATCTACTTTTTTCTGGACCATCACTTCAGACAGCGGGCCCAGGTCCTGTACAAGACTTGGAGAAGTAAGACAAAGTCAATGCAGAGCTACAACTCCTCTGCGTCATTTACTAATGTGGGCACCACAGAGAGTTTTGGAGCAACTAGAGGGAGATCTCAAATTCAGACATCTGAGTGAGACCCACATCTTCTCTTTTATTTTGAGGCTGGAGTTTAACACCACATAGTATCCAGATGTGTAAAGTAAGAGCAGATCCATGAAAAAAAACACATAGTAGGGCTTTAATTTTTGCGTAGGGAGTAACAAAAAAAGACTTCTAGATCAAAATTTCTACATAAACTAAAAAAAGCTATTGATGTTCTTTACTGTGTAGATGCAGTTAAGGTGACTTGTGTTTTTGTCTGCATGAAAAAAACTTAACATTTGACCTGTAAGAGTTAAATAAAGCATTAATTTATTGTACCAATGTATAACAAGTAATATGTGCATTATATTTTGTATTTTCGTTTAAACACTCAATGTTGTTGTCCTTTGACAGTCTTTTGTGGCATTAATTCTGTTTCAGAGAATGTTTTCACTGTTTTGATACATTTTCTTTCTTTAAAATAAAAGCTGTGATAAATGTTCGGGATTTAAGTCATTTTGGTTGTTTCATCTTATCTGCATATTCCAGCTTAATGTAGGGTGGTGGCTCAAAACAAACCTCACCATAACTGAAAGCTGGAAGTCTGCATTGCACTGTATGTGCACTTTTTAATGGAACAGTACAATGACTCCAAAGTTTTAATCATGTTCCCTCATGTCTATTTTTTTAATATGTGCGTGCTTATATAACAACTAGGTTTTAAAGCGGAACATTAAATTACATTTATAAAGATACAAAATCAATACAGTTATGACCAGCATTTGTTTAATTTTGTAATAATGCACAACATGTATATCATTATAAGTTACTTGCCTGGACATTTTGATCAGAATAATAAAGTGAAGTAGATGCATTTTGAATTTGAATTTCCCTTTGGGGATCAATAAAGTTCTTCATATCTTATCCTTTCTCATCTTATATGGCAATCTGTGTAGTATGTTAGATGTGTCAGCTCTTACTTTCCTGTAACTTGTGGGCTCTGCACCAAACTGACCGAAGAAACCTGGTTTAACACGTCTACACTGAACCAGCAACACATGCATTTATGTAAATTGAATATTTTTAAAGGTTATCAGGAAATTAAAGATAATAATTTTTTTTTTAAAAGCAAGTTTTATAGTTTATTTTGTCTTTTTTGGGTCATCACAAAGTGCTCACTAAGAAAATAAACTTCTCTTTAACAATCAAGGAACAAAATGTGAGGTTGACCTGTGCTCCCTGTAAAAAGCGCAGATCGCAGAAGGTTGCGTAAGGCAAAAAACAAAGTGCACATATCCAAACAAGAAAACAAAAATGTAACTTCTGGATTTTAGAAAAACAAGAGCAACCTAAGAGGATGTGAGCAAAACCAAAAATAAACTTCAACAACAACAACAAAAAACATCAATAAATAACCAAATAAAACTGGCAGCAACACTGGCTCTGACTTTGGGTCTGATAAAAGTTACTCATGTGTGAAGAAACCATCAAAGGTTGGTTGACTTTTTTCTGACCTGCCCTCCTCCCCTCTCAGTATTTCAGTTCTTGAAAGTTCAAATGTTCACACTCGCCAACTTGTTTTTCACTTCTGTGTCTACCGAGAATAGAGTGGTGGTTTTACATTGAAGAAGCGGGTCAGAGTGCCAAGCTGCGGGTGCAGGTGGTCAGGAGTTTCCAGATACTCATTTCAGTTCAACACACCTTTTCTCACAGCTCTGTTTCCTCACTATCGCAGAGCAATCCACTGATTTAAGTGGCAAGTGAATAGATGATAGACATTATTTTAATGACTGGAAACATCTTTTGTTTAAACAATGCACTGGTATACTGCACAGTGAACAGAGATTCAGAACAGAAAATATCAAAGTGTTTTAAACTAACTTTATTCGAAGTCCATCTCTATTTGCTGCAGAGTGTATTGTGAAAAATATGTCAAATGATTAAAATCTGCCATTTTAAAGGAGTTTAGGCCAATCAAGATCATCAGCAGTATCAGATACTATTTCTTTGGGGTTAGTTTTTAATGAATATAACGTCTGACGCGGGGTACTTTTTTGACAAATTAAATTGGCTAGCTGTAGAAACAGCCTTTGCTGACATTTTAAAAGCTTTACATGTACAAGTGAAAAAAGCAGGGGGGATTTTTTAAGGGGAAAACACTACTAAAGGGCCCAACCATCCAAAACACGTCCCATTGTACACAGGGGGCACTAAATTTGACACAAACCTACTCCCTGACAGGAGCTTTCGGGAATTTGGTCTGAGGTTTTTTACAAAAATAAGGTACACTTGTGTAAACTGATGATAATATTTTCAGGTTATATTTCAGGAGTTAACTGTTCAGTGACCTATAATAAATATTATCATCGGTGTCTGTATTGCAAAGGAAAAGAGGGTTAATAAAAAGGAGTTTTTTTAACATTTTTTTTTTGTAATTGTGTGGGGTAGTAGCTTATGAGCTTATGAGCTTAGCTTTTTTATTGCTTATTTTACTTTATTCCATAAGGTGATATCACAATTTTACGATGCGTCAAAACTTGAAAAGCTTGCAGGTAAAATAATGATAATAATAATAATAATAATAATAATAATAATAATAATAATAATAATAATAATAATAATAATAAAGATTAAAGAGCTGGTAAACTGTCTGTCTGTCTGGCACAGACAAAGTGAAAGGTGAGACCTTGGCACCGACTCCGATCAGATCTTATCAGTATGTGAGTTTTCAGCCAGTTTCTGTCTCTGTCAGTGCTGAGAACAAGCTGCCAATGTTCTCACAATTGCTACTGCAGCTTTTTCCACTGTGTCATACACCTCTCAATATGTAAACTCAACTTCAACTTACATTATGATTCAAGAAACTTCCCATGACAACTTCTAAGAAAAAAAAAACTGATGTTAAAGAAAACTAAATCAACATTTATTTAACAGTTTAACCACATGTAGGAGACAAATGAGTGACATTGACTAGATTAATGAATAACATTGATAACAGTTTAGGAGTTTTACGTGTTTTCTGGTCTTTAAGGTCAGTTTTAGATCTTTTGCAGGAATAACAAAAACACATCATATTCTTTGCAAATTTTAACATGATTTTTTTACAACATTCATTCATATTTGAGCATATCTTTTGGGCTTATGTAAAATTTGAAATGCTTTGGACATAGCCTCTTTTAGCTGGTGTTCAGCAGCAAACTTTCAGGGAATATTGTTAAGTAAATAAATTATCCAGTGACAATGGCCTAACTCGTCTTTACCACTCCCTTAATTACTTTATATTTAGCATTTACGATATTGATGTAGCTGTCACTTTCTTAATTGTTGATTGAATTGAGAAAGACATGAAAGCTTGTTGAAATTACTTTTACAACTACCAGACTGCCAGTTCAGACACTAAACAACAAGTGTTTGTTTGTAACATGTAGGCTATAGGGATGTGATTCAGCATTATTTTATAGTATGATATGTTGTGCAATACGCTAAATCCTGATAAAACAATTAAACAACTAAATAGCTCTACTTCTTAGAGCGCTGTTACAGTACAAAAAAGTCCCAGAAAAAAAAACATCAGCCTACAGATTGCCCTACATTTACAGACAAAGATTTGATCTGTAAGAAGTCAACAGATATGTACTTTTCTGGTGATATTCTGAGAAAAGTGGACATCTTTATACCTTTTACAACATGTGGATGAATGACTTCTTTGTTTGCCCCCACAAGGTTTCAGGGTTCGTCTTATGATGGTTGAGCAGGCTTTAATAAAGTGACAAAAGAGGTTCCTGTTTCTTGGTATGTGCTGACACTTACTCATTTCAGAGCATTTTTCTATTATAAAAGTCATCAAAAGTGGATAAGGACTGACTGCCTGGGAAATATAAACATTAAAGCTTCTGTGTTTTTTATGCTCTAATAAAATATGCTTCAGTCTTAAAAAACAAAGTGATGAATTAAAAAACTTGTTTTGCTCTCAGATCTAAGCTTCAACTGTCACACAACTGTCTTTTGTGGTTTTTGTTTTATCGGGTTTGTCATGTGATTGCAAACTTCCTTAAATTTCACAGCCACCAAAGCTTCCCATGGAAATGTGCTTTACTTCTTAAAAATCTATACATAAATTTCTTTATACAAGTCAACACATACCTTTTGAGTTTCCTATTTCCCGTGATTCAGACACACTCATTCCTGTAACAATACAACAAACTTTGCTTAGATTGGCAAAAGTTAGGATGTGGAATAACAACGAGTGACTTGTTTTGCAGAAAATCTACTTTTGGACTCATCATGAGGAACATCCTTTTTTTAATTTTCAGGTTAATGATTTAGGCTATTCAAATAAAAAGATCAACCCACAACCACACTTGTGTGATCATAATATGACTACTGCTGGAAAAAACAAGCGTCACTCAGTTTCAATATTTCTAATAAGAAAAGGTTTTAATTTGTTTTTTAATTTATCATACAAAGTCAATGCCATAAAGTTACAATAGTCTGTACTCCATAATAAAACTTTTTTTTTTTTTTTTTTTTTTTTAGAATGTTTTATCTATTGTGGACACAAAGGGTGTATATAAGTATGGATTTTGATTTAAGAAAATTAAAGTTCTGTTTTTGACGATAAGATCTTACATTTGGGTCCACTTTAATTTAAAATTGCCCCTAAAATGCCTTTTTTTTTTACTGATTTTTTTTGGTAAAAGCTAGCTTTATTTCTATTTTCATTTGTGAATTTGTATTCATTTATTTATTTTGCTATTTGTCTTTCAAAAATATGGTACAAACCAACTTTTCTGCCATTCATGGTATCATGATAGTATCATTTTCAGCCCTTAAGTTGGACCAACCTAAACACGACTGCATGTTGCTGTTGCACTATTTAAAAATTGACTCCTACTTTGACATTAAATGTGAATTTACCGTCTTTTTGATGACAAATGTTCAATGAATGACACATAAATCTACCAAAAGATCACTGGTCACTTGAACGTAGGTAACTTTTATTACTGGTCGCTAGGCTACGTAAAAACAGGGCGTCATATGGTTAAAGGGTGCGTAAGGCAATGCTGCCGCCCAGTGGCTAAAAGAATAGGACTGTATGACTTAAGAGAGACTATAACTGCATATTCACGGTTCATCACAAAGGAGAGTTGAGGGTTTTTTGTGTGTTGAAATAGGTTTAAAAAAAAATCATCATTCTGAGTTGTCTGCCCGTAAACCACCCACGCTGTAGCGGCAATGTGAATAATGTGTGCGGCGTTCATGAACACCTTGTAAGCTCGTTATTTCTATATTTTTAAGGATGTATATGTTGATAAAATGGCTACTAGCTATTCTATTTACAATTTATGACAATAATTGAAAAAATGTTCTCATGAATGATAGATTGTTGTGCTGTAAAATGTTTAATTTCGGCAGGAAAACACCATTTGTGGGGGAGCAAAGTGATGCAAGGTCACTCGATTCTATTGTGTAATAAATAGTATCTTGGTTGTTTTAACCTCGTTATGATACGATGCTATCTATTTTCACTGCTTCACTCGGTATGCATGCCTACTCAGACTAAATGAGTCCGACAGTGTGTCCGTTACCATGGTAAATATGTTGTGTTTCGGGGTTGCCCGATATTTCCTACCGCACCTGAAGGCAACACTGCATTGCCTTACTTTCTCTGGACTGAGTTAGGAGCCTCTCCGACAACATCACCGTTGGGGAGCAGCCCCCTATTTTAATGTTCATATTGTTATTGAACAATTGTCCAGGCCTCGGAGACGTAACAAGAGGACTTGTTTTTGCTCATATCAGCTTGTTCGCAAACATAATAAGACAGGAGCTTCCAGCTCAAATCTGGGAGACGGTGGAGGAGCCAATGGAGAGCAGACTGTATGGATGCAGATGAGATGAGATGCTAGCTGGCTAACTAGCTACCGAGGTAAGAGCCCAAAGTTCTGGGATAATTTAGACTAACTTTGCAGGCGTCTACACAATGGGTACACAATTTAATGCTGCTAGAAATTATGTTTTTTTAAAAGAGTATGTTTTGGGGGAGATTCTTGAAGGTTTTGAGAAGGTAGTCAACCAGAGGGATATCACAAACTTTGAGAAAATCTTTACAGTCGAGGCCCAGCAGCTCTGCGAGTGAGGGAAGGCAACAGATTAATAAATACCCAAAGACTTTTTCATCTTTTGTAGTAACTCTTTTAATTTAATCTGGTAAATTAGTCAACTTTAGTTAAATTTACAAATGCCTTTCCAAAGTTACTTAAAGGTAAATGTAGTAGTTTATATTGTGAACCTTCTGTTGTAGATTTCACATGTGTTTTTAGCTTTGAAAAGGAGGAAAACCACTGAACAAATAGTAAACATAATACTGAAGTCTTAGTTTATTTCCCACGTTTCTTTCCCTTCCCATTCAGCAGTTCTTCGTGCTGCGTTCAGGTTCCACATTGTATTTATGGATGTGCCTGTGGTGTGCCATAAACTGTGTTGTGATATGAGAAGTTATTAGCTTGCAACATCCTCTTTCAGCCGAAATGCACAGAAGAGTTTTGCTGTGAGGAAGAACTAAACTACACTGTTTGATACACACCTAGAAAGTACTAGAAATCCACTCAATAGTTTTTAGTACAATCTGTGAAAGCTCTCTCAAATTGAAGTAGTTCCATGAGTTGGATTGTGATCCCTGCGCATTGAAGTATTTCTGCTGTCTACACATTCCTGACCATTGACCCAGAGGACAAGAGGACAGCAGTAGTTTAACCCCGAAACCCCCCTGACCTGCCAGCAGGGCAGTAATTACAAAAACTGCCCTGAAGCCAAACTTCATTCAAACACCCAAAAAGTCCTAGTGGAGGTTTGAAAGCATTCAGGGAGGACACACCTCTGCAGTTTACATCTGAAAACTTGAGTTGAATATTAGGGTCCGACTAAAAGGTTTTTTTTTGGGGCCGATTATTAGGGGGGGGGATTCAATTACTGATTAATCGGCTGATGTTTCAAATTTTTTATGAAGTTACAAAAAAAACATATATGCTGTAGATATCTACAATATACTATATACTGTAGGCTACTGCTCTTCACGCCGACAGGAAGACTGACTGATCAAACTTGGACCAGAAAAGCTTTTTTTTTTTTTTGAATGTATTTTTAAGTCAGTTACATCATTCTCTTAAGTGGCCCTTTGAGTGCATCTCAGTGAAATAGCACATATGTGTTTAATCTTCGTCACCCTCAATGATATTTAAAGGATTTAGTGTGTTTAGAAAAGACTTTGATTTATGTGCTGCTTACTTGTCTAACGCAATGATCCACATCAAACACTCAGGCTCCACATGCTCGGTCATTTAAGTCACATGTAGTGATTTTCACATCCTCAGGAGCCTAAATTAGAGCCTTCAGGCAATATGACGCTTGGAACTGCATGAATGTAGGCTCATGGGAGGGAACCCAACCACTGTGAGGCTTGCTTTGTTTGCATTTTAAAGCTTTTGGATTTGTAGCACATTAGTGTAACTTTATAGCCTTGTTTTTATGACAGCAGCTAGATCATTATGGCTAAAGGATCTAGGTACTAGTTGAAAACCCAAGCTGCCAAAAATCGAGGAAAAATGTGTCTTCTCTTGGCAGCTGATGGCTCCTCACACAGCAGCAGTAGTCTAGCTGTACATTATAAAAAGGACTCAAGAATATGTAAAGAATTTGTTTAGCCAGCTGCTGTGTAGCCCACACAAAGCCCTCTCTCTGTCCCCCTGGGTCTGCTGGTTTATATAAACTGACCATGACATTCACCAACTGTCTTCTGAGATTCTGGACAATGTCTGTGTTGTGGATGAGTTTGCTTAGAAGTTGTCCAGGATTACTTTAAACATTGCCTTAGCTTCAAAGTGCTTTTAGCTGCCGTAGCACTGTTGTATAACCTTTATTTGTAGTTAGTTTCCCATGGTCAGAGAAGATATCTGCTCCTCTGCATGAGCACATTTTCCTTTTATCTGATGAAGGATATCGGACTGCTTGGTATGCATCACGTTTACAAAAGACACTTTCCTCCTCTGCTGTTACATTAGCATACAGGAGCTGGAACTAATACACCCTCACTCAGTTATCAGTGTATCATCTGTAGGGGTGGGAATCACTAGTGGCCCCACGATACAATATTATCATGATACTTGGGCCACAATACGATATTATTGCAATTTTTAACATTTTGCAATACAGTGAGTATTGCGATACAATATATTGCAATTCATACAACTTTTTCAACTGTTTAGCTACTTTAGAATTTGTCTTTCCTTTATGTTTGTCTTATTTACGCTGTATTTTATTTTCATGTAGCACATCTTGCATACCTTTTGTATATTTGTTGTACTAACTTTCTCCTGCTCTATGATGTCACCTCTGCCAACCTCACTGGACAAACAGTTGATTTTATTTTTCCATTATCAAAATTTTGACTTTGTATTAGTAATTAATTTGAAAAATCAATACTCGGTAAATGAGACGATACGATATATCACCAGACAAAATATTGCGATACTATGATGAATCGATTTTTTTCTCCCACTCCTAATCATCTGCATATGGCTAAAACTCATCTGTTTTCACCACCAATTCCTGCTGTCATGAACATTATTTAGTGAAGTTTCTGTAGAAACTATTTCAAATACATCTTGACTCAGGTCTATGGCCCCTTTTCTCTTGTTTTTTTGTGGTGCTGTTTATTAATGTAGCCCATCTTCACTCATATCACTACATGAAAAAATATTATGCACATGCATCACTAAGAATAAAGAAACCCATACAAAGTATGTCTTTTTATATCAGATTACACCAGGTCAGGCTTCCTTCTAAAAATTGTGGAGAAAACTGAGTTTATAAGTAGGGATGGGAATTGATAGGATTTTAGCAATATCAATGCCATTATCGATTCAATTCTTTAACAATTCCCTTATCAATGCCTTTCTTTGATTTGTAAAAAAAAATAGACTATAGGTTTTCACCATTAACTCAATTTATAAGTATGCAGGTTGAACCTCACCCATGTTTTGTTGACTGCCTCATTACAGAGTAACAGCTTTAAACCTATACCATGGCCTCTTATTATTTCTTTAGATTGCATTCTTGGGTTCTCTCTCTGGCAGAAATTGTTCGTTGAAGAGAGGAGGCTTGCTAGAGCCCAATATGTAACAATGACCCGGAATGTAACAATAACATGATGTAAATGTAATAACTGGTCAATAATGTAACTAAAGTGTTGAGCCCAAAATGTAATGAAATAAAATGTCACAAACCCATGTGTAATAACTGATATGGTGAGTGGAAGCTCAAATGTACTTTACAGTAAGCTGCTGGTGCCTTCATTTGTAGTCTCAGTCTGTCAATTGTAAACCAAAAAAACACATCAAATGCAAAAGATATTTGGTATTTGCATTCCATGTGAATGCCAACAGAGAGGCACCTGTGAACCTAAAAGTAGAACTTCGTTCATCAAATATCTGCTGCCTTGTTTTATCACTGGGGCTGCTGCTTTCTTGGTGCCGTGTCATCTGAGAGCTGATTCTTGAGTGTCTGGGAATTGCCAAACCTTTTTTTTCCCAGAGTGCAACAGCACCAACATTCCTGGGAAGCCAACATGAATATTAGGATTTGAAGTGAATGTGAGCCATGCAGTCACAGAGCAGGTGCTGCCTCTGTGTCTCTGTAAATCATGCAGGCTGTCCCACCACCAAAAAGTTAGCTTCATTTTTAGTGCTGGAAAAATGTTGGACTGGTTTAAGTTTTCTGTGAAAGGAAAGAAAAAGGTGAAGTTACGAAAGTTATTTACAAATCTAGGTTCGCTCTTTACTGTACATGATTGCTTTTTCAGTTTTACTTGAGATGAATGACCAGGAGGTGGCAGCAGGAATGCATTGAACTGATATTTGATCTTTGTACCATCAGAGGTGTCTTTCATTGAGTTTGTAGTTGGAAGAAACCAGTGATGCTAAGATTGCAACAGAGTCATGGACAATCAGTTTTGTAGACATGTGTATGTCAAGTTTTTGTATTTGTATTTATAAGTAAACAGTCTGATGTGCTCTGCTCACATTCATTTGATTTCACTCTCTGAATGTGCTGACTCTAATTGCAGCTAGTGTACTCAAATACTTTCACAAATATACTTTTTTGCCCCATAAAATTACCAAACATTGTGAAAAACAGCCAATCTGAAGTAACCAAGGGAAGTGTTCTGAAATAAAGTTTTCAAAAAGAGCTAAAATTACAAAAAAAAAAAGAGGAGAAATTTTGAATCCACAAAAATGTTTGCATATGCAAATAAATGCCCCCAAATTTGCACAATTAGCTAAACATGTACCTAGGACATGTTCTGACAACCCACCAATTGACCAATCAGCTGTAAAATAGATGTTGGCCGCATACTTTCGTCATAGTTTTTATGGCACTTTTATGAAGTAACATATCAGTCATGTTGGCAGCTCCTCTCTTTAGCTCACTGATAAAAGGACACAGTTAAGCGTAATTTCTCAGTCTTGTCATTGTTGACACAGTTTTAGTGTCAGACGGTGACGCTGAGTTATATGATCCTGACTCAAGTGTTCGGCTCTCTGTTTGTGGCCACTCCCCTTCAGCAGGCAGCACTTTGTCAGAGCCTTTCTCTGTCATTCATGTCCAGACTCTCAACAGCTTCAGATTCCTACAGCGCTGAGGGAAAACTTTCAACTCTTTTTGGATTTGTCACTTTTTGAATTTCTCTCAAAGTAAGTCACTTTTTCAGTTTCCCAGTGAGCGGTGTTTCATGTGTTTATTTCTGATATTTTAATTGCTTTATCTGGCTGAATTCAGCTTAATGTGAAATAGTCGACATTATATCTTGCTGGTAACTTAAACATAGACATTCAGACTTTTTTATAAACTTTATGCAAATGTAGAGTGGCTGTTTTGCCTTAATATAAAAATGAAAAACAATTGAAGGTTAAGTGCTGTCAGTCCTTGAGTTTTGTTTATCATTAAAAGTTTCTCAGCCCCTTCAGGGAGAACCAAGTCTTCTCCTGTTTTTTTTATGTGTGTTTTAAACATCTGAACCAACAAGTGTATTTAAACTAAACTAGTTTGGGGCAAAATAATCTATTCTACAATAATGCACATTCACTGTGAGTTCATTTATTTCTGCAGTTTTTGTTCCTTACCTTTCAACTCCCTCTTTTATCAGTTTGTGTGTGGGAGGGTTGAGATTTTGCTGATTTTCAGGGAATTCCAGGTATTAGCACACATGGAACCGCAGGGTGGGAATCAGGAAACCGAAAACTGACAAAGGCGAATGATGGGAAATATCAGCTTCAAAGTTCCGAGGCTCTGTAGGTCTGTTTTGTGGGATTAAAAGAATAATTTTAAAACAGTTTTAAGCACTATGAAATCATGAAGTTCAGAAAATGTTGATTTACAGAATAAGTTAGATGATCAATACTGGCGAAACTAACAACAGAAATCTGCAGCTGTTTTGATATTTGCAGAGGTCATTGATCAAAGAAATAGATCATTTAAACCTTTCAAATGTTTTCTCAGGTTTTGATTTTGCTGTAACAGAAATACTTTTAGGTTTTTGACTACTAGACCAAAAGAAAACTACTTGAAGTTTCAAATCAGACTGTGTAGAACATGTTTTGGGTATCTTTTGATACTTTCACATTGTTAATACATACAAAAAATGTGTTTTTATTTCTCTTGTTGCAGTCTGTAAGTGCTAATTTCTGGAGCTTCAACATTTCTGACTTGTAAGTGGTGGGATCCACTGAACCTACTAAAAATGATTATGCTTGAGTTGCACACATTAACAAACTTACACTTTAGTGGTAATGTGTTCTTTGTAGAAACATATAACTCCTTTTTTTAGCAGTTTAGCAAAAGTCTTTCCTCCAAAGCTTGTGCATGTTTGTTTTTCAGCACTGAAGGGTTGTTTGCCTGAGCTGCACATTAACTGTTCTCGCCTTAATTTTGCAAGCACAGCAGCAAATTATCTGAGAGTTAAGGGTGTGAAGGCTCCAGTCACAGTCATATGAGCTGAGTGGAGCATGTATCATGCTCGGGATGACCATGATGAGGTGATTCTTGTTGATCCCTGTATTCATGAATGTATGGCAACAACATCAACAAATAACAGCTCTTGTATGTTGCTGCTAATGACTTCAGCTCATGTCGTCATTCCTCCAGACAATGGCTGCTTGGATTCTGCTTCTACTGCTAGCAGAGAAAACCTCCCCTCACTGTGTCAGGGTGCCATCAGAGCGACATTCCTGTGATCTCTGAGTTAATGATCAAACCGAAAAGTTTCACAGTTCTTATTTTACATGGCTCATATACATATATGGCCCTGCTAATGCATCCTGAAACTCTTACCTGCAGCAACTCCATTATGACGATCATATGACATCAGAGGCCAACAAACAGGCCGACAGGAACAGACAGGAAACACCTCAGACTTAGTAACTTGTATGTGTGCTCATGCCATGGGAGACTGTGACTACACCTGGTTATACTGTCACACCTGAATCACTACAGCAACAGGTCACATGATAGAGTCATGGGCTTTCTTCAAGATCAGCGTTAATGCTGTTTAGATTTGGGTTTATTTTTGGAATTAGACTGATTATCATCCGTAGCATAATGACTACTTGCGTGTAATCCCGATTAATAACATAAAGGGTGTTTTTATTTTTCGCAGAGTTTGAACACAGAGCTTTTTTTCTTTGCATTTAATTTCCGACACATAGAGAGTCATTTCTTCCTCAGCCCAAAGTGTGTCATACTGAACACACTGTAAACTTCAGATAAACAGCTTAGGCTCTTTAATAGGATTTTGTATTTCCACATTACATAGCACACTGTGACCTGTGACATCCACCTTCAGCCTTGGACCTTGAACCAATATCTGATTCTGCCTCAAATAGATACTTGGTGACTCATACTTGGGGCTAATTTTTGACTTTTGGTGGATTATCTGTGTCGGTATTTGTTTGACCTATTGCTGATAAAATGTGTTCAATGAAAAGTCACTTTGGCTACGCTGGCAGAGTGTCTTTCAATCTGAATCTGACTTCCCTCTCTACTTTGTTTCACCTAATGTCCTCCTCTCAACACTTTCTGATTGACAGAACTGTATGATGATACTGCACTGAAGGTTCAACTGTTTATTCTTGTATAGATGTTGAATGTTTCAGTTTTTATTTAATAGTTGATCAAAGTATGAATTAAACCAAAGTATTGTATTGGAGTTAGTAATACTCGAAAGTCTGAATTTTGTTGGAAAGTTTTTAATATTTACTGTAGTACTGATTAAACCCAATCAGTGTTAAATTTTGCTTTTTTAATTAAATAGGAAAAAAAGTGTTTTTTTATGAGGAAGTTTGCACTTTTTTGTCAGGAATCATTTTAAAAAACCACGTCTAGACAACGCCACATATGACCGCCCCCCCTTCTCTAATCCCGGTTGTTACTGGAATTGGTGCTAAAACTGAAACCGTACTTTACAGGAAATGGTGATCATCCACTGAAGAACAGCAAGAGTTAGCCAACTTATTTACATGGAGTTCAACGGAGAGATCAGTGACACCGACAGCGGCATCATTCTCCACTCAGGTAAAAATTTTCTTCTCACTTCACTTCAAGCGTGCAGCTCTAAAAGTCACAAAAATGTTTGTGTTCATTGATGTTGTGTTCCAGTACTAAAGCTAAATAACATTTGTTAGTGAACACCCTTTTATTTGTCTCAGCAATGACAGCTTATAGAGGTGACATAGTTGATGCAGTCATTTATAATCTGTGTTGTTTCATGACTCTCAGTCTTGATTGGACACCATCGTGAGACCCAGAGTACCTGAAATCTATCTGGACTGCAGATTGTCTTTGCTTGGTTGCCCAAGTGTATCGAAAGGACAAAAGAGCAGCTTTGGTGAATGGTTTAATTAATGAGGAAACAAAGTGGATTTACAGAAAAGTGGAGTTTCTCATACTTCAGAAGTTTTAAGCCATTTATTTTCCGAATGTTTGTTGACTTTCAAGACTCAAAGGGAACCTATTTTCTAAATAGAGATGACTGTCTGCTGGAGGCACAACAATTTTTGCCTTACTCTTAAAGTCCCACTCCGACCGTTTTTTTTTTTTACTACTTAAACTCTTTAAATTGTGATCATGAAGTTTTTACCAAAAATCGTGTTACCTGTGTTGTTTTCAAGGGTTTTTCTTCTGCAGAGCTCCAGTAGATCATTAGCAATTTGCCTCTGAGTTGTTGGCGGAGACAGCGCTGCTCTGCACACTTGTCTTCACGCTAGCTTGCAGCCTTACGTTAGCGGTGTAGTAGAAGTGGCAGGTAACATAGGAGTTATTCAGCTCTCGGACACTAATGTGTTTAGGGGCACGATGATGCTAATGTCATAATTAGCTGTCTTACAAGCATTGCAATACGCTAACGCACACGCTTGTTCCGCGATCGTCCTCTGTATTTCTCGTCTATATGCAGAGTGTGGGCTGCATAGCGGGGCTCCGGGGGTGGAGCTTGGATTGGTTACATATGAAATCTCACTGTTTCTGAACCTGCAGTTTGATTCCTGTAGCATCAGAAAAATGCCATATGAACATAGAAAAAAAACAAGAGAATCATGAATTTCATCGGAGTGGGTCTTTAAAGCAAATCAGGCTCTGTTCTAAACATGAAAGCTTGAAAGAGTTAACCTGATACTGTGAGATACTGCAAACAGTAAGTAAACAGAAACAGACATGTTACAGAGAGCACATTTATCAGATTACAGATGATCTGTAGTTATGGAATCTTGCTCTACGTGTATTTGCAGCTGAGAAAAAAAGTTTTCATAAAAGACTCAGTGTTGGTCTGTCAGCTCTGTGCCTCCATGTGTACTCCAGATTTCATGTATTTGAGGAGGTAACGGCATTTGAACCGAAACAAAGACTTGCATGTTACCATCTTTATTAGGGAGACAAGATGTCATGTGAAAACCTGTCAGGAGATAAAATGTATGTTGTCCATCATTGAAGAAACAGTGTAGGTGATCCAGAGAGGATATAGACATTGATATAGGCCTGTCTGACTCGCAGAGCACACTTGAAGAAAGGATCAAAGTTGATAGACTGGATTCAGACATGATTTCTTTCTTGTCAAAAAGCAGAAGAATAAAGATAGATAAACAACTGTACAAAAATGTAAAGGTAGCCATTGTTATCTTTTGGTTTGGAGATTATTATTTCGAAGCCTCCAGTTTGGGATATTGTTCTTATTTAGCCATCAGTGACCATATTTGGATGTGGGTCAAGATGAGAGGTCACTGTTGTAGTGACAGATGGAGAGATGAATGTGATTGTGCTCAAAGTCTTTGAAAAGACTGTTTCCTTTACCTTCGTTTTTTTTTCTTTATTTTATCCGCTGTCATTACAACCAAACTGTGTCCAAACACTGGACATGGCATTTCTCTGTGGTACAAGCTGCTTGAGTAGCTCAATTGGCTGGCTTGAGTTCTCTATTATGTCGCAGACTGGATGAAGCATAGTCACGTGATTAAACATGGGATAGTGTGTTATTAAAGGGACAGTACATGGCGCACGCAGTATTAACAGGATTTTGAAAAAGTATCCACTGAAATATTTGAAATTATCTGTGGAGGCAGGATTATGTCAGTCAGAGGCTCTGGATGTTGATTTTTAATCATTAATTTGCCGGTCTGGTCCTAGTCCTGTTCCTAGAGCTGGTATTTCATAGAAAAAAAACAACAAAAATCCAGAGAATAGACAGCCTTTTCAAGTCTTTCAGCAAAACAAAAAGGATATGTTTGTTTTTTATGTTGCTTAAAGTAAAATCGATAAATGCCCATCAGAAATGTATTCCCTCACTACACTAACATTTAGGTTTAACAGGAAGGCTTAAGCAGTCTTGTTTTCTCTTCATCCGGCAGTGCCTACTGATTTGTTCAGGCCTTTCTGACATTCTTTGCACCCTAATTGAGCCACGTGACGTCTACTCTATACAATGAAAAGTTAAGGTCCTGAGTGAATGGGGGGATTGTCACTCTGGGACGAGGAATTCTTTGCTCTATTGTGGTGCTGTCACACTTCTTTCCTGTTGCACCTCAGCTGTGTGTGAGTACCTGCAGGGATTCTGTTAATAATCTCTGAAGGTATGTGGCACCCAATGCATGTCGCCTGAAACCACTCCCATGTCCTGCGACTAATCTTAATGTCATTAGTCACCGCAGATACAGACAGCAGCAGTCTAAAACCCGCATTGTGTTTATAGTTACCAAGATTCTGACTCGCACACTCGCATGCCACGAATGAAAACAACTGTAACAGCAACAGGTAGGCTTTGTTGAATGTAGCCATTGTGTTTCCTGTAGAGGTCTTCAGAGTTCATCTGAAAGCAGGTAATTTAGGTCTCCTTCATGATTAGAACCGTGTTTGGGGCGCCATCGTAGGTGCTCCTATTTGAACAGGCCAAAATACAAAACATGACAAATACGTCAATGAGTGACCAAAAAAAGCAAAAGGCTCTTGGTGTGCGAAATGAAGCAAAATGCACTGCTACTGCTGATTTGTGTGAATAGAAATTTGTGTCCATGTGTCTATTTCTGTTTTAGAATAATCAATCAAAATGATTTTTTGTCTGGCAAAAATATTTTAAAATATGTGCTGGATTTGCTGTTTTGCTTCCTCTACCATTATGTAACCTCTGGGACCATGATATATTGAAGAGTTATGGAGTGAAGGTTTAATTGTTACTTTTTTCATTCTAGTTGACATCAATAACTACCATGATATGAAATCACTTGTCAATCTTAAATGTTCCCTGTGACTCTTAAATGAGATATGAAACAGTGCCTTTTGGTTGTCTTTTGCAATACAATAAGCTACTGCACCTGTGAGGTCTTTGTGTCTCTTCAACGTTTTGTCATAAGGCGTTGCGTTAAAGAAAGCGGACTGAATGGTCGGTTCAGCGCGGCGCAGACCCGGAGTAACTCCCCTCTTTATTGGCTAATCATTTAGTCTACCAAAACATGGCAGAATGCCAAACATCGAAACGCATATTGACCATGTTCAATATCGATATCGTATTGAACAAACGATATAGATCATTATCGTTTTATCACCCAGCCCTACCTTTTACTGATTATGATGTGTATCCTGTTAAAATCAAATGTGTCACCGCTATGAGTTTCCCCTCGGAGATCAATAAAGCTCTTCTTATCTTATCTTTCTTTTTTTGGCTCTGGCTACTAATTACCTCCGCCAAGGAGGTTATGTTTTCGGTAGCGTTGGTTTGTTTGTTTGTGAGTTTGTTTGTCTGTTAGCAACTTTACGGAGAAAGTTACAAACGGATTGACCTGAAATTTTCACCAGAGTTGCGTCTCAGCCCCAGGAGGATCCCATTAAATTTTGGTGGTGATCCAGACAAGGTTCTGGATACTGTGATCCAGAACACACAAAAATAAGGGTGTTGTTGGAATTTTCAATGCTGAAAGATAAGAAATGGGCGGCACAGTGGCGTGGATAGGTGGCACAGTGGTGTAGATAAGCGGCACAGTGGTGTAGTGTTTAGCACTGTCGCCACACAACCAGAAGGGACTGGGTTCGAATCCGGGTCAGGGCATTTCTTATTTTAGGAACATTATCAACAGTGAACATACCAGTTTAAACACAAATAAATGTTAATAAAAGACACGTAAAAGTAAAGGTTTTGGTGTGAATCACAATATAAGGGGGGACATGAGCTGCTTGGTGGAGTACTGCGCTCTCTGAGTGCTTTTCTAGTTTTCTTCTTATTCCTGTGTCGTATGTTTGAAACAGAATTTAAATAATGGTTAAATTTAAGAAGCGAGTCCATACGCTTGTGTCCTGTTTTGTCATGCAGGCTCAGACAGTCCAACGACACACACCAAGGATGTGACCACACACACAAGAGCAATGAAGCTCAAACACCGAGATCTCCAAGACCGACTGGAGATCTGCATACTGGAGCTGAAGAAACTCTGCATTCGAGAAGCTGTGAGTACATCAACAGACAAATTACAAACAAGCAATTAAATCACTAATGAGGCTGTTTACAATAGTTAAATAAAAAAAAAACATCACAGAGTGAGTCACATAAAAAAGTAGTTACATAATCAGGTAAACTGAGACTTCATGTTCTGGTCATGTTGCTTTATGTCACACCTACGGTAGGTGATTAAAAAGGCGGGGTAGTTTGATAGCTCTTGTCCTGTAGGTAAACGGATTTACCTGCAGAATAAAGCTTTCTGTACTTGTTTTAGGACACAACTCTACTCTGCTGAACAGGAGTTTGAATAAGATCAAACCTTACAAAAAAAAAAAACTTTGCCTGGTGTACATGGCTTTTCACAAAATAGATTTTTTAATTTGTCTATATTAGCTTGTACGTGGTCTTTCTGCCTGTCTTGGTGACTGAGAATGTGGTTTTTACCATTTAGACACATTTTGAAGTGAAATCACTCCATGCAATGTGGTTTCACTAGATGTTTTTAATGCATCAAATCTTTTAGTGGTTCTGTTGGTCAAACCCTAACCGTAGATTAAAACCCAGTAAGAGATCTTTGTCACACATCAACTCTGCATTTTTAATCTTCTCTGCCTTCTCCCTCCCATTTTTTATTCCCACTGATCAAATTAATCCTAAAAATGCCCCATTAAGTCTTTCGAAACCTGGACTCGTATGTCTTTGAGAGTCTCTCTGTTTGCGTCAGTGCTCCAGGGTGAAATCCCAGGACTGATCATTCTTTCCTGTTGACACTTGGGCTGGGCACTCCTGTTGGGACACGCTCAGGTGAACTAATGGGAGGCCTCTCCCTGCTCTCAGTGACAAAAGAACAAGTAATCTTATTGGCAATACCAAGATTTTAGTCTGTCTTTAGAGGTGACTGGGCAGGAGTGACTCAAAGTAACAGTTTTCATGGAGGTTTTTTTTATGAGGCCAGTCACTGTGTGTTCTCATGCTCTTTCTGTTTTTGGGACTCGGATACTTGATAATACTGAGAACATGATACCCAAGGAATGTGTTGTGAAAGGAAATATCTGCGAATGCAGAATTATGCAAGAGATACCTCGAACCTATGTGCCTCAACATGTGAAGAAGCAGGAACAGATACTTGTAGATCATCTCAAACAGCCACAGACCTGGCAGAATCAACTTTTGAAGATGTGTGCCTTTAATTCAACAACTACACTCAAATGACTTAACAGCCTTTGAAGACATTGTTTTAAAAGATTCACCGTCACCAAGCCATCAATTATCTTCAACAAATAAACTTCAGTGCGTGTCTGCATGTTACTCAGTGCACAGTTTATATTTGGGATGTATTCTTTGTTTTGTAGGAGTTGACTGGCCGGCTGCCGGATGATTACCCTCTGCTGCCTGGCGAGAAACCTCCACAGATTCGCAGACGTATTGGAGCTGCATTTAAACTGGATGAACTAAACATCCCTCAGGGAGAAGAGGTAAAAGCAGCACCTAAAGCCTTTAACTTCACATGAAGACATTTTCTGAAGGATGTTCCAGTACTCACACTGTCACCTGTCTCTTGTTGCCCTACTCTAACTATTCAGGAGTCAGAACTGAGCCTGGTTGATGCTGAGTTGGCGCTTCAGATGAAGATTTATGAAGCGGCTCGAAAGCTTTGCGAGGAGCATCACACGAGCAAAGCTGTCAGGAAGAGCCGCTTACTGCAGCGCAAGAGGGAGGAGAAAAAACTCAAACTGCTGCAAGAGAGGGCCTTTCAGCTGCGCCTGGAGCACGGGCGATCATCACCACTTCCTGCTTTTAATATTGCACAACAAGGTGAGAGGCACTTGGTCAGTCTAGCTTAGGGCTGGTATTCGACTTGAACACTTTTCACAGTTTCTAATCAGGTTGACCTTTCATCTTCTGGTGTTTTTTTTTTTTTTTTAGATCTGGGCACATCTGATGACAGCTCTTTATCTGATTCTGTGGTGCAAGACGAAGGTAAGAATAGCTTTGGCCTCATCCTCACAAGTAGAAATATGTTCCCTCTAATAGTGATGACAATATTTTAAAAACAAAGCCTCATAGTTTAAAAGCAGAACAACTTTTGTCACTGAATGAGTCGACCGTAAAACATGTTGCAATGTAAACGTGACGCCACAGAGTATTGGTCTTGCAGTACTTCTCAATAATGAGATAATAGATAAAACATTTTTGAACTCTTGATGACTTCTTTCAATTTCCATTCTTCTCCAGAAGTTACAAGCCAGTCATCACAGCAGTCATTAGGAGGACTCCTCTGTCCAGCAGAGCCAGATCTCCCACAGCCTCCTCCTGAACCCTCCCACTCCTTTGTAGACGGCCCCTGCATGTCTCCCTCTGCTGCTCCACAGTCCGCGCTGCTGACCCCGAGCCAGTCTCCCCGTCCAAGCCTTGAATCTACTCAGAGTTTGAACTCCAGTCCAGCGTATGACCTGCCTCCCATCCAGCACTCACCATGGACGGAGTCCAGTCTCGACCAACCGTACCAGAAGAGCAAGAAGTCGCGCTCCTCCAGCAGGACAAGGTAACTCAGAGCACCCATCATGACTCCCATCCTGCTCTTCTAGCTTTGGTTTTAGTGTAAGGAAAGAGAGTTTGGGATACTTGGTCGTGGCACTAGAGTAAAGTTAGGGACTGGAAATGAAACAAACTCTCTAAACTGAATCAATGCTGAGTGCACTATTTCCCAGTCAAGGAGGTGCAAACACATGTATAACAGGTGCTTTGGCTGCTTTTGGTTGTGTTTATTGGAATTTATGACAGTGAGGAGCAGGATGAAGACAGTTTTTCTCTCCACTAAAATAGCAGCCTAGATTAGAAAAGGTCCTTTCCAATGAAATCCTCTGGTCCCTGCACTGCAATGTGAAGTTCATGTCAGAGATGTTTGCTGTGCAACACTGCCATCTGGTTTTACACCTGTGTTACTGCAGCTATGAAGAAACCATCACCATAGAGCCATAAATCCTGCTGATTTATACTGGTAGCATGACACAGAGGGAGATTCCAGGTTTTATTGTTCAGTATTTAAATGCTACAATAAAAACTTCCACCTGTAATGACATTAGTTCCTCTTTATCAGTGTAAGGGATTACTTTAAATCCAGCCTCATCCATTTACTCAGCATAATATTTTAAAGAATTTAGATGTTTGCAAAAACTGAAAAATTAAATATATATATATTTCTGTGTTTGTGTGTGTGTGTGTTAGCACTCCAACCAAAACCGAGCTGCTGCCGCCATTGGAGGCCTGCTTACCACCATCTGTGCAACTCTCCCATCTGAGGCTGAGCCGTGCCCAGTCCAACAGCACACCCTCCACACCAGAGATACGTGTTCACAGACAGCTCTCCCTCAGGTGATCAGCTTTTTTTTTCTCAGAAAAACCTTCACTACTCTCATGTCTGCAGCATACCTGAAAATGTCAGTGTTGTCATTTAGCGGCATGTATAATGTTGTAAAATGTAAACATGAGATGTACATATTTCAAAAGTTCAGCCCGTTCATTAAGTAGTCATACTTCATGCTTTCTGTATGTAACTGAATTTCTTGTGAAACACACAGATTATCCAACCCTGAATCTTCGTTTGATAAAGAACGAGGTCGCGTCAGAGGTCCGAGGAGACGACTGACAGACGTCACAATCACTTTACCAGAGACTCTGCCCTCTGCTGTGAACTATGGGAACCTGGCGAACTCGGAGGACAGCAACTCTGAACACTCGTTTACGTCTTACAACAGCTCACCGTGTCAGGAATTTCCCTGCAGTTCGCCCCAGCCTGCATTCCCGCACTCCAGCCCAGTTGGCAGCTATGGTCCTCAAGCCTTCCCACGCACCGGCTTTTACCATAATCCCAGGCACCAGTCTAGCCCTGGTTTTCACAAAGCCTATTACAATGATGAAATGGTCTACCCACCTGATCTGGACCTGCAAAGAAGTTATTACGCCCAGCCTGCTCCTTCTACATCCAGCAGATATGAATATCGGTATAAAGACGCCCCTGTTCCTCACCAGAGAGCGCAGAGGCCTGCTGATATCAGGCTCTCCCCCTCCCCGGCTCAATGGGACCATCCACACTACCGCTCAGCAGGTCTCCCACAGCAAGTAGTGACTGAGCAGCTCAAGTCCTGGCATCGACGCAGTCAGCTCAAAGCCCCAAGGTCCCGCTCTCTTGACCGACAGGGAGCAGTCCGTGTGAAAAACATGGCTGCTCGGGAGTTAAACTGCTATGCGAATCAAAAGTACCATGGGCAGGTAAGCTAACAAAATAATGACACAAGTTTAAATGTTTGGAAAAGCTCCTCCTAAGGCCTTTGATTGATGTTACTTTTAGCTACACAGATAAATCTGGAGCTTCCTCCCCTCTGTCATTCCACTTCACCCCATCTCATTTATGTTTTTGTGCAGTTTCTAAATGCCAGCACATCTTTAGAGGGCCACCTAGGAAGTCATATGGATTTCGTGTCTATGAAAATAATAAACAGAAGAAAAAAAGAGTTTTTCTTTGAATTATTTATTTGTATGTGAATGTGTTCTACAGATTTTCAAGCAGAACTTTGAAATAGTTGTTTTTCTCAGTGATATAGGACAGTGTTTAACGCAACAAAAAAAGCTTCAGTCTTCATGGAAGAGGAATTAGACATTTATTGTTACCAGTATCAGGTGTATATTGTACATCGTTTTTGAGAATTTACAGAAGATACATTTCATCCCACTTAATTCAATGTGTCCCATGCATCGTAACGTCATGTTTCTAAAGTCTTGTCACTTCTTCTGTTTTTAACTCTCAGGTTAATCAAAGACAAGCTCTCCAAAGATCTGCAGATGACTCTCAAACACACTGGCTGGTAGATGATGGCTCCCACTACATGAGTCAAGTATAAACCATGGCTGCCTGTGCTCGAACTGAAAGACTCCAGCTGCTGTGACTGCCAAGAGATAGTAGCCAGGAGGTTGAGTTTTGTCAACTTATAATGCACATAAAGTTTTTAAATCATCAAGTTTACATTATGTTCACATGTCTGCCTGTATGAAGACATACCCAAACCGGATTTTAAGAAGAAAGAAAGAAATTTGAACAATATGGTGCAGTCCGGAACAAACTGCAGCCTTAAGTGTTTTTTTTTTAAGTTCAAACACCTTCCTGACTTAAGTAGGAAGTTTAAAATATTCTTCTGTACTCCTTTCATCTATCCCTGATATTAGCAAATATAGTGTCCAAGGCTGACATCTCCTAGTTATTCAAGACTGTTTAAAAAAAAAAAAAAAACTATTATTTTTATTATTTCACAGAATTGAAATGGCCTCAATTTTCGGTACATGATTATTTGAAATGTCGAGTAGTACAATAAGTCAAACTAGTTGGAGACAGCTGGAGTTCTGACACAGATCTGCACATTTTATTAAGATGAAAACTAATGTGAATCTTTTTATGTATATGTATATACATATTTTTTTATGTAACTAATTGTCATTCTCAAATTTAAGTACAAGTGCATAAGGGTTTATTTCTAGAAGTTCAGATTTAAGGCTGTGACGTAAAGTGCTTTTTGTACCAAACAGTAAAACGTACCCTGCGACCATAAAATCACTGCCCTTTCATTTGTTTGAGGATAAACTCAAACAGGTTATTCTTTTGTATTTAATGAGTGACAGTGTTCAGTCTCCTTCCTTACAAAGGTCTCTGAAGGATTCAAATTCATTGTAAAATAATGTACATTTTCAACATTTTTTACTAATTTTTTTATATATATATATTTTGATTGAGTCACCACTAAAATGAACTGGGGATACTTAGATTTCATTTGTCAACCTCTTCTTGTTTTTATACCTACATGCACAAGGCTGTGCTTATGAACTTGAATGATAATGAAATATTTCTGTTGAAACTAGATAATGATCTAATCATCTTATACCTAGAGTAGCAAATTAAGACAAAAACAGAGTCTTGTTGTTTGGCAGCTATATTTGTGTTCAATTGAGATGAAAATGTATTTAGCCCCAACACAATCTTTAAAAAGGTCTGTGTGCACAGGTGTTTGAGGCGGCTGATCACCACACACTAACCTTTAGAATAGAACCACTGCAACTCTGACTCAACACACGTGCTCGTAACACTGCCATTATTTGTTTAAAATGCAAATCTACTTTGTGCGTCAGATGGTTGATCCTTGAAGGAAAAGAAATGAGAAAACTACTGTTACCAAAGTTGCAGCACACAGAGATTTCTCTCACAGTGATCAAGTTTGTGTAAACTGTCGTGAGAAAGCATGTAATTAGAAAAAGACGAATCTGGTTTTGTAAAATCGAGCAGTAGCAAAGACGTTCTTGCTGAACAGAAACAAAAAAACAATAGTGTTACCCTGTGTGCCTCTTTTTTATTGACATTTTATATTTATCTTATATGTTTAAATAGACTTGATAATGTGTTCTGTTGCTGTAAAAACAATCATGTCCTGTGGAAGAACATAAATAAAAGAATAGCAATCACATTCTTGTCTCTCACATCATTCCCACACTATTGCTAATGTCGACTTTTTTTCACAGATGACATTCTGACATTTTTTATTTTGAAAGCGCAGCTGTTAAAAAGACCGCAATGTTGGCTAAATAATTTTTTTTAGATTTAAGATGCTGATAGTGGGCATGCAAAAGGATACTAGCATCAGCTGATCACTGTGGCTATTTGTCATGCAAGGCAGTCACAATCATCAGTCACACCTGGATTAATCAGTTTATCCAACAATGTAAGACAGGAAATAAAAGAGCTGCCTTAAAATCAGGAAGTAGTGGAGCTGGGCATAGAGCCCATTGATGACATTTTAGCTCGCCCTGAAACTGCAGATCTGAGATAAAACATGAAAACTGCGTTTATGTGCACAATGAATATGACCCAACCGTGTAAATCAAATAGCAAAATAACAGACCACTTTGCTAGATGAATAACCATGATAAATAAGGTATATTTTTAGTTGAGAAAAATGTGTGGCCATGTTTGTCATTCAGTTCTATTTAGGTCAATTTATGCACTTTAATTCAATTTATCCTCTGATTGTTATTATTATTATTTATTTATTTCAGTAAGAAAGCTTCCAGATTACTTTGCTGGCTTTTTTGTTTTTTACTGAGTAAATTTTATATTTTTAGAGAAAAGAGAAAGCTAAGATGTTCTTTGTTACTTGGTTGCACTAATAAAGTGAGGTGCTATACATCTGTGGTTGCATTACCCTATAATCCATTTGTCATATTTTTGAAGTATGTAAGAGGTGATTTCATAGACAGCTATAGACTGCACATCTTTCAATGTAGACTTCCACTGAGAGGAAAGTATTAGACTGCTTAGGAACTAAATTTAGACTGTCATACTAGCTTGTATATCACTAAAAATGTCCTGAAAAATGACCTTGAAATGAATGAGAACCCTTATCTGGGCATGCTCTTTGTGTTGGTGTGCAACTTTCCCAAAATGACTGACTTCTGGCGGGAAATTTTGAAAAAATTATGTGTCTTTTCCTGCCACAGTGATGTCCAGGAGCGGGTTTTTGCCCCATAACCTCTAACCTGCACTTGAGCGACCTGGAGGAGGATGTTGCCAATGAGCAGCAAAAGGGCACAGACGAGTATGACCCTCTCCAAAAGGTCAGATGTCTACCAGAGATGATGCGCACACGATGCAAAGCCACCTACCGTTCAAGGCAGCACATCTCTGTGCACAAGAGGATGGCGGCCACAAAGACAAGGCTAACGCTGAAATAATATATGCGTGCCAAACCTACGAAATGGGGTCTGAAGTTTTGTTTTTTTTTGGCTGATGTACATGGCTACACCATTGACTGCACGTCCATTGACTACACAGGCAGAAACGAAGGAGCTTTAAGGAAGGGGCTCTCTTTTGATGTTGTTTCAGAGCTGGTGAACAAAGAGTACCTGGGGAGTGGTTGTTTACTGCGACAATTTCTACACAAGCCCTCTCCTCTTCCATCATCTGACCCAGCAGGGCTTTGGTCCCTGTGGGAAACTACAGGCAGGACAGAGTTGTTGTCCCAAAAATTAAAGACAATGCCCTGGACACCATGTTGGGCACCAACTGTGTCCACAGGAAGACCAGGAGATGGCCCATGACTGTGTTCCAGCACCTGGTGGGGTATAGCTGCCACAAACAGTTATATCTTGCACAAAGAGATCAGCCTAACACAGCAGAGGAAGCCCATGACATGCCAGGCTTCCCAGGAGGAGCTGTGTGTGAAGCTGCTTGGCGTGCCGCTCTCAGCTCCCCACTCAAGGCCACTTTCCTGTCCCCACCAGCAATTGGCACGCCCTTGAGAAAAGGCAGAGAGTCAGCCAGAGGAGAAAACAATGCGCTCTGTCCAAAAGGAGCTCCCCCTGGATGCGTGAAGAGTGTGGAGTTAGACAGGAACTGCTTCAGGAACTTTCATTCCTAGAAAAAAACGCCAAGTCATATACTTGACTGTTTCAAGCAGTGACAGGTGAAATTATTTTTGTCATCTCAAAACCTTTGGACCTGTACATCTGGACTGTTTATCAAGACAAAACTTTCTAAAAATTCAAATCTGTTTTTTATTTACTTTTTGTTATTTCACACAGTTAAAAGGCTATATAACATGTAAAAATGTGTAACTATAAATAAGGGGAAAGATTTCACACAAAAGACATTTTTGACACATTTACAGCCAAAAAAGAGAATTATGACCAGGAGGACTGTTATTATTACAGGTTTTAAGAAATGTAATGTCATCAATAGAGTAACTTGTAATTACATAACAGGAGAAAAGGTGTGGAGATATCAGTATCAGACACCAGCAAAAATCCAGTGTTGTACATCTCTATTTGGAACCACAGTAAATTTTGCATTGAACTAGAGTTCATGGATAGGGGCACTAAGTAGCTGTTATTAAATTTCCCCTATTTTAGCATCTTTACACTGGCTTCCAGTTAGTTTTAGAATTGATGTTAAGATTTTACTCATTACTTTTAAGGTCGAATTTGCTTCGTAGAATAGGCCCCAGGTGTGCACAGACAGTCACTGCTTTTAAATCATGTCTTAAAACTTATATTTATAGGCTTGCTTTTATGTGATTTTGTCTTCTTTAAAGCCTTTTACTCTTTTTATTCATGTTTCATAATAGTCCCTTTGGTCTCAGGTTTTTGTAATTGGGTTTCTGTGTTGGCTGAGTATCATGGGCTCTTACTATGTCTTTGTTTTAATGACATCTTAGCTCATATGACATTCATCAAAGCTTTTATGTCTCCCACCAATTTTTATTTTATTTTATTTCATTTCTTTATTGCCTGTCATGTGTCATTTCCCCCCAAGTGTTCTCTTATGTTATTTTTATCATTTTTATTCTTTGTTTTCCTGCATGTTAAAGCACTTTGTAAGCTCTTGTTTTTTAAAGTGCTATATAAATAAAGTTATTATCATAATATGAATAAAGTTATAATAATAATAATATTTTATTAGATTGTATTATTATTAGTAGTATTATTATTGTCGTTGTTGTTGTTGTTGTTATTATTATTATAAATAAAATCATTTTAAAGCACTCGATTTATGTGTGATTTTGAATGTCATATGAAATAGTGTGAACGTTACAACTACCCGATCGAAGATGCTTTTCAATGATATTTCCATTTAGAAACGGTCACTTTATTTTGGTGCCGTGTTTATATTGCAGGAAATATTCGCTCTACTGTTGGTGAGTGGCTGCTTTTATTTCGAAAGGGCATCAGCATAAAGACAGAGCCAAACTTCCGGAGAGGATTGTGTTTTTGCACATCGATAAATTATTCACCTTCCTGGTTTGAACGCTACCTTGTCAGGTAACTTTTGTTCATTCAGTAAAACTGTTCAAGTAAACGTCGACTTTGTAAGTTAACCGCCTTCCCTAACATGTTTATTTAGTGTTGCACAGTTTCCTCTCGTTGTTAGCTGGATTTTAAATCGCTGTCTCCTGTTTGACTGGTTCATGTTAGCCACAGCTCAGCGTTAGCTCAGGGCTAACGTTAATGTTAGCGAGCTCATAATATGAGCGCTTTGTGACCTGTTCAATCAGCAACATGTCACTGCTGGTTGACTTTTTATCCACCCCTTTTCCCTGAATGGTACTAGGCTATTTAGACACGAATAATGTTACTAGGGTCGTTTGTATTTTGCGGTTGTTTACATTTTGTACTCGATGTTCCGACGCTGTCCCCATCAACATCCGTCTGCCTGCTTCAGCTCAGTAACTTGGTTAAAGATTTATGGGGGCTGTCAGCCTCATTCATAAAGGCTCATGTCGATAATCTATGTTATATCGTGTTTTATTACCCTAGATATTAATGCAGTCAAATATATGTGGCTGGTGACACAGATGTAAACAAGTTTTGCCGCATCTGTGGTCTTTGTTCTCAAGTTGGCTATGTATGATCGATGAGAGGGATTGGACATGAGACCCAGACAGCTCAGCATCCTCTCGTATTTAGGTGGTAATGATCTTTTAATTGTGCAAAGAAACCTCTCACAATATAGCTATACGTTTTTATAATGATCATTGTTGGTTTAAATGTGTGGGGGGTCTTAGTCGTGGGCTCTTAGAGTGTTTCTATATATATTTATTGTCTTTCTTCATCCCTGTTTGCTGCTGAATGACAACTGAATTTCCTCCTTGTGGTGATTAATAAAGTAATTATCTATCTTTCTACATCATTAGACATAAGGGTCAGCTAGAAATCTCATTATTTAGATTAGATTAGATCACAGGTGTCTCAACTCAAGGCCCGGGGGCCAAATCTGGCCCGTGGAACAATTATATCTGGCCCACAAGATCATATCATATCTGTATTAATATTGGCTCACCAGTATGAAGTCTGCAGATTTCCTCCAGGATAATAATGTAAACTGTAGCACCATTATTTAAAATATCCTTAATAAACCATGAAAATCTGGGAAATTAAAGAGTAAGGAAGATTTGATAAATAGTCAAGAATGTGGGGGAAAAAAATTAGTGTTTTATTTCATGTTTTCAGTTTTGCATTTCAAGATTACAAGTCAAACATGATTGGATTTTTTATTTCATGCTTTGATTTAGTTCAACTCAGTTTTTAGACTTGTGTCATTTTATACTTTAGATTCCAATTTTAAATCTTAAGTCATATTTTGACCTTTTATACCGGATTTCAACGTTCTCCTCATGTATTTGCTCCTTAAAAGCATAATTTTTCTGTTTTTAATATCATGCTCTGATCTTTTGAACTACTAAATAAAAATAGAATAAAAAAGTACAATTAAAATAGATTTTTCTATCTCAGATTGCCTTTTAACTTACCTTTTTATCTTTTTTGAATTTCCAAGTAATTTGTAATCATTGCTGGTTTTGTTTGCAAATTTTTTTTTAAAAGGAAATTGACAGTTTTGGTGAAATGTCGACCCTGTTTGGCCCTCAGGTTAGAGCTAAATCCAGATCATGGCCCTTGCTGTGGTTAAGTTTGATACCTGGATTAGATTTTCCTTTATTCATCCCTCAGTGGGGAAATTAAGTCATTAACAGCAGCAGTACACACAACATATGCGTTCATAACAGGTACAAAAAAAACCAAATAAATAAGATAAAGAACTACGGTAAAAACAAACAAAGAAAGAGCAGTGCAATTGAAGAACAGTATTAAAGATAAGTATGAGGGGAGCTAAAGTTACTTAGCACAGATGAAAGTTAAAACAAAGACATTTAGCAAACTGTAAAAGCACACAAACCATCGTCATATGAGAAATCCGATGCTATGACTCTCCACAAGTTGTCTTTCAGGTCATTATCTTTGTAATGTTTGGGTGGCTAATGGCTAATGGCTAATGGCTAATGTTTATGGGTTTGATTTTTGAATTGTGATCCAAGAATGAAGATTCCCCCATAGTTGTGAATCATTTTGTATTCATGATATGATCTATGTCTCCTAAATAGCATTTAGTGTTCCAGTCCTTTTTTTTTTTTACAAAGCCATCAGATTAGGCAAAACACTTGCAATGAACACATGACCATTACTTGTTCTACATTTTAGTTACTATGACAATCACATTGATCATGTTTATTTTTTCTTGCCATTGTGTTTTGCCATGATTACATCTTCTTGTAAATATGTTCTTAGCTCAGAAAAGACTGTTGAGATTTTTAGGAGGCTGGAGTTGATTTCTTGAGTATTCTGGTTGATTTTTTTTTGTGGTTCTGGTTCCTCAGGAGGAAACTAAAGTGTACCACTTGAAGCCGAAAACAGGGACTGTGAGTGGGTCATCAGGCAGTCTCCCTATGTCAGGCCGAAACGGGTCTGCAAGTGATGCAGACTGCCGGATCTCTGAGGACTGCCGTGTCCCAGATGTTGAGCTGATGGAGCTGGGGCCACTACTGGAAGAAGGAGGGGGTCGACCGGCAGCGTCCAAAGGGTTGCATCCAGAGGTAAGACTATTTTTGAAAATTCCCAGAGACCAGTTTTAATGACAAGGGAGCTTCATTGTTTTTATTTTTTTCATGTGATGTCTTTGCAGGGAGCAGCAATGCTTGCTGATGAGGAAGAGGAAGATGAGGAAGTGGGAGAGGTCTTGACCCTACCACTTCAGGCTCACCATGCCATGGAGAAGATGGAGGAGTTTGTACACAAAGTAAAAAAACTCCTCATGACTTTGAAGAAACATAATATGCAGTTGGCTCAGATATTCCTTTAACATGTTCAGTCTGGTGGTTATTGATTCATTGATATAGAAACAAAGCAAATATCGTAATTTCAAGATAGATCTGTTTTTCATCTGTATGGCACATTTGTGTCATGCTGTCTATCCAAGTGCAACTTAAAACACCAGGTAAATAATGACAAGCAGCCAGGGAAAAGCCTGATAATTCATTCTTTTTTGTTAAGCAAATGTAGTCGTGACAAAAAGGACAACGGTATATCAAAAAGTGACACTTCGATTATGTAACCCTTAAACGTGACTTTGATTAAAAACCGCTTTTTTCAGAGTTGATTTGAAGCTTCTGTTAGCAAACAGATGCGGGTTGTTCAGTCTCAATCTGCCTCCCTGGGCTCAATAGCATCTTCAGTGTGACCTTGTGAACTCAGGTTTCTACAGTATTAACAAGTAGTCGTATGGTCAAGTTCTTTAAAGAAAAAAAAGAGGTCTAAAGTCCTCTCTTTCTCACAAAGTAAATTCTGGTTGTTACATCTCAGTTGATAAACATTTAGTGGTGACATGATTAGAAAACAGACCTCTGTGTAACCCTAGCATAAATATTGCATCAGCCAGGTTAACTGAGCTGAAACTCTACACCCCATTCATCTCAGAGGTGAAACCAACCTTACTGTGAAAGAGTTCACAAGTTGAGCTGAGAGGTTATTGGACATATAACAGAAGCTGTTTCACAAACCTAAAGTAGGTTAACATTTAAATGCTGTGAAGGTTGATTAATTTGTTTTTAACTTTTTGTCAGACGGGGTACATTGATATGATTTTAGGCACATAGAAGGTACCATGAGAGAGAAATATGAGCTTTCAACAAACGTAAAGAAGCATAAAAACACATCTTGTGAGTATAAAATAAAGAACCCTGTGCAAAAACCTGGTGCATTACTGTTACAATCAAATGCTGTGCTGGTTTTACCCGGTTTTCACTTCTTGATTCACACACATACTCACCTATTCACTCAGGTATCAAATTATCAGGTGTTGGTTTGTGCTGCTCAGAGTAAAGCACATTGAATTCTGCATGATATGGTTAAAAGTCTGAACTGTCAGTGTACATTTTGGGTTTGTCTGTTGAAAATCGTCACCATACCTGCACTAACCTCGGGGTTTTGGGCTGAGAGCAACTGACGGTTAAAGGTTTGACTGTGTGTCTTTGTGAGTCAAAGCTATTCTTGTGTTTCAGGTTTGGGAGGGACGCTGGAGGGTCATCCCTTTTCATGTCCTGCCAGAGTGGCTGAAGGACAACGATTACCTCCTGCATGGACATCGCCCTCCCATGCCTTCATTCAGAGCCTGCTTTGGGAGCATCTTCAGAATTCACACTGAGACAGGAAACATCTGGACTCACCTGCTAGGTGAGAGTGAAAATCCTTGCATGTTTTAAATTTTGGAGAGTGAAGTTTCATTAGCAGAGTCTACTCTAGACGGATGCTGTTCCTTCCCTTGTCTGCTTGAAAAACTGGTCTGTTTTATCCCTCAGGGCTGATCTTGTTCCTCTGTCTGGGCACGTTAACCATGCTGAGGCCCAACATGTACTTTATGGCCCCGCTGCAGGAGAAAGTGGTGTTTGGGATGTTCTTCCTGGGAGCTGTGCTTTGTCTCAGCTTCTCCTGGCTTTTTCATACAGTCTACTGCCACTCAGAGAAAGTGTCTCGCACCTTCTCCAAGTAAGCTGTCTGACGTTATTTCTTACCTTTTGTTTTCAAGTCTCTGCTGTTCAGTACTGACTGCTCTAGGAGTAGGCAGTTTCATTTCCATCCCTTACTGGATATTCAGCTGCAGCTTGCCATCTGGAATTCAGTGCTATTAAAGAGGAATACACCCAGAATTAGCTTTATTGGCCAAATAAGGAACAAGGAATTTAGCCCTGGTAAACTTTGCCCCTCTATGTGCAAACATTAAACATTAAATGTTCCAAAAAAAATACAAAAATTACAAAATGACTCAAAACCAACTGACCTATAATTCAGACAGGACTAATAGGATGTCACAGTGCCTTGCATGAGTTGATAAATATTGTGTTTTAAAAGTATTAACATTAACAATAGATATTAAATAAGTTATGAAAGTCACAGTGGTCTTTCTGTGGCTGTGTGAGTGTTCGTCATCACTCAAAACCAAATGACATATAATTCAGACAGGACTAATAGGATGTCACAGTGCCTTGCATGAGTTGATCATTATTGCAAATAAAATTATTATTATTGCAGTTCATTGTGGTTCATTCAGCATTCACCCTTTGTCTGGTAATGTTTAGAGTCAGACTTGTTGATTTCCTCATCATAAATCATGGGTTCAGGGGTCATTACCCTCTGCAGGGTTTGAGGTTTGACCCTCAATCTCCTATGTCAAATATCTTCAAGGAAGAAACTGACCTCAGACCTCCTTCCATCAAGCCTGAAAGGGCTTCAAAATGGCAACTTTTGCATATTTGTGCAAGTAATGCTAAACATGAGCTTTGCTTCCATCTAATTAACATGCTTCATCTGTCCTTTATCTCATTTTACAAAAATAACATTGAATGAGGAAAAAGGACAAAATCTGAGTTATAGAATTATTTATTATCTTGCACAATCAGAAGTGAGACCGCAGTAGTAGCAGCAATCATAGAAGCACAATTAGTGGCACTGACTTAGCAAAGAAGTGAACACATTTCTTGGTTATGTCTTGTCTTGTAAATATTTTACATATTGTGAAATAAATAGATTGTTTGTTGTAAAGGACAAACAAAAACCCATTGTGATACTCAGTTATATTTTCATTTTCTTACAACCTTTATCAACCGTCAGCATTACAAAGGGATAACTAGGACAACTTATGACCATTGAACAACTGTTGAAAAAGAAAATCTTCGGGTATGGAGGAACATGACAAGTTCTGTTTTTTCATCCAGCTGTTGTTTCGATGTTGCTTCCTCTTTTTTCAGGCTCGACTACTCGGGCATCGCCCTCCTGATCATGGGCTCCTTTGTGCCCTGGCTGTACTACTCCTTCTACTGCTCCCCTCAGCCTCGACTTATCTACCTCACCATTGTTTGTGTCCTCGGTATTGCTGCCATCATAGTGGCCCAATGGGACCGGTTCTCTACACCTCGTCACAGACCTACAAGAGCAGGTGCCTTTAAAATTGTGTCTTCACCAAAGTTTTATGCATCTGTATACATTTGGTTGTAGCTGCAGACTAATCACATATTTGTTGTGCTTCTTTTTTTATGACCACCATGTTAAAATGCAGTCTTTGTCTCCCATAGGTGTGTTTATGGGTCTTGGTCTAAGCGGCATTGTTCCCACAATGCATTTCACCATTGAGGAGGGCTTTGTTAAGGCCACCACAGTCGGGCAGATGGGTTGGTTCTACTTGATGGGGGCCATGTATATCACTGGTGCTGGTCTGTATGCAGCTAGGATTCCTGAGCGCTATTTTCCTGGGAAGTGTGATATCTGGGTAAGTTATAGACGGGTATGTGTTCACTAGACATAACACAGCTAAGAGAATCAAGAGGGGTAACAATGTATGTTTTTGAAGCACGGCTGCCTTAACTAAGTGACACTTTTCAAACACAGAGGCAACTTAAAGTGATTTACATAAGCTACAAAAAAGATGAGGGCTAAAATACACAAACTAACAGAACAGATCTGTGTGTTTGAACAGGTAAGGTGATAACAGTACAGAAAATTTAAACAAAGTAAAAAACTTCAATAATTTCTGTCAGTTCTTTAAGAAAGTCAAAATGTAGTTTATGTTGGAGTTGCTACGTGTAAACAAAAATGCTTTTTAAATTGGTTTAATTGATTTAAATTTATGCCTTACAGCTCATAAAAATGTCAAATTACAAATCAAAATATGACAGTCTTTCATTTTTTATAACTATTCAGACAGTATAAATACCGAGTATCTCCCAGTCTAGTTTAAAACATGCAACTGCAATCACCAGGAAGACTGCTGACTTTGACAGCTATTGAGAAGAGGATCATTAATACTCTTTACAAGGAGAGTAAACCACAGACGGTCTTGACCTGAAAAGGCTGGCTGCTTATAGAGTGTGGTAGTCAAAGGTACGTGAGCAACAGGAGCCACGTGCATTGTGAGATAGGAATTACAAGTTTTAGTGGGAGACAGGTTTTTCCTGCTTGCACATAAACTACAACTCACTACTTTGTTTTTGTCCTTTTCCTAAAGGAAGTAAAATGGTGGTTATTTCTCAAACAGAGAGCGCACACTGAGAAAAACATCAGCTCTTGTATGTGTGTTTACTGCTCCTTACCCTGGGCTAAGTAGGAAAAGATTTTTTTTCAGATGATAGTAAATTTTGAATTTGACTTGGAAATCAAGATCTTCCAGTCTGGGGAAAGAGTGTAGGGGCACAGTATCGAAGTTGTTCATACCTCTGTGGGAAGTCTCAGGGCTTGATGATTTGGGGGTTGATTCATTTTTTTTCCCAAGTCATAAGTCAACCTCGCTGTATTCCAGGAAATTTTATTGCACTGCTGTTGATCAGCTTTATGGAGATGCTGATTTCCTTTTACAGCAAAACTTCTAACAAATCTTTTGCTATCCATGTTATTTCTGTGCTTGCCAGCCAACTCATCCGACCTGAATCCTATTGAGAATCTATGAGATATTGTCAAGAGGGAGATGAGAAACACCTGCCCCAAAATTAGAGACAAGCTGAAGGCCGCTGTGAAAATAACCTGGGCTGCAGTAATACCTCACCAGTGTTGCAGGTTCAGCAGCTCCATGCCAGGTTGATTCACGCTTCTAAACTGTACTACAGGAGCCCCAGCCAAGTATTGAGTTAATAAATTCTCGGCGTTCACCTGAGTGCAATAAGAGAACTGAACTCTACCATACAAGACCTGACACTAGGCCCATTAAATAGTGCAATGACAGTAGTATCCAACTGTCTAGTGCTGCTAAATCTTTCAATGATATTAACTGTTGTTAATATGTGTTTCGTCTTTGTCCTTTTGTCTAATTTACCACGAACTATTATTATGAGCACTTTTAAATTATTTAAAACCTTAAGAAATTTTAATTTCATTATACACTTTGTGCAATGACAATACGGGAATACTCTAATATTTAGGTTACTAGATTCCAGATTTTCATGAACCAATGTCATGTAACTGCAACAAAAAAAGACTTGAAATATTAAATGTTAAGAGTCATTATTACAAATGTATAAATTAAGTTTACCTTTGCGTATTATTAACTTATGAAAAAAAGAAAATTTTCCATCAGATTCTAATTTTCCGGTGCACCTGTATAAATACTAGCGCTGTGATAAACTTTACACCAAAACCTCTTTATTAGTTTTCTTTTCTCACCTTTAAATTCAGAGTTGCTTTTGAAATAAAGTTAGAAGTTTTTGACGCAGCTTCAGGTAGGTGATTAATGTTTCAGCATGGGAAAATGATTACCAGTAAAATCTTCATGAATGGAAAATGGATGAATCTGGACAATAATCGAAGCTTTCTGTCCTTCCAGTTCCACTCTCATCAGATTTTTCATGTGCTGGTCGTGGCAGCAGCTTTCATCCACTTCTACGGCGTTTCCAATCTGCAGGAGTTCCGCTACGGCCTTGAAGGGGGATGCACAGATGACTCTCTGCTTTGAGAGGCCTGACTGTGACTTACTCATACTTTTCATTACACTCCCACACACACACACACACACACACACACACACACACACACTCACACACACACTTGAAATGCTGCTGGAATTCAATATAGTCACTTATTGCTCCTTCTGTACTTCTGATTTGCTAATTTGGTGGACTTTCTGTTTGGCTCATTTTTGCTCCAATGAAGTAGCATTGACTAGCCATTGAATTGCAGAGGGAATCTTCAACCGACACTACTTCTTAAATAACTCAGAAACCTGAACTCTGCATTTTTCTGCAAGATCAAAAAAGAGGTTTGAACCAAAATCATAAATTCTGTTACTGATGGCCATGTATGAGCAGCTCATTTAGTACCCCAACCTTTCCAGTGTGTGTTTCCTTTTCCCAGAGGGTACAGTGAGTTTGACTTGTGCTATAGCAGTGGGCCAACACTGTCGACCCCCACCCCACCCCAGTTTCCTTGCAGGTTAGAGGATGAACGTGCTGTTGACCAAGAGTGAGGTGCAGAGCTACCCAGGACCATATAGATGCTTGAAGGCCTATACATGTATTTGTATAAGACAGACGTGTGTACATGTTACGAGTGTATAAATTATTGTGCTGCTGTCTTTTTAAATCTAGGGAGTCACCAGGAAACCCACCCACACCAACTATGTGGTAAAATAAGAAATGTACTCTGAAGGCCCAGAGATTACCCCAAAATTTTACAGAAAAAAATCGATTTTCATGAAACTACACATTGACTAAATCTGATTCATAGGTGTGTTTGGAGTGACACAGCATGTATTGCTTATCAGAATCTGACTGTAAACAACCAATTGGATGCTGTTTGGTTGCTGTTTAATACGTTACTTCAATTGACAGAAGTTCCAAACCATCAATTTCCTAATTACAGGCTGGCAAAGAAAAACAGCAACTATCCAGGTGATACTAAGATGCTTAAAATGTTGAAGAGAACTTTACTGCCTAGTTTCAGTCAGACGGCGCGTTAATTTTTCATGTGATAGTCCCTGGGCTACGCACAATGTACAGATCTGCATAAGTCAAGTTGTGCTTTCCTCACCTAGAGATCTTTTCTTTTGTGCTAGATTTCCGATGCAATGAGAGGTGTAAATATCAAATGCACCTTAGTGTATATTATAAAATTCCAAACTTTAAATCACCACATGGAGTTTAAAAGGTGTTGTGTATGATTGGTATAAACTTTTAGTATTCCTGTGCCTTAGGCCAATGGAAATGTTTTTAAATACAACGGCCTATCTTAACAGTCAAGGGAGCTTCAAGGATTCCCAGAAGTTGACTTTTCTTGTTTTCCTTGCCATATATACAATCAAATCATTATTGAACTGACAACTCCATTGATAGGTTGTATCAACTGCTGTTTAAGACTCCTTTTTCTAGACCAACTTATTCAAGCTTTATTACAAAGACTAAACGATGTGTATCCTTGACTTTGTGTAATGTCCTGTGTAGAAAGTGATAAATCATGCATTTCACTGAAATGTAAACATAAATATTTATTAATGGTAATCTTGGAAAATTATTGTAATAAATTTTTTTCCACATGTACAGACATTGTGTCTGATTGTCTATTGTATGCTCGAGATCAAGGCAACACCAACAGATAAAGCCAGTCCAGCTTATCTCTGTTCAGCTACAAATCACCCTTTCTGAGCCCTCAAAACTGCGCGGATTAACTCAGAGAAAGAGACGCACTATAGATTATGTTAAGTTTATAAATCCCAGCATATCTGAGAGAGAGAGAGATTTGGGGCCCATGTTTGAAAAAGGCCCACGGAAATAGAACGAAAGTGAAGGGACACAGTTTGACACTTTTTTATTGAGCCCAAAACTGATGGAGGGTGTAAGATGAGTAGTTGTAAATATGTTGACTGAAATCATCCTTAAGCAGATATTAAAAGTTAAATTTGAAGTCAAGTAGAGGCTGTCTGAGAAGGAGAGAGATCGCCATCAATTTAGAAGGAAAGCTTTTTTAGACTGATATTAGTGCAACACTCTCCATGTGATAGGAGGTATACGCTTCAAGATTCCCTGGAGCCAAAAGGTAAGACCACAGCTGGTTTCAGACATAGTTGCAACGGGTGATGTGTCAGTAATTAGTTGACATCATCTAGATTTACAAGCAAGAGGACAAATCTACACAGCCATTACTTACAATGACGTTACCTCGACAAATATGCATGACAATAGTTGAGTTTTAACGGCAAGCTTATTATTTTTATTATTATTATTGTTAGTAGTAGTAGTAGTAGTAGTATCATTATTATGCACAATTCAAACAGAAATACAAGCAAATAAGTCACAACACCGCAATCAAAACCAGTGCTCTGGTTTATATACCGAAAGGAATTTTTTCCCCTGGATATTTTTTGTACTAAGAACAGTATGCACAGCACTTAAAGTCATATCGTGTGTATGGTAAGTATGGATTGTGATGTTGCAGGCTCCCCAGGCTTGTGTAAGGTGTTTTTATGAAATATTAAGGTATTCAATTTATTAAAAAGTTTTCATTTGTGGAATAGTACATATTAAAGCAAATAATTCAAATTAAATTAGAGGTAAAGATGTTTCTATACCAAATGTGATTTCACAGACCAGTTTGAAGAGGAACTATTTCGCACTGCTTTGTCTCTGACCGGGATTTTTTAGTGGGTGGCAATTTCATGAGTTGCATGCTATCGTAGCATGCTAGCCCAGTTTTAGCCAGCCCTTTGGTCTTCCGGAATTTCTCCTCTATTTCTCCTCATTTCGGTCCGGAATTGGGTATGTCGTATCTGACTCATTCTAAGAGTGCTCAGTTTAATTTCAATGGTTTTTAAATTCTATTTTATGCCGCATTAACGTTGGCTTAGAATACATGTATGTTTACATTGGGCGGGGCTTGCAAAAGGTGTGGTTAAACTCTTATTTTCATGAACATATAATCGTACTGATTGTCCTTAAGCAGAAGTAACCCAGAATTATACCAGCCAACAAATGTGTGGTCAATATGTCATGAAAAAATCAAATCATTTACGATTTTCTTTGTCATGCACTTCCGCACTACAAAGTTTCTGAACCATAGTAGTTCCGGTCCACCCTCTCTCTGTGTGCGACACATTTTTCCTGAACGATAGTGCTCCAGTATTCAGCATATTCTGGTTAGATTGCCCTGATAAGTTTCAGGTTATTATTGCGGTTACAAATAATCCATTCATTTCTCAAAAAGGACTGTGAAGTAAATTTGCTGTTCGTCAAGGTTCGAGATGGACAACAAGGAGCAGTCCAAAGACAGCAGCACGGACCGGTCCGACCTGGTTTCTGAGGACGGCAAGAACAGCAAGTCTGTGGTGTGTCAGCGCTGCGGATCCAAAGTGCTGTGCCCGGGGATGGCTGTGTTTGCAGAGAAAGAGGTACGATTTTCAGTAGAACTGAGCAAAAGGTTCGAGTCTCTGGACTGTCCAAGTGCTGCCTTCAAACTCCAGAGTTGATGATTTTATCTGTCCAACATGAATGGCAGATTTAAATTGATTAATTCAGATTAGCTGTATGTATTGTGTGGCATCATTTCATCCAATTTCTTTGGAATAATGATGATTAATTTCTGTCATGTAATACAAAGTTGTAGGTTTAACTGTTGAGGCATTTTGTCATAAAAAGTTCTTTTTTCCAGTAGCAAAAGTGCTACTTATACTATTGATACTGAAGTGTATTTTATAAGTACTTCTTAGGCTTTCTCTTTTCAGGAGAACTATAAACTCAGAAGTGTTAATTTTCATTAAAAAGGTGCAGTACTAGTACTTTCAGTCAATTAAATAAATGAAAATGTACGGGTGAATTCAGTAAATTAAAAAAAATGTTTATTTTAGTCATACATCACCCACACATGTTCACCAAAGCAGTTAAGTTTTGTTATTTCATACATAGAAATTGTACTCTTTTTATGATCATCTCAGTGTTAAAGAGATATTCCGGCATAGAATTAATTTAGAGTCAAACATACCATAATACCGAGTGGGAGTCCCCCTTGAGAGATGAGTGTTGCTGACCGCTTGCTTCTCTAGTTAAACCAACTTTAGTAATGTCCGCACAATAGCAATGCACAGCGGTCTGAGGAGCCACGCAGAAACTTCTACCAAAATGCCACTCTGTAGCCACAAATAATGCTCAGAACAGCACCTAACTTCATCAACAGTACATATAGGGTCCCAGCCATAGTAGTAGCCACCAAACATCTTTTTAACTTCGCCTGATTTCTTTTTAAAGAGACTAAACACAACTCACCTACTCTCTTCCAGCAGCCGCTTGTTTGTAGGGAGACCTCGGGCCAGTCCATTTCAGACTACAGCGGGGTGACGCAGCTCAAGGAAGAACATTTATGATCATTTCTTCATGGAAATGCAATCAGACTGAGATGCTAAGGCAGGAGAACTACCGCATCTGCAGTGCAAAAAGGATTAATATGATGATTATAACTTCAAGGACATGATAAAGAAATGACCATAAATGTTCTTCCTTGAGCTGCGTCACCCCGCAGCAGAGGATTCCTGCAAATGTTGCGTTTTTGAGTTTTATATTTCTGTGCCTCAATATGGAATTGTTGTATCTGAAAAAAGAAATCACATTTTGTCATGAATGCATCATCTTAATTTTCATGTAAATAAGTCCAAAAACCCCCCAGCACTTTTGAAGCTGATTCCTCTTATGCATATTTTATGTCATCTGTGTCTGTTTTTCTTTTCTCACCAGCTGTTTTTACCATCCATGCGGAAAAAGAGCGGCCTCGGCAGCACCACAGACAGCTCAGTTGATGGAGATACTCTAACTGCCCACTGGTTTGTGGATGACATGTACACTTTTGAGAACGTGGGCTTCACCAACGACGTGGGGAGAATTAAATATCTCATCTGTGCAGATTGTGAGATTGGACCTATCGGCTGGCACTGTTTGGATGACAAAAAAAGTTTCTATGTGGCTGTGGAAAGGGTTAATCATGCGTAGTCACTCTGAACACAGATGTGAGCCCACAAGAACTTAAACAAATGTGCTGGCCAGATTTGCATTTCATGAATTTGCTCCCAGTGTTGACTCCAAACTACTTTCATCAATCAAACACTCAACTTCACATTTACTGTTAGGTGTACTATGTTTATAACAACATGACTGTCTCGTATACTAACAGTGTGACTGTCCTGCTCTAATAAAACTGTTTTTGTTTTTTACAAGCTAATTTTGAGTTTAGTCCTGCAGCTTTTTATGGTTCATTTGCCACTGAGTATCTTCATCTTGGTATCTTTTAAACAAAAATCTAGCCAGATTAATTTGAGATGTGATGATCAAACCATCTACAACATGTTTGGTAAACTTTAAGTGATATTCTCAAGCATTTAGAAACTCCTCCACAAACTTCATACTTTTGTTACCAAAAAAGCTTTTGGTGACCTATCATTTATTATTTCTTTTCAGACATTAAAAATAATCACACAGAAATAATCACCCCTTATTCTTGATGTCTTGTTTGATTTTAATGCGCTTAAAAGGCATTAATAAATGCTTCACCCTCGGCTAAAACCCCTCAAAGTAACTTCAAAGGTATCATTAATGAGTGGGGATTTGATTTTGGCTTACATTTCTTTAAAAGAACAACAGCAGCATTTGTTCTTTAATGAGACCTGTTTTTGTATCCTGGCTTACCCACAGATGACTTGGTTTCATGCATATATTAGACTACTCCTGAAAACTCATTAAATAAATGTGTAACATGATCTGTAAATTCAGATGTGGAGATGTCTCAGGATGGATTTTTAACCCAACCCCAAATCTTTCATACAGTGGAGTGTATGTCTACTGTTCGCCACTAGATGTCGTAGTTTCAGTATTTGACATATATCATTATTTAAATAAACTGTGCTCATTGTTGATAGGTGTGCTGTACACCTTTCAGCTATAGACTGACTCCACCATATGTGTTGTAACTCTCTCCATTGAAATGGTCTGTTTGTTTCACAGCAGTTATACAAAGGTGCTTCATTTTAACAAAGAGGTGCATACCGAAGGTCATTTGACAGATGTTGATCTCTCATTGTAAGAAAAGACTGTAGATTTTTGCGTCCAGACTGTTAAAAGTTAAATCACTCTAAGTGAGACATGTTGGCTTAAATATTAAAAAAAGGTTGATTATAATAAAATTAACCGGGTAATGGTGAGGGACAGCTGTGATTGTTCAAGTCAACCGTCCAGATTAAGCAACGGGAAGTTTGAATGAAACAGAGAACAGAGACATTCAAATTAGTCTCATATACCCTAACAGATGGGATGCAGATCTGTCCTCAGCTAAAGTATGAAATACATGCAACCAGACTGGAAATGTCAGATTCTCAGTTAAGTCAACTACATTGAAGGTGATCACAGTTTTTTCTCAGTGAGTGAAGTTATTGAAAGAGTTCAGAAGTTGAGTTTTATTATTATTATCATTATTAATATTATTAATAGGGAATAGATATTGTGGAAACAATGTTATAAAATGATACAGCTGTAACTGGAAAGAAAGAGTGGTTTAGCATTTTGACAATTGTGGTTAAAATTTTTTTATTAAGAAACTGTCCAAGGAGTGTCGCTGGATAAAAACGAACATGTTAATGTGCACCCTGTACACTTTTTTTTAAAATTTAAGACATTTAACAACCAACTTTAATCTACAGATGGACTGAAGGGTACTAATAAACAACATTAAAAAAACTGATCAATAAAAGGTTACAGACAAATCCACCTATGTAGTAAATTAAAATAATTAAATTCAGGAAAATAGAATCCTGATCAAAGCGCTTACAATAGCTGCATGACTCTACAACATAAAAGAAAAATGCATGTAATAATAATAATAATAACAATAATAAATAATAATAATTATTATTATATTGTTAAACACATAATTAAATTAATTAATAAATTAAAAAAACAGCAAGATTTTTTTATGGGTGAACAATGACACCTTGGCACTTTCCAAAAATGCACCGCCTATGCCATAAAATACACGGGAATACCTTTTTCGAAGTTCATGCAGACGTTTTTTCAGCACATATAACTCAGTTATAATGTTTATAATAAAAAGATAAGAAATTAAATTGTCAACATATGACTTTCATCCCTACCAATCACAAAGCTCCTCTAGACCATTTAAAAACGAAGTTCCGGCCAGTGCGCAATGATCTAGTAGGTGTGTTCGATAACAAATCTCTGAGTGGTGTATCAGTTCGGACCGGTCGGGCGGGCAGCCTTACGCTGTTAAACGCCGTTTGTTGACGAATTTGGTACACCCCAGTACCACCAGGGTGAAATAAACAAACTCATCCAACAAGGGCAGCTACCATCTGAGACATAAACGTCAAACCAATAATCTGAGTGATTAGTGAATTATGTCTGTAAAGAAATAGATATTACAAAGCAACATATACAGCAGGTTTTTTCAAACGACGTGAATGTGGAATGACTTGAGTATTAGGCTTTTGCTTGACTTGAACAGTCCAACAGGCATTTAAATCTTACACAAGCGTATACAACCCCAACGTGAACTTAATTTGAGTGAAAAAACATAAACAGAATCTGCAATAACCTGCAGGAAAATTCCCCGACTATGCGTTTAAGTAATGTGAAGGTATCAAACTTGACGTTAAATGCCGTTATTCTTTATAACTTGCGAGTCTACTTTACGAAGCGGAGGAACATAGTCTCTGGCTGTCACCCTCTCGTCTCGAACTAGATAATTCGTCTTTGAGTTCAATGAGTGGAGAGTGGACATGAACTGAACAGACGGCGATTCATACAACAAAGTGAGCGTACTCTGCTCGAGGAAACCCCTTAGAAAACATTTCCAACTGCAGTCATATCGAAGATGCAACGATGACTCAACCGCAGCTGAATGAGTTCATTCCCCCTCCGGAGTGCCCTGTTTTTGAGCCCAGCTGGGAAGAATTTGCCGACCCTTTTGCGTACATCAACAAAATCCGTCCCATTGCAGAGAAAACTGGCATTTGCAAAGTCCGGCCGCCACCGGTAAGTGTTTCGCACGATTTTACGTGTATCAGATTATTGAAACATGCGGGGTTTTATTCAGCTGCTGTTGGTTATTTAGCAGGCAAAGTTGTGTTTGTGGACAGGTTTCAACATGGCGGATTGCGGTTGCTGAGTTGAATTGTCGGCTAGTAGCCCGAGCTGGTAGTGTGCTGTGTTATGAACCACGATACAGAAGCTAAAGAAAAAATATGTGAAGTTTAATATTCTAAACGTGAATTTCAACAATATTCTTATTAATGTAGCAGGATATCTAAAAATAATTCAAACGCCAAAGTTTGCCTGTAATGCAAATAAAATGGAAATTGTTTACGTTAGCGCAGAAAGAAATGCTTCCTGGACTGTGAAGACGGAAACGGCTCACCGAGAACTGAACTGGATATGTGACAGCTGCTTTTTTCAGAATCAGTTAAATATACATCCTAAACTTTTCCCAGCAGCAGGATTTGAAGGATTTAGCCGGTGTGAGGTAACCGAGCACAGGTTAATCAGGCCCCCGTTTTAAAGCTGCACAGTTCTGACATCTTCCCCAACGTTGGCTGACGTTACGTACGTGCACGAAGACCAGCAGTTTATGGAGACAACGGACACTCTGTTTCTGTTTTTATCTGCGTTTATCTGCCCCCACGCCTGAAACCTCTCTAAATGTGATTATTCCACATTGTTGAGCATGAAGTTTGTTGGCAGTTTGACCTAATTTCTATTCCTAAAAGATATCGTTATTACGAGGAAAGCTCCCAGGACAATGTAATGTCTATTATACAATATTGTCTCCCCCTAATAGGAGCTTTATTCTGCCACGATCCACACCCCCTAAAGGGCACACGACTTCCATATAGCATTTTCAGGACAAAAAGAAGATAGTTATTATATAAATAATATCCAAAATTATTAGAATTCAAAGTAATCTCACTGTGACCTTATTTCTGGTACACTATGAAAGAAGATAACCTGAGTCAAGGGTGTGTCCAAGCGTCCATACAAAGTATAAAAACGCCATATTCTTTTGAAATAAATGCTATCAAATTGTCACATTTTAATCCTGAGGGTACATGTTGGAATTAGTTTTCACTGCCTGACACAAGGCCCATCTTCAGTTGGAAAAAAGGAAGCTGTGAAAGTCCATGTGCTCGGGTTAAACAGGACAGGCAGGGTTGGAGGGTTGGATGGGCTGCAGTATAACCAAAAACAGGGTGGGTTGACTGATTGGTGTGTTTGTTCCCTGAAGAGGACGCCCTTATTAAATGGCAAGGCTGTCAGATGCACAGAACATATAAACAAAAGGAGGCAGCGCTGTTTGTCCTCATAGGGGTTAGTCAATAGAACTTTTGGCTCTCCTGTTCGCTGCTTTGTTTGAGGCCTGCATCTTAAAAGCTGGTCCAAATACATATGAGCTCTTATTGGAAGTTTTTGGTGTTCACCTTTATGATAGCCATGCACAGTAAACACCATATGGTAAGATGCAGCATGTTAAAAAAAGACCCCTAATCCCTGCTTCTTGGATATATATTTGTGCATAAAACTGATAATGTAGCAAAAGGAGGAGGGAAGTATTTGTTTAAAGGTCAATTTCAATCATTTGTCCCACTGAGAAAGCCCCATTGTCTGCAGTCCTGTGACATACACCAGCAGTTTCTTCTAAACACTCAGACCAAAATATGGCTTTGGGGTGGTGTGTGTGGGCCAGCAAACCACAAAAAAAAAAAACCAAATCCCTCTGCAATGTTGAGCTGAGCTTTTTGTGAGTAGATTTCTGGTGCCGATTTGATGTGTTTACCTCGATGTTTTGTCTTCTGACTACAAATGGGACAGCATTGGGCCCTGGAGGGCTAGTGTCTAGTCTGATATCTCCTCTTTGTGTCAATTTTGTCTTTGTGTAAACAGTTTTTCTGAAAGGTGGTAGACACTGTGCCAAAACCTGTTTTTGATCAGTGAGTTCTAGGTACACGGCTCGCGGTCAGTTTCTTCACCGAGGTTTCGCACAGGTCATATTTGGACTGTAGACGTTAGCAGCACATATGCAAGTGATTTCAGTGATATCTGAAGGGAGTTTGTGGTCAACTTTTCTCTGCTTCGGTTCGTCGTTTAAAACTTTGCAGAAAGCCGTTTGTGTTTAGTTCAACATTTCTTAATCCATCTCAAATGTTGTGGGTTGACTTTTGTGTGGAGTGTAATGTAGTTTCTATTGTTAAAAATTTATGGCTTTCCTTCCGTGTACCTCAGCTTTTGTCTGTGGATGATAAAGTAGTGCTTATGTAGCCTTTGTTGCTCCAACTCCGACAGAAGAAAAGAAAAGTTTGTCCAGCTTCAGTTCGACTCGGATCCTGAGGTTAAGTCTGATTTTCAAGGCTGGCTGAGTCAAAACCCATGATCAAATAATATTTTGTGATGGCTTTAATGATTTCTGTGTAACATCAGTGAGAGTTTGGTGAGTTTTAAACTAAATTTGGACTCCATTTAAGTGGGAATGGCTTAATTTTTAAGATTTAAAAGTCACATTGTGCTTGCAGTTAGTAAAAACTGTTTGTAAAACTTGAAAAGAGTTGTTTTATGAACGCATCAAGTCCAAACGCATTGATCAACAAGCTTTAAATAGGTCATATTTAATCTCAAGCAGTTTTCTCACGTAGATCAAACAACAAACAGGTTTGGTTTCTCCTGTTGATTGGTATTTCTACTGCGGTTTTTATGAGCTTTGAATCTGAGCCACCAAATAAAAGTGTGGGTTCACACCCTTTTATGTTTACAGATTATTTTTTTCAGACTTTGCCCATTTTCTGGGTTTCCAAACACACATTAAAAAACAGTGTGAAGCATGTCCAGTTTGCCTGTGAACATTTGTCGTGCTCCATGTTTGAAGGGCAACCTTGAAACCTGAAACTTGTCTCTCCCGGATGAGCGTTGCTGTCTGTTTGTTGGAGAGGAATGGATGGATGTTGGGAATCTTTGAAGAAATAGCTAACAGCTCACGAGCCACCACCAGAATTACAGTGTAACCATGTGTTATCAGGGTCACAACAGCTCGGGTTGCACTTTCCGTCACACTCAAGGACACAACTTTCACAAGTTGTTTGTCTCTCATTTGTAAAAATTCTCACTCATGATGACAAATCTTCAAGAGCACAGTACCACATATTTATTGATTTATTTTCACACCTTGATTATTTTGTTGACTTTCACACCACCAACAACCACATATGCTTTGGTGCGACAGGAAGCTCTGTGGTCTGGTGTAGGTGTGTTTGTTTTAATATAGAGTGGAAGTGCGTTTAAGGCCAAGAGTCAACATAGTCTGTCACTGACAGAACCGGTGTGGTTACCACTTTGTGTGGGACAAGCAGCAATGTAATGTTTATGATTGGCCTTTTGTCAATTTCAGGTTGTAACAAACATTTAGAAACATGAAAACAAGGAGTGTTTGTCTGACATACCTTTTAAGATTGTCTGTCGTCCTCATGAAAACAAAGTAAATGCTATGAACCAAGTGAAGGTAACATTTAATGAGCCGCTATATGATTACAGAGACACAATCAGACTACCTTCTTGACTTTTAATAACAATCAGAGCGTTACTAGAGGAACTGCATCCCTGTGGATTTACACGTTTTTTTCGATCAGATTTTACGTCATTTAAATTTCAGACACTCTTGTTAGAAGATCATATCATAGACTCTGAAATGTAGCACTGAAGTGATAATAAGCCACAGTCAAAGGGCTCTTTCTCTTCTACATATTCTCATCACTTGTCAGTGTGTCCCTATTCCAACTGTTTTCACATTATTACACTATTATATTCCATGTGTCTTAAGATTTAGCTCACATGTGTACTCAGAGTTGATTTAATGTTGTTCCTTCAAATGGATTTTGCAACAAATGATTGGTGTCTTTTAGGATCAATTTCTGAATTAACTGAAGAAGCTAGTCCCAAAAAATTCCAATGCTTTTAAACAATTTTGTTGATACACTTTTTTTATGATATACATGCTCAGGTGAAACTCAATGGAGCTAACTGAAGCCACACATACAAACTGAAATGATCTGTAAAGACACAGAAAAACACATTTCTCTCTTTTTGGCTCTTGAACAGGGTTTGTCAGCAACAACAACAACAAAAAAAAAACACACACACCAGTCTTATCTTTTGGGGCTTGGTGTCACGGCGTTACTGGAGCTTTACATCGTGCTCACAGGAGAGCCTTGTAGTACATCATGTACTCTTTGTTCAGACTGACTCCTGTACAAAAAATGAAATGTTGGTGTCTTAAGACTCTGTTTCAACTCAAGTATGAAGGATCTGTTTAAAAGTTGTTGTTTTTTTGTTTGTCTCTCAGGACTGGCAGCCACCGTTTGCCTGTGATGTTGACAGACTGAAGTTCACACCAAGAATACAAAGACTCAACGAGCTAGAGGTACACTTTGTTATGATGTTTGTTTAGTTCTGTTGAGGAAAAAGTTTTAAATATGACAAGATGTCAGTTTACCTGGTCAACACAAAACAAACTAGAAAATGATGAAATATTAATATTTCAGATTAATAAACATCATCTTAGATACTTTGTTTACATTTTTTTATAAGCAGTACACACATTTAAGTAGTCTTTTTCCAAACCAACATGTTAGAAGACGTTTAAGTGAATTTCACAAAACAGTCTTCAGACGATTTTCAACATCAGGATACTTGTGCTTCCTTCTACTTATAACAGACATTAGGAACAAACAGTTGAATATCAGGTTTACAAAAATGTGCCATGTCTCTGTGTTTAGGCTCAGACCAGAGTGAAGCTTAACTTTCTGGATCAAATAGCAAAATTCTGGGAGCTCCAAGGATGCACTCTGAAAATCCCTCATGTGGAGAGGAAGATTTTGGACCTCTACCAGCTGAACAAGGTACAAGATGCAAATCCTGGTTGACCGAAAATCAGGACAGAGATTTATTGGATACATTTAAAAATGTGAAACTTATTTCTACACAGTCAGATTAAATGAATATTTCCTCTATTTTTCCAAGCTGGTGAATGAAGAAGGAGGCTTCGATGCAGTCTGTAGAGAGAGGCGCTGGACAAAGATATCTGTTAAGATGGGCTTTGCTCCTGGAAAAGCTATTGGCTCTCATCTGCGGGCGCACTATGAGAGAATCCTCTTCCCATACAACCTTTTCCAGTCTGGTGACAATCTGCCTGTAAGTCTTGACCCTCCATTTTCCATATGATTGCAAAATAATGTAAGTCCTTGAAAATGTTGAAGTCTTTCTGCCTAACATTGCTGAAAGTTTGAGATTTTAACCATATTTCAGACAGAAATTTGTTTTGAAATTGTTCTGTAAACTTGAATCGTGATGTCTTCATCCCATGTTCATTGATTTTGTTTTTTTGATTTTACAGCTTTTTGTTTTCTTCTATGTATACCATGCTGCTCTGTGTCTTGCCAACTTTTTTTTTTACCATCTACCTGCCTCTATTTGCAGAGAGCCACCTTGACCAATGACACTAAAGATAAGGAGTACACTCCTCATGACCTGCCGCAGAGACAGTCTGTCCAGCCTCAGGAGACTTGCAGCATCGCTCGCAGAGCAAAACGGATGAGATCCGAGGTGAGTTTTATCGCTCCCTTTGTTCTCTGATATGATTACTCAAACCATGTATGTGTTATTGTATTGAAAATATAGTATTGAAAAAGTGTTTTTATTCACAAGCTAACAGAGAAAGAGACTTAATCTGTTTACTTATTGTGTAAAAGTACAACTTCTAAACTCTCCGACTCTCACTGTGCTGACAGAGAGGCTGTGTCAAAACTGAGCCTGGAGAAATCTGTGAGAATCGCCCCAATCTCAGGAGGAGGATGGGAACATATGCTGCCAAATATGAACCGAGTAAGAACAAGGAAGGAATTCTGTTTGAGGATTTATTGTTAAAAAATGATCTACTTAGTCAGATAATCCTGACTTTGTCTATCTTTCAGCGAGGATGGCGATCACTGAGGTGAAAACCGAGCCTGTAGATCACCAAGATTTCGGAGAAAGTCTGTTAAATAAGATAAACAAACCCATTTCCAATAAAGTAAGTGAATACTTGATATTGAAATTTGGCTATGAATGATACAAATCACAGATAATTAAACACCACAAAAGGACGCTGTGCTCATAACAGCTGTCTGCTCAGGTGGACCAGTACATGTGCCTGGTGTGTGGCAGCGGGAGTGCAGAGGACCGCCTCCTGCTGTGTGACGGCTGTGATGACAGCTATCACATTTTCTGTCTGATACCCCCCCTCCATGATGTCCCCAAAGGAGACTGGAGATGTCCCAAGTGCCTTGCTGAGGTGAGTGGGGATAAACATCCTAGCAGAGAGGCTCATAATTCAGAACAAGACAACAACCATGGGAATGATACCCAAAAGTATGATGGTATTTGTGTCTGAAAGATTTTCTTTTTAACTTCATGTCTTTGTCTGTTTTTACAGGAGTGTGGCAAACCTCCTGTTGCTTTCGGCTTCGAGCAGGCCAGCAGGAGCTACACCCTCCAAGCTTTTGGGGACATGGCAGATTCCTTCAAGTCTGATTATTTCAATATGCCAGTTCACGTAAGTTTACATTGCCTCTAACATGATGTCTGCTTTTATTTACATTTTGTTCTGTTTCGACGGTTAATACACATTTAAAATCAGCCACCAAGTCCAGGTGGGGTTAGTTCACATACCAGCTTTTGCTGGCTAGAAATAAGACGAGTGTTGTTCTTCCTGCCATTTATGTAAAGAGCGTTATTGTATATGACATACATATGAAAAAAAGATTTATACAATAATGCAAAACTAACAGTCATTATAAACTGTTGTTGCGCGTCTGGTATGATAATGTGTTTTCATTCAAACTCTGATCTTTAAATTTCAAACGCTTGGATTTTTGAGAAACGTGAAGTAAAAAAGTCCTGAGGCTGTCATTCACATTTTTATTATGACTCAAATCTTTCGACAAAGAAATGCTTTGAGAACACATTACACATTTGGGTTCTGTTTGTCCAATCATATCTGTTTAACCCCCTTTTATACATGCACATGTCCTTTGTAAACTTGTGCTTTGTCTAGAGAGTAAAAGTGGTTGAGATGTTAGACCTGAAGGTGTAGGAAAAAACAGACTCCGGGAAAGACAGGGTGTTGGTAAAAAATGTGTTTTTGCTGATAAACATGATGTTCTTTTTCTGTTGCCGTGAGACTTAAATTTATCTGTGTGAACTTGTGACAAAACTTGCTTTACATGTGTGTACATATGGGTTAAAGCAGCACACTAGCACACCATAATAGTAATAATGAATTGTATTGATAGTGCACTTTATATTAGGCAAACAATCTCAAAGTGCTGCAGACAAAAAAAAAAAAGGAATTCGAAAGCCCACACAGAAACTTCTCTTTTCTTGTGCATGTTAGATGGTCCCCACTGAGCTGGTGGAGAAGGAGTTCTGGCGCCTCGTCAGCACCATTGAAGAAGATGTCACTGTGGAGTACGGAGCAGACATCGCCTCCAAGGAGTTTGGGAGTGGTTTCCCTGTGAAGAACAGCCATTTTGAAGTGGCCCCTGAGGATGAGGTACAATCTGTCAGCCGTTTGAGTGAAGACGTGTTCTGTGTTCTATACGCATACGTTCAAAATTCACTATTGGTTAACCTTATCTCTCACTGGAAACATGGAAAAGTCAGTGTCCAACGGGTTTTTACCAGAGGACTTTATCGTACTATAAATCTAAATACACGTCAAACCTTTGAGTAATGCTAATCAAAGATAAAAACAACAAAAATGAGATCTGTTTGTTAAAAAATGTTAAAAAATCATACAAATCGTCAAACAATTGTCCTCATTGACAACAATAGTAATAATGATGAGGAAGAAGACGTTATGGTAGTGAGAAGTGAAGTGTTGATGTCAGCCATGTCTCTGATCTGCAGCATTACCTGAGCAGCGGCTGGAATCTGAACAACATGCCAGTACTCGATGGCTCGGTGCTGACTCACATTACAGCCGACATCTGTGGGATGAAGTTACCCTGGTTGTATGTCGGCATGTGCTTCTCCTCCTTCTGCTGGCATATTGAGGACCACTGGAGCTACTCCATCAACTACCTTCACTGGTTAGAGTTCATTCTTCAAACTCTACTGTCTCTCATATGATGATGTGAATGTGCGTCTCTCTCACACTAGAAACGGTGTTGAATTGTCACCAGAAACTCAGTCCAGCTTCAGGTTTTTTTTTTGTCTGCTAAGGGTTTTGTTCTCATGTACAGGGGCGAGCCGAAGACGTGGTACGGTGCCCCCGGTTATGCCGCTGAGCACCTTGAGTCGGTCATGAAGAATCTGGCACCTGAGCTGTTTGAGTCACAGCCAGACCTCCTTCACCAGCTGGTCACTATTATGAACCCCAACACACTGATGAACAACGGCGTCCCGGTAACCTGCTGTTACAACAGCTAAATTATTTACATGTTAAAATGTTACAACAACGTCTGTTCTTTATTCTAACTATTGTGTCTTTTCTCACCGATATGTAGATCTATAGGACCAACCAGTGTGCAGGCGAGTTTGTCATCACCTTCCCCAGAGCTTACCACAGCGGATTCAACCAGGGCTTCAACTTTGCTGAAGCGGTCAACTTTTGCACCATGGATTGGGTAAGAAAATCTGTCGGCACAGCAACAAATTTTTATTCTGAAGTTTCCTCAAATGCTGCATCTGTGCACCACACCTGATGATAAAGATTATCTGCACAAACAAAAGTAGAGTCATTTATGATTATCATTGGACAGTTAATTTATGCAGCACCATTCCAGCCAAGACGGGATCCTCAAGACTGATTTCCGACTGGGTAGTTCCTGTTTCTCCATCTCGTCTATAATCGACTGCATTTTTCCTTTTCCATTCATTTTCTGACAGATGCCCATCGGCCGTAACTGTATAAGCCATTATCGCCAGCTGAGCAGATACTGCGTCTTCTCCCATGACGAGATGGTTTGTAACATGGCCTTTAAAGCCGATACAATGGACGTGGACTTGGCATCAGCAGTACAGAAAGAAGTTACAGCCATGGTCGCAGAGGATGAAGAACTAAGACAGAAGATTGTTAAGATGGTGAGACGATAATATGATGTCATTTTGACGTACTCCTACATATTGTTTTATATGGCAGGATGTATTTCTAACATTTTTAGCCTCTAAAAGAGAAAACTTTGAACTTCACATTTCTTCTAATGAATGTGTTTGATCAGCAGACTTATTGTGTCTGCACATCTGTCTCATTTGGTTCTCCTGTGGCCCTCTGAGCCTCTAATGACTGCGAATGTCTGTCCCCAGGGTGTGGTGCAACGTCGTCAGGTTGATTATGAGGTGCTCCCAGACGAGGAGCGGCAGTGCTACAAGTGCAGGACCACCTGCTACCTGTCTGGCATCACCTGCGCCTGCAGTCCCGGCAAGATGGTTTGTCTGTACCACGCCCAGGACCTGTGCTCCTGTCCTCGTAGCAACCTTACACTCCAGTGAGTCTTCAGTAACCACAACAACTAAACTAAACACAACAAACCATTTTTACCAACTATCTAGAGGAGCAGATTCCTCTTTCTAAACCTAAAAGCTTCAAAGAAAGTTATAAAATTCCTCTTCTATTTTACTTTTTAGACTAACAATAGCAAAATGATCATGATCAGAACAAGACTGAAATATGCAGGAAGAGATGTCGAAATAGTTCAACTTCACTGTGTTGTTCTTGCACCTCGAGTGTGTGTCTGTTTGGGGGGGATTCTTCTGTCATGCTAATGAGACCTTCAGTGTTTTAGAGAAAACAAACACTTTTTGTAGTGAGAAGGTTCATCTGTCGTAATTTGCTGATGCTCTCATGAGAAGCAGATTTTAAGCAAACTGCAGAAAAAGTGAGCAGTCGCCTGGTTGTTCTGTTACCCGTTCAGCATATAGTAGGATAAGACATCAATTTTACAAACGCCTTATTTTTTCTTTCTTTGTAGTTTTAAATTCACACTGGAGGAGCTGCATACCATGTTGGCGTCAGTGAAGCTGCGTGCAGAGTCCTACAAAGAGTGGCTCTGTTGCGTTCAGGACATCCTGGAGAACAAAGGAACCAAGAAAAGAGGTCAGGAATTAAAGCAAACTTACTGCGAAACTTTGTTATCTAAAATCTTTTTACCACCCTGTGGTTTGTTTTATTTTTATTTTTTTGAGAAAGACACTTAGACTGTTTTACTGTCAGGTTTGGAGGAGCTGCACAGCCTGGTGGAGCAGGCAGAAACAAAGGGCTTCCCACAAACAAGCCTCGTGGATCAGCTGCGTGTTGTCACCTCAGAGGCGGATAAAGTCGCTGCAATGGCACAACAACTTCTCAATGGCAAAAGGCAGACAAGGTACTTCAAAAAAAAAAAAGGGAAATTTAACTTTGTCTTCCGTTTTAATTTGGGTTTGGATTTTAAAAAATGTATCTAACTAGTTTTCTATGTATTCAGATCAAATTTTTAAAACGACAGATATCTCTTCTATTAAAAAGTGAAATTAGTATCTACCAAAGTCTGTCTCTTTATGGATGTACAGTGATAAGTCAATGAAGGTATTTTTGCCTTGTAAGATCAGTTTAGGAGTTTTTTGTATATTTTAGGTATCGCTCTGGAGGAGGAAAGTCTCAGAATCAGAATGAACTGACGGCGGAGGAGCTAAGATCTTTTGTTCGACAGTTTGACAGCCTGCCATGCAACATCAGACAGGCCCCTTTACTGAAGGTTAGTACACTTTAATAAGACTAATGTACAATGTCTCTGATTATGTAAATCAATGACATAAACAGAACTTCAATGTTTACTATCATTTGATTAAATGTGCTTCTTTGAAACCTGCACAAATTGAAGTTCTTCACATTGTTGTAGCACTTTGATCTTGTTTGTGGTTTGTGTTAGTAAACCTGGTTTTGTTGAATGAACTCCATCATTTCTCATGACACATGACCTCCAGGACCTGTTGACTCGGGTGGATGACTTCCAGCAGCGCAGTGAATGTCTCCTCTCTGATGAGTCGCCCAGTCCACAGGGGCTGCAGGAGCTGCTGGATGTGAGCTTGGGCCTTGACGTGGAGCTGCCTCAGCTGCCCCTGCTGAGGGAGCGGCTGGAGCAGGCTCGCTGGATGGAAGCTGTGCAGCAAGCCAGTAGCAGACCGGAGAGCCTCTGTCTGGACACCATGAGGAGGCTGATCGACCAGGGTGTGGGCCTGGCACCTCACAGCTCAGTGGAAAAAGCGATGGCGCGGCTGCAGGAGCTGCTGACAGTGTCAGAGCAATGGGAGGAGCGGGTCTCTGGGCTCATGGAAGCCAGGTCAGGATGCAAGAAAGTCTCCACTACACTTTTCTTTTTATGTCTCAACCTGGCTGTGGTTTGGGCTGGGCCACTTATCTAATTAAATGCTGGGTATGTTTCCTGTCAGACACTTAAACCTTTTTGCCTCATAAGAATATATTTTTCTGCTCTTACTGTTTTTTGTTGTTGATCCCAACTTTGAAAAGCCTTTTGAACAAGTTTTTTTGAGGTTGGAAGAGTCTATACACACCCTTTCTGTTTATAATGTAAAACTAACTACAAGCACAAGAAGGGTTTGTTTGGGATGTGTTAACACAAGATCAGCCCCCAAATTTAATTCATTAGCCCTTTTCACGATGTGATCATCTGCTGAAAGAAGAACTGAGAAAAAGATCAACAGATTCTTACTCTATTTAGAACCCGGAGCGCAGTGCCTCCTCTCAACCCTGCAACAGTAAATCTATGATTTTTTTTTTGACTAGTGGGGTCACATGAAGTGAAAACAACAGAGTAGCTCCAGACCATACAGATTGAAATGTGCCAAGTCTGCAAAGCTGCACCATGGTGAATAAAGAGGATCATGGTGTTGTGACAACGCATAGCCGTCTAACTATAACAAACTGTGAGGCATTAGACCCTGCTTTGATTAACTTCTTTTGTGATCTAACATTGACAGACACATTTATTCTGAAAAAAAAAAGACTGAAGCAATTAACAGAGAGAAAGAAAACTGAACATGAACACATTTTTAATGCTCGTCACTTCACAGGCCATATCACAGCATAGAGACACTCGACACTGCTCTACAGGAAGTAGAAAACATCCCTGCGTATCTGCCAAACTGTCTGCAGCTGAAGGATGTTATTACCAAGGCTAAGAAGTGGCTTCAAGAAGCCGAAGCTCTCCAGGTGAGACATTGTTCAACCTACGCCACACTGAATGTTCTCAGCACTTAACCATCTCGTAGCACAGTGTTAAGTCTTGTGTGTGCGTGCTTACAGCTCGGGGGTCGTATTCCTGTGCTGGACAGCCTCTCTGAGCTGGTTCTCAGAGCAGAAAGTATCCCAGTGAGACTGGACCCATTAAGTCGGCTGGAGGCTCTCATTAATGACGTTCAGACCTGGAAGGAGAGCGCAGCAAAGACATTCCTACTGAAAAACTCTCCTTTCTCTCTTCTTGAGGTAAACAAATGTTAGGAAGGGTGCTTTAAGTCTTTTTTACATTTGTCTTTTAAACAAATGCAAATAACTATTGCCCTTTTTATTTTTTAGGTGCTCTGCCCAAGATGTGATGTTGGGGGAGGATATCAGAAATCAAAATCTAAGAAGGCTAAAGAAGCTGCACAGAACTGTAAAAAATCCCCAACAAGGCTGGAGTCTGTGAGTGATGTGGAGAGAGCTCTCTCAGAGAGCAAGGACTCCCCCTCTGCAGTGAGTACAGCTGAACAATTTCATCAAAACTGTCATAGTTGACATTTTTCATGAGTGCAGCTGGATGTTTTATCTTGTCTCATGGTCAGATCTGTGTTCTAAAAGAAACCAAACCATCCTAAATCGAACCTAGGGTCAAGTTTTGCATAATTGCTGCCAAAGAACAACTGAAAGGGCTGCAGAAAAGACAGGTGACCTCGATATTTGAGGGTGCTCACTGAAATGTGCCCTGCACTGAAGTGTCACTTTCAGGTTTAACTGGAGGGCTCAAAGTCTTCACAAAATATCCACTTCTTTTATTCCTGAAAAAAGGTCACTACGTTTCTCACGATGTGGAGAGGCAACATTCCCATTTATCCTGGGACCTCCTCTCTTTGTGTTTTCCACCTCTTTGTGCTGTCAGAAAGTCAGGGCAAATATCACATTAGGACAAACCTGTTACAGAAATACTGTTTCTGTCAAAGTCAAGCTTTTGTTTGATGAGGTGAAATTATTGACCTTGTTTTTCCTCTGCTGTACTCCCTCCCAGACTCTTTTTTGTTCTCTAAGTTTCTTCATTCTTTAATTTTTTTCTCTTCGCTGCTGTAATTTTGGAATTCCCCCTGTGGGACTTTTAAAGGAATATCTTGTCTTATCGTATAAACTCCAATTACAAATACAACCATAAACTCACAGCCTCTAACCATGTTTTGTCTGAGAGTCAGATTTAATTTGGCTGCTTTTATAATGACATTAAAATTGTCTTTTTTCACAGATGGCCACACTTGCCGAGGTCCACCAGAGGGAGATGGAGGTCTTGCTGGCTCTTCGAGCTTCGAACGAGTCCAAGCTTTTACCTGCTGAAAACTGTTGTGCACTCAGTGTGTGTGTTTGCCAAAAGGCTCCTTCTGGCGCAATGGTGCAGTGCGAGCTCTGTCGAGAAGTTTTCCACTGCGGCTGCGTAATAACAACCACAGAGCCTGAGTACAGTCAAGCCTGGCTTTGCCCGCTTTGCCAGCGGTCCAGGAAACCCCCTCTGGACAAGGTCCTGCCTCTTCTAGCTTCGCTGCAGAGGATTCGAGTTCGACTCCCAGAGGGAGATGCACTGCGGTTTCTCATTGAGAGAACGGTGCGATGGCAGCACAGAGTTCAGCAGGCGTGCACAGATGGAGTGCTGGAGAAAGTGTCAAAGATGGTGAGTTGAAAACAGGATGAACGTCAATAATGATACTTTCTGCTTTTGCTTTGTTGATGCAGTTTGATATCAGAGGGTCTGTTTGGGTTTGATACCATCATCATTATCGCACATGCTAAAGTTGACCCTTCTTTATTTCATTTCAGGGGAAAGTTGGATGGTCTTCTTATCTGTCTCAGGAAAGAAACGGTTCCCTTTTTTATACAGAACACCAGTGTATTCCACTCCAGGGTCAGTGTGATTTGTCCAACCCCTAAAATACATGCACACCTTTACTGTTTTGTAGGATTAGTCTCCTGAATAGTCCTCTTCTCATCATGGTTTTCACAGGCCTTGGTGCGGCGTTGGAGGAGCTGATGGTGGAGGGTTTCCTCCTGCAGGTTACTTTGCCTGAGACTGAGCAGCTATATAGATACCTGCTGTACAAACTGGCACCCCGGCCGTCACACATGTCACCCAGTGGGAGTGACACAGACCAGGACCGACAGTCTAATCAAGGGAGTCCCCACCACAAAAAGGTAACAGCAGTCAAAGTTTTTATTCTTGAATCATGGGTCATATACTCAGTCACACCTGATTTACTGAATCATTTCTCTTTTGTGTGTTTGCTTTGATGTTTTTCGTTTACACACAGAATGGAGTTTCTAGTCTTAAAAAAGAGGCTGTGAACGGTCAGAGCAAAAGGACCAAGCGGCGAAAGGAAAGCTCTGACTCTCAGCACAGCGAAAAGGCCAAGAAGAGCCGTAAGAAGAAGTCTAAGAAAAGCAAAGAGAGGAGTAGTGAATCAAAGAAGACCTGTTCTCCCACTCACACAGTGTCAGACCCTGCTCCCTCTGATTCAGAGGAGGACTTCTCACTGTGTGCTGCACCATGGTGCAGAGAGCCAGAGGGAGATGAGGTGTGTTTTACGAACTGGATTTATGTTTTTGTTTTGTTTAGATTAGCAGCATTGATTTTAATTCGATTGTATTTATGATTATTCCACCCCTGTGTTTCTCAGGTGAACTGGGTCCAATGTGACGGCAGCTGCAATCAGTGGTTCCACCAGGTCTGTGTGGGACTTTCAGCTGAGCGAGCGGAGAAGGAGGACTATATTTGCATAAGCTGCACACAGCCAGACTATGACCGAGGAAAATGAAGACCAAATAATGACTTTGAAGGATCAGCAGTTTTCGTCGCTGGCTGCAGCACTTAAGCACACACCTGAACTCTGTGTCCTGCGGCTCCTCCCCTTTACCGTCTGGCTTGCTCTTAGTGAACATGGTGCTACTTACTGTTTTTTTTTTCCAGACTTACAAAAGACTTCTGCCACTGTTTTTTGTCACATGGCTGCTTTTACAGCCAATCAACTAATCCTTTCTGAAACTTTCCAACACTTGCTGCAGGTGTGTAAAATGGCAAACTGTTTCAAGAGCAGTGCAGGGATTTTTCAACCAAAAAAAGAGTCAATTTGACATCACATTTTTGAACTCCTTTTTTTTACAAAGCATCTGAACAATGTGAAACTTATCTTTTATCTTGTAGAGAAAATATTATTTATCTAAGCAATAACTGAACAGATTAATGGAGGTTCAGTTTTCATCTGAGCTATATTTGTGCTTAGAAATTCTTTGATAGAAGCAAAAACCCTGAATTCACTTTATGAATCCTATGATATTACACAGTTCAACTGCATTTTTGTGAACAGAAATAACTTGAATCAGAAACCTGAGAGCAATGGTTGAGCTCTTGAATCTAAGTGCATTAGTTTGCACTTGAAAATTTGCCTGTATTCCTTAAATAATCACTGACTTTGATATCAAGTCTAAATGTCTTCAGCAGTGTTGGCAGAGCGAAAACATCCCAAATACCTTGTTACTGGAATTGGTGGGACTTAATTATGTTCACAAATGAATTTTGAACTGTCCAACGTCAAAGGAATGTAAATTTTGTGTGGATTTTCCCCTTATGGTTTAGGATGAAAATATTGTGTTGGACTTAGATTTAACACAGACTGTGTGATTAATTTGCCTCGGGTATATATGACCTTTTCTGCTCCTTTGGGTAAATAATATAATTCATATGTTGAAGTTTGCATTATAAAATAAAAATGTTTGTTCCCATTTGCCTGGACTTGTCTGTTCTTGTGCTGAAGGGATTTTGAATTCCTCTCCTAATCAACCAGGTTTCCTGATCAAAGTTACTCTGATTCGGAAAAAAGGAAAATATATCTGGCTTAAACCAATGTGGACAAAAATCACGACCTCTGCAAACGAAACTGGACATAATTACATGACTTCAAGCATCAATCTAGTGTCAATAGAAACAAAGAATTTTGCCGCTTTTTTATCACTTAATTGGTCCATATTTCTTCCAGCAGTTTGCAGTTGACACAACTGTGGACGCAAAGTTGCCCAAGTGCTCAGTGTTTTTTTTTTTAGTTCATGCTCCCCCTAAATCATGGCAATGTTAGTCAAATGAACGGCATTTTTTGTACAACCTTTACCCTTAAATTCAGCTCTGTTGCTCAGTCTCAATCTGGACATATAATTTTTTTGTACCCCTTGACAACACTTAGTTTTCTGGTTGTGTTGTTGTGTCCGGCGTCCCATTGTCATGATGAGCTGTTGTGTCTGTCATCATCTTCTACTGCCTGACTACGTCTTTATGCCTGTTTCCTTTAAGTTTTTGAAGGTTATAATATTTAATGTTTTTTGATGCTATTTTTGTATTCTTAAAAAATATGACTTCAGAAATTAACCCTTTAATGCATATTATGTTGTATCATATTGATACATACTTTTTATATACTGTAAATACTGTAATTTTTTGTTTAATCCATTTGTGAATGTTAACCCAGAATGTTTGCGTTGCATAGTTAAATTGCCAGGTGTACCTGACAGACTAAACTCTGGGCAGAGTCTCCCCACGGCGCTGAATGGGGGCGTGGTCTGCTCTTCAGGGTCTCGCCATTTTCCGCCTGCTGGAAGCTTGCTAGCTAAATAAGCTAGCTGCGTTCAAGTCAGCATCTCTGGTGTCCGAACAAGTCACGCAAAGATTAACACATTTGAATCATTGAAGCTTTCTCAACCACCCTTTTATCCCGTCATTATGGACGAGGAATATTACAGCGGCGGAGGAGACTGGGAGGGCACGGACGGGAACTTGGTGAGACTTGTTGCTTTTTGTCTGAACTGTGATGATATTTAGCTGCACAGTTTCAGTTAGGCTGCCTCTGAGGTGCTCCTGGTGTTTTGATGGAAGTGATTTATAAACACTGAGTTGACTCAGATGTGTGTAGAGATGGATAAGTCTCCGGAGCTCCGTGGCAGAAATGCTGGTCTGAACTTTCAGCATGTTGGTGTTTCTGTTAGCTAAATACCAGCTAACTGAGGAACCTGCTGCAGGTCATTGACAGTCGATCACCCGTTTGGATCAATTTATCAGTTCTAGGGATATTCTGACCCTATCATCGTAGTGGCCTTTAATTGGTAGTTGAAGCAGTCCATTTCCAGTCAAGAAAACAGAAAACAGAGCATCTTTAATAAGTAGATTATTTCAATCAACAGTTTAGCTTGAAAGCCCTTTTGGCTAACCGTTTTCTGTACATTAGGGGCAGAAAAGTACGTTTAAGTTAAGTTCTTAGAGTGATAATCTGTGGAAACTGAGACATTATACTGTTGTAAAGAAGGTGGATAATGTGTCTTCTTAGACTTTAAGATAGTCCTACGAAGTTCACCGTCTTCTGTACAGTGATGGGTGAGAAAAGGACAACCAAAGGCAAATCTGCAGATTCTGTGATATGCTGTGTTAGGATGTGCAAGGTGCACATTTTATAATCTAGGATTGGGAGTATCATTGTGTATAGGCTTGCAAGTATGGCAAGTGATACAACTTTAAGATCAATGTTAACACTTATACTAAAGCTGAATGAGCATGACATGTAATCACTATAGGATTTCAATGATGATTCAGAGTCAAGCAATCACTGATTTATAGGTTCAATATATTATTTGCATTCAGCTAGACAGGAAATATAATTTCTAGGGGTGCACTGATCACAATTTTCTGGCCAATCACCGATCTTTATTAAAGCTTGACCTGCCATTACATATTTTGGCAAATACCGATTTTTATTTTTATAACTGACGACATACAACTTTGATGCTTTAATCTTATTTTCATGAAAAACATTGAACAATACTTGTGAAACAGTACGAAAACTTTTTGTGTTTTGTTTTAACTGCACATGAGGTAGTTCTCTTGAATATAAATGAAAAGTTAAGAATATTGCTGTCCAAACTACTACATTGTATCAGTTCCTATAGTCTTTTATTTTCCCCATTTACAAAAATCAACAATACTTGCTTAACAGGTCACACTGCTGGCCTGTTTTGAGCCTCTAACCAAAATAAAGTGCACAGCGGTATCTGCTTTTTCAAAAACGGAAATCACAAGGTTTGAGGACGTTAGTAAAATAATAACCTACAGGACAAACTACCAACACAACTTAAACCACCAATAAACTTTCTTGAGTTTTAGGTTTCCTTGTAGTGGGTTCAACATGCTTGGTTGATCATGCTCCGGATGACTGTGCGTGTGCACGTGACCTGTCATTCTGGCAAAGCAAAAAGTTACAACGGCTGACTTTCAGACCTTTGCTCAGGTAGATAAGATCAGTGGATAAAATAAGTTTCATATTTAAGGATCAGCCGATCACTGATCCCCCAAAATTGAGGAAATCGGCGCCAATTGATTGGCCAGCTGATTTATTAGTGTATGTTTAATAATTTTCACATTAACTTGCGTAAACTCTCTATAGACATTAAAATTTTAACATTGCATTCCGACACTGTACACCCCAGATACACTGAGTGTGCTGGATTAATAGAACAGCTTCATTTATAGGCATTTCAAATTATGTGGTGCAAATGTTATAAGCTACTTTAAATCTCAAACTAAGTCTATTATAAAGAAGGTTTATGTGCAACAAACCGTCATATTCTGTAAGGTCATTGTATGTATGTGCTGCTGATGTGAGAGAAAAAAACACTAACTCATAAATCAAAATACTGTTTTCAGCTGCTTTACGATGCATTTAGTTTAGTGGGAGTCAAATGGAGGACTATATTTGTCAAATGAAGAGTCTGCTGTATAGTCTTCATAATTGTATTACTTATTGTTTATCACAATTTCAATACAAAACTAAACATGATAAATCTTTGTCGTTCAGGAGGATTATGTTGAAGGGGAAAACGATGGAAAAATCCAGGAAGACTGTCTGCAGAAATTTTCCAGCAGGGATTACATCATGGAGCCTGCAATCTTTAACACCCTCAAAACGTATGCATTTGTTTTATTTTACCAACATAATATAAGATGTTTTTTACTGGTGCATAATGGATCATAAGTCACAGAGTCCTACAAAGAGTAAGCTGATAAAAACAACATTTTCTGTAGGTATTTCCAGGCAGGTGGCTCTCCAGAACACGTCATCCAACTCCTCTCAGAAAACTACTCGGCCGTTGCTCAGACCGTCAATCTGCTGGCAGAGTGGCTCATCCAGATGGGTGGGTAGCAGGCTCTCTGGGTTTCCCGTGCTCTCATCTAACCTCTTTTTAATCCATAATTTCCTCAATTTGGCTGTAGGTGTAGAGCCGGCTCAGGTCCAGGAAAGAGTAGAAAATCACCTCAAGAGTCTCCTCATAAAGCACTTTGACCCTCAGAAAGCAGACTCCATTTTCACGGTTGAGGGAGAGGTGAGATTTCTGAGCACTTTGTTGTTATTTTACATGAAAATTAAGTTCTTGTGGACCAGACCGACGCAGTCTCCTGTGTTTTCAGACCCCTGCATGGCTTGAGCAGATGATCGCCCACACCACATGGAGAGATCTTTTCTATAAGCTGGCAGAGGCTCACCCAGACTGCCTGATGCTCAACTTCACTGTAAAGGTACAGTAGTCGTAAAAGGTGTAAAAGTAGTTTTCATAATGAGTTGCTGTCATAGTGCAGTTGATCAAATAGCAGAAACTATGCCTTGACTTTATTTGTGGTGCTTGAAATGACAAAGTCTGTGTGTTTTGGGGTCTCACGTGCTGCTCATGTTCCATGTTTGTTCACAGCTCATTTCAGATGCAGGTTATCAGGGTGAGATCACAAGTGTGTCCACAGCGTGTCAGCAGCTCGAGGTTTTCTCCCGGGTGCTCAGGACGTCTTTGGCCACATTGCTGGATGGAGGAGAAGAAAACCTTGAAAAAAACTTACCAGAATTTGCTGTAAGATTTTCTGTTTTATTTATCATATTCACATAATGTGGAAGTTTTCATTTGTTTCAGTGGTTGGTTGAAGAATCCTGCTTTTATTACAGTTAATCAGGATAAGTGAGTTATTTTTAATCAGGATAGCTTTAGATTTTAAACCCTTTTTAATTGTACCTTTTGTATTAGTAATAGATCACTTTTTCCAAGCGCTGGTTTGTTTGTTTGTCTGTTAGCAACTTTACGGAGAAAGTTACAGACAGATTGACCTGAAATTTTCACCAGAGGTGCGTCTCAGCCCCAGGAGGATCCCATTACATTTTGGTGGTGATCCAGACAAAATTCTGGATACTGTGATCCAGAACACACAAAAATAAGGGTGTTGTTGGAATTTTCAAGGCTAAAAGATAACCAATGGGCAGCACAGTGGTGTAGTGGTTAGCACTGTCGCCTCACAACCAGAAGGTCCTGGGTTTGAATCCTGGTCAGGGTATCTCTTGTTTTAGGAACATTATGAACAGTGAACATACCAGTTTAAACACAAAAGTTAATAAAAGACACGTAACAGTAAAAGTTTTGGTGTGAATCACAATATAAAGGGGGACATGAGCTGCTTGGTGGAGGTCTGCGCTCTCCGAGTGCTTTTCTAGTATTAGTAATAGATCACTTTTTCCAAGCAAGTGTCATATCGGTTTCTCTTCACATCTGAGGAAAATCACAGTCTCTTTGTTTAACCTCTTTGTGTAATTGAAAATCTATATTGTCATCAAATGACTTTGAAGTGAAAAAGGCCAGCAGTGTTGGACTGACCCCACATTCTGTGTCAAAGTTAGTTTGGACATTCAGTTGTTCTTTTAGTCCCTGCAGGGTTCCTATGCGAGTATGGAAAAGTATGGAAGTAATTCGATCAATTTCCAGGTCTTAAAAAATATGGTAAATGAATAATAAAGTATGTAAAAATATGTATGTTAAAAGACTATAATAGCACAGTTATAAAATACTCTTTTCTAAAATAGAAAAGAAGGTATTTCAAAAATAATTCTAAACAGTTGGGTATGAAAAAGTATGGAAATTCCAATTGTTCCAACTTCCAACTAGGAACCCTGTGCTTGCCTCTTGTGTTGTTTTTTGCTGAGTTTTGTCTTCTCTCTCCTGCAGAAAATGGTTTGTCACGGTGAGCACACTTACCTCTTTGCACAAGCAATGATGTCAATCCTGGCTCAAGAGGAACAGGGCGGTTCAGCTGTTCGCAGGATTGGCCAGGAGGTGCAGAAGTCAGCACATCAGAGGTAACTTCTATCTCTGCTTGAGATTTCAGATGTTTTTAATCCACCAGGGATCAGTTTTTATGATTTAGTTTAGATCAATTGTGACTGTTTTCTGTGGTTGTGGTTTATATCACAGGGGTCACGATGCCAGCCAGATAACCCTTGCACTTGGCACAGCAGCAGCCTACCCTCGAGCTTGTCAGGCACTGGGTGCCATGTTGTCCAAAGGAGCCCTGAATCCTGCAGACATCACAGTTCTGTTCAAGATGTTCAGCAGCATGGACCCACCTCCTGTGGAGCTGGTGAGGAAAGAATGATATTGAACCTTTACAAATCCACAAAATGCTCAACAAGAAGAAAGCAGCTGAATCATGTTTTTTGCCTTTTTATTCTGTCTGTAGATACGAGTGCCTGCTTTTCTGGATCTGTTCATGCAGTCACTGTTCAAGCCGGGGTCAAAGATCAACCAAGATCACAAACACAAATACATCCACATCCTGGCCTACGCTGCCAGTGTGGTTGAGACCTGGAAAAAGGTACAGAGGACAAGGATTGATTTTATTGTGCAGATAGCATCTGTATGTCGTTAACATGTTGGACATAGATGTAGTGACACAAAGAGTCGTAACTATGTGATAATAACTCGATAAGCTTAATGTATGCTTCTGTTTTTCTAAACAAACTTCCTGTCAGTTCTTTTTTTATTCCTTCATAGCGGCTGCCTAAACTGCCCCTCTCATGTCACACGTTTCTTTGTGGTTCATTCTCAGAACAAGCGAGTAAACATCAATAAAGATGAGCTCAAGTCGACCTCAAAGGCCATAGAGACGGTGCACAACCTTTGCTGCAATGAGAATAAAGGGGCTACAGAGCTGGTGGCTGAACTTGGTACTTTGTACCAGTGCATCCGGTGAGTGGGCTGCCAAAATCTCATCCCCTTTTTAGACCGCAACTTTTCATCCTCATCAGGGCAGGTTCTTCTTGAAACAGCTTGATGATGGTTTGTATTTTGTTGTAAAGAAATATGAATAATAATTCAAGCTATTAAGTGTTGCTTGAAGATTCCTTAAATCTCTTGAATCCCCCCTCTTTTGTTCCCACAGCCATCAGACTTTACAACTCTTTTATGAATAGTGAGACGTGACAAATGAGATGCCATCATGGCAGACAATTGAATTTCCCTTCGGGGATCAATAAAGTTATTCTTACTCTTATTCTGAAATGGTGTAAAAGGACTTTAAATAAAAAGTAAAAATTGAATTCATTAAAAAAAGAGTTTGTTTCATCAGACTTGGATATAAATACAAAATTAACTTTCCCTGAATTGTTGGTCATCCTTGACTTTGATGACTAGAAAAAGGTCCTACAATGAACCGGATCATAAAAAATTTTCTTTGTCTGAGGTTGAGTCATAGAATTTAGGTCTAACGTCAAAACATTTCATCTTTTGTAGTAAGTTTTATACTCAACACGGTGGGTTATACCCAAAAAAACTGAGACGTGATTTTCTCCAAACTCAAATCATCTGCAGAATCCCAAAACAGAGTGAGTTCAATAAAAAAGGTGTTAATCTAAGGGTATGAATTCTCTCTTCAGTAAATGAAGTCAATACAACTAGTAACATGTTTTAGGTCAGACTGTAGTCAACCCAAAAAAATGAGCTGACTGAAACTCTACAAAACTCTATTCATCAAAATATAACTTCATGGACTCGTGATCACAGCAAGATAAGCATTCAGAATAATAAACAACAGTAACTGCAGATAGTTATTTTTATTTCATAACAAAGCAGCCAACAGGACCTACCTTTAGCTGTCTGCATCGTGTGATCAGATTGATGTCAACACAGAAAAAATACTCTTAACTTTTACTCTTAATCACAAATAGGCACATCCTGCATTTCTTAGATAAACATTAACTTCAACATTTAGCTGAAGGACACCAGTGCAGGAAACATGAAATATATCAGAGAACAGAACACGGGGCTCAACCGTTTGTTTGTGTTTTTTACGCCCTAACCTCAAAACCGATGTAAACGGACTCAAAACCGAATTGGCGTGATTCAAAAGAAATGTAACACTCCTCAAAACTTCTTTTTTGTGTTCAGGTTTCCAGTTGTCGCCATGGGGGTTTTGAAGTGGGTGGACTGGACTGTGTCCGAGCCACGCTACTTCCAGCTGCAGACAGACCACACTCCTGTGCATTTAGCTCTTCTGGATGAGGTGCAGCATCATGAGCGAGTGAAGATCAAGTTTCTCTTCCTTATTCTAGACCAATTTTAACTTAAACATGAATCTTTCCTCTTCACAGATCTGTACGTGTCACCAGCTGCTGCACCCACAGGTCCTGCAGCTGCTCATTAAGCTGTTTGAGACGGAGCACTCTCAGCTGGACGTCATGGAGCAGGTCTGAGTGTGTGTGTGCTTATCTGACTTACACAGAAGTGTGTTTTGCTGTAGGTGTGACCTCTCTGCTGACTGTGTGTCGGTTTTTACTTCCCTTTCAGATGGAGCTGAAGAAGACTCTGCTCGATCGGATGGTTCATCTGCTGAGTCGTGGCTACGTGCTGCCAGTCGTTGGTTACATCCGAAAGTGTTTGGAGAAACTCAACACAGACATCTCCCTCATCAGATATTTTGTTACAGAGGTAACAGACTTTTCTTGATCTGCAGCGAAGAGAGAGAGAGAGAGCATGAGAAAAGAAGTGACCTCTGGTTTTAAGTTTTTCTGGGTCACTGGTCCTCATACTTTCAAAGCCCTGCAGGAATATGTGTGGTCATTGAGATTCTTCAAAATGTTCATGTTTCTACCTTTTAATGTTTGAGTATTTTACTTAAAAGTTGACCTTTACTTGAGCCAGTCATCAGGTGGTGGTCATATGTTTGGACTCCTCTCACTGTAACAATATTCACTATAGGTGCTGGATGTGATCGCACCCCCGTACACATCAGACTTTGTTCAGCTCTTCCTGCCCATCCTGGAGAACGACAGCATTGCAGGAACAATACGAACAGAGGGAGAACACGATCCTGTCGCAGAGTTCATTGGTAAGTGACAAACTCGTGATTCAAATCTGGAAATACTTTTGATACTGAGAGAAAAAAAAGGATAAATAGTTTTATCATCAAGGGGCTCAGCTTAAGCTTGGTGGTCGAAGCGTATATTCCATATAGAGAGAGGTTAGTCTGAGGTGTTGCTGGTTTCCTTTCAGCCTGTGATTGTTTGCTTCATGTCTTCCCAACATTTTTTATGTCTCTATTCAGCTTGGATGTTGGTGTGTAACCGTAACCCCTAAAAGAAACCCCGAAAGAGTAATTTTATCATCATGAATATGCTCAATGGATTCAAAAAAAAGTTTGAAGTGTTTTAATTTTAGCACGAGCAAAATTCACTCATTCAAGTGAACTAATATCCTATTTCTGTTTTCCAGCTCACTGCAAGTCAAACTTCATCATGATAAACTGAAGTTTAGAGGACTATAAATTCATGATGCAAATTGAACCTGCAAAACCTGAAAGATGCAGCAGATCTGTTACCTGGGTAACCCCATGCTGGAGTGTTCAGCTTAAAGACTGACTGTGCGGTTCAACAGAGTGAACGGTCAGTTTCTTGGAAAAGAAAACATCAGTGAGCTGATAAAATACAGTAACAAGAAGACTGAAGCCTCAGAAGATGCAGCTAAATGTTTTTTTTCCTCATCTGTATATTTGATTTTCTTTGTATAATGTTGGTTTGAAATGTTTTAAAATAAAAACCATAATGTTGTTTCCTGCCTTTTTGAATTTTTGCGATTTCAAAATGACACTTTTTGGTCTTTTTTTTCCCCTTTGCTGGTAAAAGTAAAAAGTAAGAGCTGTGCTACAAGTGAAGAGATGATCAGATCCACATGAATTTGTCAAACAATTTTTAAAAAATGGTATGGACAGCAAGTAACTCCATTTTGGTTTTTTGAGTGCAGGCAGTTACTAATTACATGCAACACTGAATGATGATCGACTGACCCCACAGATTGTAAAAGAAAAAGCATTAGATATTTTCTGTAGAGCACAGAGGCTGTTCTCTGGATCCAACGTCTGATATCCAGTTTAGCTAATGTGAATGGTGCAGGTTGCTGCCCAAAACATTCACAGATAGATTCTTGTTTCAAATAAAATCAGAACAACACAAATACATGGGGAGGATTATTAAAAGTCATTTGAGTGAGGAGACTGACTGATCTACACTGTCACCGGAGGAAGCAACGAAACTTACAGCCACAAACAGTCATTGACATTCAGAGCGATTTTGAGTTGTGTTTATTGAGTTTGTCGGTGAAGTTTGAAAACAAAAATTACAACACAGTTGACTAAAAGTCATAAGGCACACCCAAAGTTGATATCTTTCTTTTTGTGCATATGTTTCCTAAAACATGGTGCAGTGCAATACTTTTCAAAAAATTTCAAACACTGAGAAAATTCAGTGTTTGAACAGCGCAGAACAAATGATAAATGCTTGTCTTTGGTTAAGTCAATGCGCATTCAAACTATGATAAGTTCTTTCTCCTCTAAACCACATGAAATAAAGTATTTTCACTTTTTTTTAACTCTATACACTTCAGCCTTCAGTGAGTAATTTAACTGTAGCATAAAAAGAGTCCTGATCACTCCTCAAACTGAATTATGTAGTTTGACTGTTACACAGCTTTCAGTGGAGTAAAAAGAAAAATTGATACCCACCCTGAGAGTGAAAAAAAAAAACACTAAAAACTTAAAAAAGATCAAATCTAAACTAATTCCCTTTCCATCATTTCACATAGAAAAAGTTCCTCCTCTTCCTGAGATACAAAGACACACGAGCGAGTGCAGAAATAACCTCCTCATTGAGGTTGTTGGTCTCTACACGTAGGATTTGGGGAGGATGGGGTCTCCGTACATGCAGTCCTCCTCCAGAGCCAGGTTGTAAGAGCTGCCACTTCCTCCCTTATAGGCGCTGGTCACGATCCTGAGCCAGCCTTTCTCACCCTGAGGGCGAAAACAATCCCTGATTAGTCATGAGGATCATTTTTTTTTAATTTCTGGCTCAAGCTTCATAATCTGTCATGTCTGCTGTGGACCAATCAAGATTTCAGCAGCAGTTAAAGGTGGGGTAGGCAGGAATTCGTTAAAGAATCATCTTTTTCTGTGGTGTTTATACAAAAAAGATTTTACTATCAGTCAATAGCTAACAGTCATTGATGACATTTGGTAATATAACAATATCGCTGTTTTATTACGTCTGTGTAGTCAACATTTTAATTTTTTTGCGCGCTCCACTCTTTCTACTGGCACTTCCTCAGATCCTGCCTACCCCACCTTTAAGGGCTCTGGCAGTTCAGCAAATGATACTACAGCGACCTGTTTGGGAGCTTTAACAGCTGGCTCTTGTTGCTAAACTGAGCAAAATAATCTGGACCCCTAAAAAGAGCTGAAACAACCATCACTATGAGAAACATTTTCTGTGAATCATCTTTAAGTGAGCAGCCTTTTCTGACCTGTCAATCATTGTTTCTTTTACATCAAGTTTTTTTTCAGTTTGTTTTGACTTATAAAGACTTACCCATGGCTCTCCCCAGGAGTTACGCACAATCCAGTACTCAACACCGCCCTCCACTCCCCATCCTGCCACAGACACAATGTGGTTGATGGAAGGATCCTCCTGATATTCAGAGTAGAGACCTCCAGTGTAGGCATCCAGTTTATCTGTGGCCATGATCCCACAGCTGAAGAAAGAGAAACACCACAGATTACTTACTTTTTCTGGTTATACATCTAATTTTCAAGCTATTTCACTTCACTCTGGAGTGTTTCTGTGGTTCATTTCTACAACTTTGGTAGCCTGAGCTGTGTTGTTAATGTTTACCCTTTATCATACTCTGAGAAATTGACCCACTTAGGTACATGGCCCCTTGTGAACATTATGTACTTTATAGCTTGAGGTTACAGGTAATACAGGTTTATATGTGTTCAGTTGATCCTATATTTGTATTGACATAATGTGGCGCTATGTCAAAAATCTATCTATCTATCTATCTATCTATCTATCTATCTATCTATCTATCTATCTATCTATCTATCTATCTGTTTGTGGAGTAAAATCATACACCAGTACTACAGTGTACCTTGGAAAATTTTAAAGGACTGATGCAGTTTTTACTTTTCCACAAAGTTCACCTTTGTGTTTAAAACACTGACAGTGTGTCTGTCTGCTTTCCAAATGTGTAGCATAACTGTGACAAACCTGATGGGTCCATTTGCGTAGATCTCTGCCATCATCTTCTCCCTCCCGCTGACTGATCCAAAGTCTCCCACTTTCCACAGGGTGTAGTTCTTCACAATGTTGCACACGCCAAAAGTGGTGCAGGTTCCACATTCATTGAAGGGTTTGCACTCTTTGGAGGAGGACAGACAACATGCACAGCTCAAACCCAGTGTTACAAAGGCAGTGTTACTGATGACAGCCATTGCTTTCTTCACTGAACATCACTTACTCTGGTCTTTAGCCTGGTAGTTGTTGCAGGTTTCATCTGGGATCCCGTGTGTGTTTGCATATTCCCAAACTCCGCTGTGATCCCCTCCATGGCAACTGCCGGCTTCACCGCAGTCAATCACATGCTGAACAGAGAGGTAAGCAGACGGCCATGCCGCTTTCCGCTTAATGTTGATGCGGTCTAGAGACAAGCAAACAAAAATAAATCAGACAAATAGTTCCTGTGCGAAGAGGATGTGAAACTTAAAAACCGTTAGTAGCCGGTTAGTGCAAAAGTTCTCCTGCTGCTGTTTCTTTCTGCTGCATTTGACACAGTGAACCATGAAACCCTAATTTCCGCACTCGCTGAACTTGGTGTCTTTGGAATGCCCTGGAGTGGTTTGTGTCCTTACAAAGAGATCTTATAAGGTATAGTAGAAAAGAAGGGTGTCAAAACCACATTTCTTATCACTAAGGGTGCCTCAAGGGTCAGTGCTTGGTCCCCTCCTTTCTCTATAAACCATTTTACCTGGTGCAACTTATGGCTTCCTATATCACAACTATCCAGATGAAAGCCAGCTCATCCTGTCCTACCACATGTTGACTACTAAAACTCCTTCCTGGCAAGTCTCCCAGCATGTACATTCAAACTTCCGTAGATAATCTTGCACCCAGCTGCCAGACGGGTCAGAAATCAGCAACGAACACACTTCCTGCCTACATGGATCCCTCATCCAATAGTCCACCCCTCCCTAACTGCGCCACTCCTCATGAAATGATGATTGTGGTTCCATGTTAATGATATGATACTACATGGTAGCACTACATTTGATCGCACTGTGGCCCTTAAAGGGATATTCCAGCATAAAATTAATTCAGGATCAAACACACCACAACATCGAGTTAGACACCCCCTTGAGAGATGAATGTTGCCGACTGCTTGCTTCTCTAGTTATACCAACTTTGGTAATGACCGCATCATAGCAATACACAGCGGTCTGAGGAGCCATAAACAAACCTCAACCAAAACGCCACTCTATAGCCACAAATAATGCTCAGAACAGCACCTAACTTCATCACATTTATGATCATTACTTTATCATTTCCTTGAAGTAATAATCACCATATTAATCATTTTGCACTGAAGACAGAGTAGTTCTTCTGCCTCAGCATCTTGGTTTGATTGAATTTCCATGAAGAAATGATCATAAATGTTCTTCCTTGAGCTGCGTCACCCCGCTGCAGTCCGTAATGGACTGGCCCGAGGTCTCGCTAAAAACAAGCGGCTGCTGGAAGAGAGTAATTGAGTTGTGTTTAGTTGGTATAACTAGAGAAGCTAGAGGTCGGCAACATTTAACTTAATCGTTCATCGTTTTAGGTTGAACTGGTCAAAAGTGTGTGTGTTAAATGAAATTATGACTTCCTCACACTGTAAAAATCTCTGAGCAGTCATGTGAGGTACTTCTGCTTTTTTTTTATACCTTTACAAAAACCACAGTGACTCAGCAGGTTTTTGAGTTCCCATTTGAAAATCTTACCTGCCATAGCGCTGGTGCTGCCATGAGCCCAGCAGGAGCCACAGTACTGAGGAATGTGCTGGTTGCGGGTTGTGCTCACATAGTTGACGCCGTCGATGTTCCTCCAGTCCCAGGATTTGGGCAGATCAGAAACCTTGAGAAGCTCATGGGGACGAGGACCTGTCCTGTGGAGGGACAACACATCAGGTGTATTAGTACATTAGTGGCAACACTCTCAAAAAGAGACATGAAGAAAACATGTAAAGTAAATGTTTAACGATATAAAAGTTTCTGAAATCAAACTATTAAGACATACCAGGAATTTTATCTAAGTATTTCAAGAATGTATAACTGTAACTTTCTCATGATTCTTGTATTTTGTTTGAGCCAAAAAGTAAATATCCTCAGATTAAACATTGTGTTACCCTCGATAGTCACCAAAAGTCATACATAGCTTCATGATTTTACTGTAAACACTGAAAATACACTGTTTACCAGCATTAATATAGAATTAAAAGAGACCAAATGTTCCAAAATACTCTCTCAAAGTGAAATGTTTACAATGACTGTACAATATCAAGCTTCTTGTCTATTACTGGGTTGTTTTGCCAGTACAGTTGTTATTTACAGCTAACCATAAGGAAGTTATAGGGCTGGAAACTTCCTCAACCTGTGATTCAGTGAATCTCGTGATTTAAATGACAAGCAGAGGAAACAACCTAAGTTTCGTTTTGTTATTCACCAAGCAGCCCAGACCCAATTACTTTTACAAGACAACTGGAAAAAAATTAAATAAAATCTAATTTTCTTCTTCTGTCCAACTTCTGCGACATTAACTGCAATACTTTCGTTATTTATCAATGCTTTAACATCATATGAAAGAGAACATTTGCTCTGGTAAAGATAACACTAACTCAGCCTGCAGCCGCACCTCCTGAAAAAAACTGACATATGTAGCTAACATCGGTCGGCTAGCACAAATGTTTCCCCCGTCAATGTCTCCAAACTTTCTGTATACTTTATAAATATAATTTGGACAAACTGGGTGAATGTGACTTACTTTAGCCCAAAGTCGTTCCTCCTTGGTGAGCGGACGTAGCAAGCTTGTTTTTGGTTAAAAAACACTCCAGCAAACACAGCAGACAAAGTGACTGAAAGAACAACAAGGAAGAAAACTGACTGAGACATTATTGACTCTAAGAGGCAAACACTGATTTTAAAATGTGGTTTCTACAATAAAAAGAAAAACAATAGGCAGGTGTTAGTTGCGAAACCAGGCAGACAACTGAACAACACAGCGAGTGAGCTCCGACCTCATTAAATCTGTACGTACACTACAGTCATGTGACGAATGCGTCATACGCAGCCGGCCATGTGTTTTCCAGGGAAGTCACAAGTATGTGAATGTTACTCCCAGAAAACAATACCCCGAGCAAAAGGCCTGTAAAATTGACATGAGATTACGCTTTAACATGTTTGTTAACACTTTTACAGGTGCAATTACCACCTAAATATCTCAATATCTGAAGAGAAAGACCAAGTCACCCTCACGTGAAACCTTTCAAATGTTAACCTGAACTCATGATCATGGAGTTTCATGCTGACTAGACTGAGAATACTTAATGTGTCAGCAATGTTGGTTGTTAACCACAGCATACAACAGTTCTCCCTACCATGGTGTTACCTGCTGCAACAGAAAAGTCATCTTTTTTTTTCTTTTCCAGATTTTGACTCAGGTTGTGAAAACTTGACGGAGCGTGGTGACAGCTCCTTCACTATGAGGAGTAAATTATGTCTTTGGTGCACTATTGAACAAGGACAAAGCAACAGAACAATATGCGATTTCTGCAGGTATTTCACGAAAAAGAAACAACATGCATTCATTCATATTACAATAGTTCAAATTAAAGGAATATCAACACACCACAACACTGAGTTAGACACCCCCTCGAGAGATGAATGTTGCCAATCGCTTGCTTCTCTACTTATACCAAATTTTGTAACGACCGCACGATAGCAATACACAATGGTCTCAGGAGCCATTAACAAACCTCAACCAAAGTGCCACTCTATAGCCACAAATAATGCTCTGAACAGCACCTAACTTCATCAACAGTACATATAGGGTCCCAGCCATAGTACTAGCCACCAAACATCTTTTTAACTTTTCCTAATTTTCTTTGTGTTTAAGAGACTAAACACAACTCACCAACTCTCTTCCAGCAGCCGCTTGTTTGTACGGAGACCTCGGGCCAGTCCATTACGGACTGCAGCGGGGTGAATAACATTTATGATCAATACTTTATCATTTCCTTGAAGTAATAATCATCATATTAATTGTTTTGCACTGCAGACGAGGTAGTTCTTCTGCCTTAGCGTCTTGGTCTGATTGCATTTCCATGAAGAAATGAGGTCTCTACAAAGAAGCGGCTGCTGGAAGAGAATAGGTGAGTTGTGTTTAGTCTCTTTGCTTAAGAAATCAGGCAAAGTTAAAAAGATGTTTGGTGGCTAGTACTGTGGCTAGGACCCTATATGTACTGTTGATGAAGTTAGGTGCTGTTCTGAGCATTATTTGTTGCTACAGAATGGCGTTTTAGTTGAGGTTTGTTAATGGCTCCTGAGACCATTGTGTATTGCTACCTGCAGTTGTTACTAAAGTTGGTCAAACTAGAGAAGCAAGCAGTCTGCAACATTCATCTCTCGCGGGGGTGTCTAACTCAGCGTTACGGTACGTTTGACCCTAAATTAATTTTACGCCGGAATATCCCTTTAAGGTTGTACTGAGAGTAAAAAGGCTAGAATGTGACCCTAATGTTAGGAAATGTTTGTTTTTTAAGAGTTTTACTCAACAGGCACACAGAGATCAGATGGCACCACCTTTATTGAAGGACAACAGGATTGTCACGAGGATGGAAAAAAAAACATCACGTTTACACTGTCGAATACTAACAGCTGTGAGTTGTGCTGACAAAACTTAGTGGCACAGATTGTCAATCATTTATCTGATAACATTGTGAAACTGTTGAAAAACTGCTGTAAGCTCTCATTCCTCAGTTTGATCCAGACATCACACAACCCAGTGAAACAGAGTGAATACAAAGTGCAGTGGTTATCAAAGAAGAAATCCCTAGCCTTGCCATTTTTAACAATGTGAAAGAAAACATGAATGGCAGATTCCTTGAACAATTACAAAGAACAATTACAAAGAACTGCTGCTTTCAGAAAGCTGCTGTTTTTCTGTCGTAAAGATACATCACTTGCTTTTTTTTTAAGACATCATACTGCATCCTTATCCAGAGCAACTGGGAATTAAGGGAATTTGACAATGTGTGTTTTTTCACAATCAATGACACATCTGATTTTCTGATGATTAACAGTTTTTATTAAGTGAAGTTTATTTCAAACACAGTGACTGGAAATACAGTTAAAGATGTTTGGAGCTCTTGACAGTATTAGTGTGGTGGCTGCTGAGTGATCAGGCTTCGGGAGTAAACCGTGTGTCAGGTAAGTTTTTACACCAGCCTTCGTCTCTTGCAGTCACGCTCCATCTGGTCCTCGCACACGTTTGTGGACGCACCCAGAGGAGACACTTGGTTAAGCATGGAGTCATCTGATGCCTGACCGAACAGGGCCATTAGCAGAGCAACACCAAATCCTGTGGCACGCTCTCCCTGCAGAGGAGGAATAAAGCACAACAAGGGTCAGATTCCAGCACCATCACTATAAAGCAAGCCTCATCTGATCTGTTTATGGATACGTTTAAGGTTAATTTTTATCGTGACTGAAACGTTAGATAAAATCAAAGTGCTTCACAACAAAAGGAGGTTAACAGGAGAAAAAGGCAGCAACATTTAAAATAATAAAGGATTATAAAAAAGGTTAATAAAAGATTTTGGATACAATAATCCTAAATCAAAACAGCAAAATTATTCAAATAACGCAAGTCAGAAAAATCCATTTAAATCAGTAAAAATTGAATAAAACAAGATTCAAACCAAAAAAATAATCTTTTTTATTTATTATATCCTATTTTAAAAGTTATAAAGTTCTGGCCCAAACCATTAAGTCTCTCTAAATATTCAAATAACACAAGTTAGAAAAATCAATTTAAATCAGTAAAAATTAAATAAAACAAGATTCAAAACAAAAAAATCATCTTTTTTATTTATTTATTCTATCCTATTTTAAAAGCTATAAAGTTCTGGCCCAAACCATTAAGTCTCTCTAAATTAAAAGTCAGATTAAAGAAGCAGCTCCTAAGTTTCCTTTTAAACACGCATATCCTGAGTCACAGAGTTTCAGAGTTTTGGTGCATAGGACCAGAAAGCTCCATCTCCAATGTCCAGTCCTTGTTTGGGAATCATGAGGACCACATAAAAAGTACTCAAGAGAGAATAAAATGACAGGTCTCTGATGTATGGAGGAGCAAGTCTGTGAACAACTTTAAAATCATTTCTTAAAGATGCAGGGAGCCGGTGCAGAGTTGTAAGAAAGGGGTTATGTGATCAGTTTTCCTTTGCGTGTTAAAACTCTGGCAGCTTCCTGAATGAGCTGTAGTTTAATAAGTGACTTTTTTTTTTTTTTTTTAAGCACACCAGTGAAAAGGGTGTGACAACAATCAATGTGGCTGAGGATAAAAGCATGACTAACTAAGCACCTTCCTGGGATAGAAAAGGTTAAACTTTTGGAAATGTTTCAGAGATGATGAAATGAAGTACTGTCTCGTTAAATGGGAACTGAAATTTAAATCATGATGTGACACCCAAACAGCAAACAGTCTGTGGCTGCAGAAGTTAAGATGAATCAAGAGAAAATGTCAAACATTTTTGTTTTCAGGAGAAAATGTCCTCCTTTTTTGCTGCTATCCTTCAACAACAGCTCACCATCAAGGGACATGATCAAAGACCTCATAAACAGATGACCTTATATTTGACACAAAGAATGAATCATGGTAACTTCACTATTTAGCCGACTTGATGGAGACCAGGAGAACTTTGGTATCAAGGGCAGCTGATGGATCCTTTAAACAGCCAGTATGAAAAGTAGAAATAATAACTTGTTGACAACAACTTTTTATCATTTTAAGGCACTTCAAAATCTTTCAACTCTTTCATGATTCACATAATTTTAGACATACAAGGCTATGCTGAGTTTTAGATTCACATTTTTGCCAACTTCCTTTAAAAATCTGCTGACTATTTTCCATCCAACTTTCATGTTCCTAAATCTTGTCGTTCTCTTTCAACAAAACAGTCAAGATTTTTTTGACTGATGCAGCACATGATTAATGCAAAAGCAAGCAGTTGTACTTTTTTAGTATTTATAGTACATTTAACAAGATGTGTGTGACATCTAGTCTGAACAAGTATATTTTCAGTTACTAAACTAACGCCACAAGCTGTTGTTTGTTATGAGACACTCCTTTTCTAATTTCATGCTAGTTTCAACCACACCATTCCTTGTCAAACAAGTTTTGGGCAATAGCAAAAAGATTCGCCCATTTAAAAAAACTTTAACTTCAACCTCAACAGCCATCATGATCCTGAAGATACTCACAGCGTGAACAGGTGAGGCAATGTCCACATGGACCCACACGCCAGGCCAATCAAAGCCCAAGTGGGAACCAATAAAGAGTCCAGCACAGGAGCTTTGGGCATTCTCCCGGTCCTGTTAGGACGAAAGAGAAGGAAAAACTCAGCAACTGCACTATTTGAATTAAAAGAGTAATAACAGCACAAGAGTCCTACTTAAAAGACTCATTTTAATAATGAGTTACGGGTTGCAGTTACTGTAAGAAACACAAAATGTTTGTTGAATCTAATCTCCTACAGTTCACAGATTAATTTAGACAAACATAACTCTGCTTCAAATGAAAAAGTTTAGAAAGATAAGATGACATGAAAAGAGGTCAAACTGGTTAAGCTCCATGGCCAGACACTCCTAAATACAGACCTGATATACTTCAACAAGTTATGAAAGACGGTGCATGTGCTATGTTTCAAATACTTCAGGTAATGTTGTTCACATGCTCGAGTTCCTATTGTGTGATATGGTGTAATAAAGGAGAGCTGTGTACAAAGGACAGGTAATGTAGCCCCTCTATAAAGTCAAACAGAGCTGCTCTCTCCATCAATGTTCAGTCTTTACTCTGACCGTGTAAACAGAGACAAGCTGTTCAGAGTTTGTCATCCTTTTCAAGTTATTAGTCAACCTAACAGTCGAGTCTTTAACTTTAAGAATTTTACAGGGTTCCAAAAAGAAACATATTTAGCTCTATGAGTCCAGATGCAACACTTAAGATCAACTACTCTGAAGACCCCAAGATCAGCATACACTAACAAAGAAAATGGTTGCTGTATTTCTCCTGCTGTCCAGCTCCTTCAGGCTGCACTGGCATCCAATGACCCAAACAGTATAATAGTAAGAGAGATTGTGTTACAGTGAGGTAAGAGTAGACTTTGTAGTGTCTATGAAGTCTATTTTCATGATACACTTTGTGATTTTACTTTGATTTGACGTTTAAACTCTCAGATGCACCGGCTTCTCAAGCTATTTGTTACTGGTGGTTAAAGAAAGTGATCTGGAAGACTTTGTAGTTTGTCTCTTACTGCAACAGAGTTCTTCATGTCAGCCATGGCAGAGGTGAACTCGCTGAAGTGCAGCTCAGGGCAGTAGACCAGAGGGTGAGTGAGATCTCCACTGCTGCGGCCAGCGCGTACACATGCAACTTCCCACTGCTCGCTGTTTGTCATCACAGCTGCATGATACTTTCCTGTAGAGATCCCCTGAACACGCAGAAACAAGAAGACTTTAAGAAACAATGATAATACCTGTTAATTCATTGATGATAACAAGAGGGTGACATCTGTTATTGACTTGTCAGAGGCTAGCTGTCACCCACCTGTGCCCCAGTCAGAGTAGCCATGTCCAGAATAATATCAGCTGACAGGTCTTTGCTGGCATACACCACTCCATCAGCTAACACCAGCCTGCCCTCTGCATCCGTGTTATTGATCTCCACTGTTCTTTAGAATTAAAAAAAAACAACAATAGCTGATGAAAATCATTTATTCCTGCTTATTGTGCTCCTGAAATCACACATTTACACTATGAGAGCCAGGAAAAGGCAAACTGGGTGATTTAAGACTGTCTGATGTCTTACTTTCCAGAGTAAAGAGTGTGGATGTCATCAGGCCTCGTGGCCAAGGGTCCGACTGCATTCTCTGCAAGGCAGAACACTGCATGGAGGTTGTCCTTAAAGCCCTGAAGCAAACAGAGAATAAAGTTAGATTTTTTTGAAGTTAGGAACATAGGGAGCAAATACAACTGCTGCTGTGGGACCTCACCTGTTTGACAGTAGCTTTGAAAGCTCCCAAAATGGCAGCAGCTCCACCACAGTCTCTCTTCATGCCTGGCATTGTGGTCTGGGAGTAAAAATGCAACACATTAACAAGGGAGACACTAAATCCGACATGTGATGGAGCTCTCATGCTGCACTTCAAGGATGCGAGAGGCAGGACAGTGACCCAGAAGTCCACAAAATTACACTGATGCTGTTTTCACACATAAAAATTTCCTTGTTAAGTGTTAAGGGTGAGGCGCATGTGTGAAAAAGTACGGCCAAATTTTCATCCCGACCTTATCCAACCTCTGCCTGCAGGGCCCTGATAAAATTCTGCAGGACACCAGGATGAGCTGATAATCTTTGAGTGTGTGACTGCGTTGCATCAGCCTTCAACAACACCCTGTGACAACTGCAGCGTACTTTTTTACTATTTTAGACCCCTGCCTCTCTTTCATCTGACAAGAAGAACTTGGGTTGTGTAGGACAAACAGTATGTGTAGAAGCAACTTTGAGATATTATGGAGTGGATTGTCCTGAAACATACGATCAGTTTCCAGGAGTGCATGAGTGAAAATGACTTGAAAAGCTTTGCACAGCTAATCTGCATTGGAGATAAGTGTACGACATTAACAACGACATGTGAGGGATTATGTCGTCTTGGCTTAAAGTTGAACCGATCAGCGGTGTCAGGGATCAACGAGACAACAGCAGGCTGCTACTGAATACTGCTACTACCTAAGACTCGGTGATTGATCCCATTGCAACATTAGCAATGACACAGGTAGTACTCTTCATGATGTACAGCAACTTTCAGGACTTCTCGAGAAGGAAAACAGGAGTACCTTTCCCTTGATGCTGAGTCCTCCAGTGTCATACACAATGCCCTTGCCCACCCATGCAATGGTTTGGGTTGCACCTTCTGGTGTGTGGCTCAACACTGCTAATGCTGGAACATGCTGTGCTGCTTTTCCAACGCCATAAATACCTGATAGGGTAAAGGTTAAACATGACAATACTCAGAAAACTGCAGTTCTTAGTCATTTGTAGTTGAGTTCTTTAAGGAGTAGTTTCTTTTTTAGGAAATTTGAACAGAAATGCCACAGAATTGCATGAAATTATTATCACAGATTGTCTAAAGGCAAAAATCTTCTCTATTTGTTTGATCAGAATTTGGCTAGAAAATATTTCAGACAATTTACTATAAAACCCATGGCGAGTAAAACGTATATCAAGCGAGAAGCTACCTCCAAATCCTCTTTGATTTAGTTCCTCCCCACGAATGATCATTGGAGTGATTCCCAGTTCAGTTCCCACAGCTTTGATTTCCTGCAACAGAAATGTTTGTCAACAAAAACACATGAAAATATCAATAAAATCATCACAATTTTCAGGGGAGAAAGTTTCACTCACATCTAGGAAGTGATCTGTATTCATCTCATTACAAGGTGTGTCCACAATGCGAGCTGCCAGACGCACGCCATCGGCAGCATTGGAGAGGCACTGAAAAGAGACAAGACACCGCAGTTATCAAGCTCCCCAAGTTTAAAATATCCGAACTGTGGTAAAAGCCTCCTAGAGAGTCTGTAGTTTGTAAGAAAGGAGGAAAATAAGAGCAAAAGCAAACCTACCTCAAGTTCTGAGGCCTCCAGAGGGCTACTGTCTTGCCCAATGATCACAAACTCTACAGTGACATGCTTCTTCTCAGCCCTGCGGGAGGATGATGTGCGTCGAGAGAAGATCGGGAAAGCCCTTGCGATGGCGCAAGAGGACGCAAACACATCCGAACGCTCACAAACCATCTGGGGAGGAACCAAAAAAATCACTCAACTGACACAGACAGACAGACAGACAGACAGACAGATGGATAGATAGAAGTCTGAGTGAGATACTAACCATGATGCAGCGGTTGTTTCCTCCTGGAAGGCAGGATCGAACCAGACGGGACACAAAGTGGGCGGAAGATGGGCTGTTGTGCCGACTGACCCGCGACGGAATTGCGGCCACTGCAGCATGGTTGAGGTACAGAGGACAGCTGTCTGTGGGGTTCGGGTTCAAAGCACTGAGTGCTGCCTGCCAGGTCTGAAAAAATAAAAATTAAAAACATGAGAGGGTAAAGCTGAATTTGTCTGGTCGATTTAACAAGACAATATTTATCTATTATATTGGTTAATTTTCACTTATTAAGAAAACCGTAGGTGAACTGAAATCCTGACTGTTTGCCCATTTATGTTTTAGCGAGAGTCTCCGGTGCTGGACATTTCATGAGACTGCCGTACTATCATTCCATTTGATTATAGTGTTTTCTTCATTTGTTTGTTTTTCAAAGTTTTTGGGGGAATTTTTGCCTCTATTAAAATAGGACAGCTGAAAGCAGACAGGAAATGTAGGTAGTGGAGAGTGGGGAGAGGGTGACGTGCAGCAAAGGGTTGTGGCTGGGAGTCGACCTGATGGCTGCTGAAACCAGGACTGGAGTAGCCCCAGTACATGGGGCGCACCCTTTAACAACTGTTTGCAAATGTACACACTTCTGGGGGATACAGCTAGCACCTGATACTTACCTAACGCAGATTAAATGTTGGCTTTGACAGGTCAAAAGTAGAGGTCACCTGCTACCTTAGCACGAGGTTGAGTTTAGATTGATAAATGTAATTGTAAACCAAATGTGATCAGGATAAGAATAACCAGAGAGTTCACTTTGAAAGCTGTTGATGCCAGTTCTTTGTGGTAGTCATGATCTTTATAGTTTTTGTGTATTGTGTGGTTATATACGAGTAAGAGAGTCACGTGGTGGTGTGGAGGTGGTAGTAGTGAAGTCAGCTGTTCACCTGGCGGGTTTTGTGCATGAATGGAGAGGGGGTGAATGGGGAAGTCCTACTTTTTGCTGACTGCTCATGTTTTGCCTGATATTGAACGACTTCCCTCTTTTTGTTTCATGTAAGTGCGTCATCTTTTTTGCATCAATAAAACTACTAAAGGAGATACAGCCTATTCATAGAAGCTTATACAAAAGCCTTGATGGTCATTACCAGGAAGTGCTATGCTTTTAATAAAAATATCTGCTTTGCAACTGTTTGTCAAAGCACTTTGTAAACTTCTGTTTTTAAAAGTGTGATAAGAATAGAGCTATTATTATTATTATTAAAGCAGGTGGTCTGGAAGGCATTTGTCTATATTGTGTAGTGTGTACTAGGGCCCAACCGATTTATGAGTAACATGAGTTAAGACGCAGAGGCACCGATCGGCGCGAGGGTAGTTGGTCAAAGTTTGATCAGTCGGTCTTCCTGTCGGTGTGAAGAGCAGTAGCCTACGGTATATCTACAGTATAGTATACTGTAGTATAAAGTATACTGTAGATATCTACAGTATATCTATATATATATTTTATAACTATATAAAAAATTTCAAAAATCGGCTGATTAATCGGTAATCGGTATCGGCCCCCAAAAATCCATATCGGTCGTGCCCTTGTGTGTACACTTATGTGTGCTGGGCCACATTAAGGTCTGTCCACTCTACATGTGTCGACAGCAGACAAAAAAATAAGTAAAGCAACAGAGTTAACAGGCATGTTGGGTAATAATTACTTATGGGTACTGAGAGCCTCTTCCCACTTCCCAAAGTCATTCTTTCAAGATTCTCCTTCCTGGAGGCTGACACTATTGCAAAATAATCAACAAGGACTTTGCACAACAGTCCATAGCACACTGCTTACATTTCAATCAGATATAGGAGTACGGAGTCTGTGTGGCTGGCTTTGTTCATCTATTCTACACCAACCAGCCGAAACATTATAAACACCTGGGTGATCTAACAAAAACTGAAAATGCAGAAATAATGGAGGAGTTGTTGGGTGCACAAACTAGATTAGACCCAATTCATGCTTTTATTGTGGCCATACATTTGTTAACTTCAGAGCCAGGACACAGAAATTAACCTCAACGGGTAACCAAATGTCATTTTTAAATCGTTCATTTTGCTGGTTCGCTGGATAATAACCTAGAACAACTTGTTACTCTGTTTGGCAGCTTCAACCCTTACAAGTTATGAGTACATCGAACAAAGCCGACGTTAAATTCACTTTGTCTAACCAAAACCATGATCCCCCTCTAAGAAGATCACCAACTTTGAGCATGACTTTGAAAGCTAGTAGATAAATCTGAACGTTCACTTATACGGTGTCATTATTAACTTAGCTACCGTTGGTAATGTGTTTAAGCTAGCGGAGTTAGCTTCCTGAGGTTAGCTTAGCGGGCACATAGATCTGCTGTCATTTTTGTTCACAGTCTCACCTCTTTGCTGACGGCTGGCTGCAGTTTTCCTTTAATTTGGCTCCAGCTTGCTTGCTGTAAGCTGGTATGCTGTCCGATAATCAGAACAGGGCGATTCTGTGGCTCGGAGTCACCGGCTGAAGTCTTGAACTCCAGAACCACGTTCGCCATTTTTTCACTTGTCAGATAGAGAAGAAGAAGTGAACGCAGCAGTGGACAGTTCACCGGTGCAGCCCGGACCCGCGACGGAAGCTCGGAGGGGACATAAAGGCATAGCGTGTGCGTGTGTGCGTGCGTGTGCTCTTAAAACATAATGTTCAGTTAAGCATTTTAGCTGTTCAACATTTCCCATAGTAATCCAAGTGGCAAATACGATCGACGAAGCAATCAGTTAATCAATTTTAAAAGATTCACAAAAACTTGAAATGAATCATTTACACACAAATCGAAGCAAGTAAATAGGCTACAATGAAATTAAGATAGGGGAGAGTGGGGTAAGATGAGACATTTTTTCTATTTGGGATCACTACATCAAGGCAATCATAGTTTTGTCTCTAACTAGTGTATCTGCAAATATTTCAAGATGTTGTGCATCCCTGCAAACCAACAGAATGAGTGTTAACATAACTGTCTTGATAATATAGCATGCCAAAAAAAAAGGGGGTCTCCTATGGTCAACTTACCCCGTGTCTGGGGTAAGTTGACCATAGGAGCGGGGTAAGTTGAGCCGTATCCCTACTACCCCTACTCAACTTACCCCACTCTCCCCTACAATTAAAATCTGGGGTTCAATAACAAAAAAATCCAAATTATGTATTAACATTATAAAACACTTGTTTGTGGGCTACGATGCCTTAAAAAAAAAAGCAGTTTCAATTCATTTTTATGTTCTTATAAATTTAGGTACAACTCAGAAATAGCAACCCCTTTAGTTTAGATTTGGTTTATAATAAAAATAATATTACACAAAATGTTAACCTCTTCGTGTTACACAAACACAGCAAACACTAGCAGACATTTAGTCGGTTCAGTCATAGTGCTTGTAAGAATGAGAAATTTAATAACCTCCAATGGCGACCTGCAGAAACTACATGATAACTTTTTCTCATGTGAACATTTAGAAATGTCCACGCATCTTGTTTGGGATATACAGCAAACAGTTAAATATGCAACTAAAAACAAAAGCTGAACCTTGATAATACTGTATATAATTTATTTATATTCATAAAATAAAATAGACTGGGGGAGAATAAAAGAACAACACAATCATGTCGGTAAATAAATGGGTTTAACGTCCGACACAGAAAGGTAAAAGAGCAGAAATCTTATGGCTGAAGTCAACTGCATAATTATATAAGTAAAATAACTCTGCATCACTGATGTCCGGTCATTTTTCATTACTTCTATTTACTTTTGTTTGTGATGTTAGAAAAGGCCACAAACACTGTTCAAATATTTATTTATTTTCTCTCATATGAATTCCATTAACAACAAAATTCACACAGAGAATTCAAGTTGTTAACACCCTGAAGTAAAAACGGTTTGTTCACTTGAGAAGCTGCATTTAGTGTTAAATGATTTCGTTGCTTCTTGTGTTTAGAAATGTCAAACCACTTTCTCTACAAAATTCTTCAAAAGGAACTAATGAGATTTAAAAACACATGTGGTGAAAGCATAATGCCACAAGTTTAAAAGTTAGAGATATCTGTTGTATTTTTTCAAGATGGACTTTTGTGCACATAAACCAAAACAGGGATAACCTACAGTGAAGTCAACATTTTCAAGTCAGAATACAAATCTTTTAAGCCATTTTAAGATACTACAAAAGATATTAGTATGACTGTGTTTACAGTCCTCTGACTCTGAGAAGATTAAAATATTTTATGTATATTTCCATCTTAGAAAAGGGAAAGACAGGCAGTGACAGCTTTGTACCAGTAAAGGTGTGTTGTACAAGTCTATTTAAAGGTAGAGACATCATTTGCAGACACCACCAACTTTTTCACCAACTCAAAAACTAAGTAAAATATCATGCAAGACATTTTCTAGTTCCATATTCTTAAATGTGAGGGACTAAATGTTTTTTACTCATCTACATGTCTAAGCTAAATATCTTTGGGTTTTGAACTGCTGACCAGAATAAAACTGTAATTTAAATACATCACTTTGGGTTATAGGAACTTCAAAAGAGTCAAGGAGTTTATCAAAATTTTAAACATCTTTAGTTGCAGATGTACAGAAAAATAACATTTACTAAAGACACAGCCTGAATCTAGTAAGAATATTCCTCCTTAGAGCTTCAACCATTCATACCAACACATTTATTCTTTCTTTGTCTTATTCTCTGGCTTATTTAGCTTAAACATGACACCTCTCATTGGAAACGTTACATTAAGCTCAAATTGTACTTTTTGTCACATCTACAGTACAGTCCACACCGCTCTGAGGTAAGCTCTCAATGATTTGGGATTGAGGATAATACGAGTTAAAGATAAACTCCATTTTGAAAAACTATTTTTACACTAGACTTTGTTAACTCTATTTATACACATGCTTGTAACTGCTACTTTGACTTAACTGAAATAAATGTAAAACATAATATTATAATGATGAAGTTATTTCAATCTGCATGGTGCTTGAAACACTCTGGACAGACAGATAAGAAAATATAGTCTCATTAATTGCATATAAGGTTGACAGCACCTATTTAGAGTTTTAAAGTGATTCGAGAACAAAGGTCTCAAATGCAAAATAACACTTGCAGATTCCCACATACGCATATTAAACACACAATCATCTGAGTGTCGCACGTGTCAGGTTCAAGTGTAGAGGGACCATTAAAGTGTGCTCATATTAAAACTACCATTCAGTTCTCATAGTTAGTACTTCATTAAAACAACAAATACATGTGCTAGACAAAACTCATGTCACAAAGAGGATCATCTAAGAGGTAAGCTAATATTAGAAATGTGTAAGACTAGACTTTAAAAAAGCTTTCACTGCTACTGATGCAGGAGTACACAGTGTACATGCAGACACGCACTCGTGTAAATGTCATGAAGCTACGCATGACCACACCTGTTCCTGTGGACTTTATGTGTGTGTGGTGAATCTGCAGGGGCTTTAAGAAACACCGAGGTTAAGTTTCACCAGGGGAGGCCAACAGAGCGTGCTCTGCTTTCGACTTAGGCATGACACAGGTTACCATTGGACCCGCAAGTGGAATTGATGCCACAGTTTAGGATGGAGTTATAGTGAGAGGTTGCACCAGCAGCGGCCTCTCTGGGTGGGAAAGGCTTCATGGTTGAGAGGATCAGGGCCAAACAGTCTGCCACATTCTTGTTCGGGGCGCAGGCCAGAGCTGGTGTGTGTCCTGCAGAGGGCGAACAGGAACATCATGACCACAAGATGGCACTGACTAATAGTTTTTAAATAAGAAACATGGCTTCCATGGTATTCAATCATATGATATAATTAACCCTGATTACCTTCCTCGTCTACGGCCATGACTGCTGCTCCTCTGCTCAGTAACACTTGCACTACAGTCGCCAAGCCTCTCCTCGCTGCAATGTGAAGGGGCCTGTGTGAGAAGAACAGACAGATCTGTCACAGATTGCTTGGGCAGACAATTATGTAACATTGAGTGATATATTGAAATGCAGAACTATTAGGGACAAACACAGTTTCCTTGAAACTTTAAAACAAATTTTTGTACCAGGATGGCTTTGTCTTTTCACCACTCTCACCCCAGTTTTTTTTTCTTCACATTTTATTCTCAAGAGAAACAGAAAGAGAACTGAACATAAAAGTATCTTAAATGAATAGCCAGAAGATCCAAAGACAGTGTATAAGCATTAGAACTGTTCATTGAGGTATATATGGGACATTTCTAAGCAAATAATTACTTTATTTTGAATTCGTAATGTTATACTTTGGTTTTCAAAATCTGTTGTACTTGTTACATATTTTTTTTCCATGTAACAATCAATTTAATGACAATTCAAATTGCTAAATCTTCCACAGACACAATTGTGAATACCCTGAACTATCCTAGTGTATTGTCTACCAGCAAGTTAACAAAAACTTACATTTGGAGGGTGCTGTTTGTTGCATTTATGAGAGAGGAGTCACCGATCTCTCCGAGGATCAACAGAGCACACATCTCATGACCCTGCACAATCAGACACATTGTTACAAGAGATCATGTGTTACAGAAAAATGTAAGAGCTGTCCAAGCATCACAAAAGTTGTTAAAGTGTTTTTCTTTTTATGTAATCAATCCTGCCTTTTAACTCAAATTGATATGAATGGTGCGTTCGAGTTACCTCGGAAGTCAGATGTCCGAGCTGGGAATTACGTCACACCCGAGTTACCAGCATAAGTCGGAAGAAAGCAAAATCGGAGGCGGAAACAAGATGGCACATTTACGAAAGTTATTTTAGTGCTTGCCTTGTCCGAATATAAGCAAGGACAAGGCAAGCGCTAAAATGACTTTCGTGGATGTGGCCATCTTGTTTCCGCCTCCGATTGTGCTTTTTTCGGACTTGGTAACTGAAACGCTGGAAACTCGGGTGTGACGTCATTCCCTGCTCGGACATCTGACTTCTGAGGTAACTCGAACGCACCGTAAGAATTCCAGTAAGAGTAGCATCATCACAGCACATTAGCTAAATTCTCACTCCTTACAGTCTTTTCAGAGTTTATGGCTGTTGCTAATTTGCTACCAGTTCATTCACACAGTTTAAATTAAATATGTTTACACTTGAAAACAAAAATATCAGCAGAAAATAGATCATATTTTAGCAGGTTGTAACCTCCTCTGGAAGTCTTTAAATCAATATTACACAATATTGTTACACACATGCTACTGTTATTGTGCCTGTGCATGCACACGGTTCATGCTTGTGTATGTGTATGTGACCTTGCTGCAGGCTAAGTGAAGGGCAGTGTTATTATTGACATCCACCAGTGTCAGGTCGGGCTTCGCTTTGTGCAGCAAGAACTCTGAAATACAGAAAATAAGACACCTTTCAAAGCAGACACAGGGTAGATATCACCACATATTTCCATTTTCACACAAGACTTTCAGCATTTAGCATTTAGGTGTTGAAACTTAAAATCAGTGCAACAAGGATCAGTGGTGCAGAGATTTGAGAGTAAACTTAAGTGGATTGTAAGGGTCAAAACTATGATACCTACCCACTAAAAGCAAAAATACAGAGAAAAAAAAATCTAGGACACAATCAGTTTGCATGTCTCTAGTCTAAAAATTATGTCTTCAGGTTTTTCTTAGATTAAAGACATTCATTATAAGCAAACAGTACAATTATTTCAACCACATACCAACAGCTCTTGTATGTCCGCACTCAGCAGCAATCATCAGAGCAGAGCACCCACGATGGTCCACAACATTGACATCAGCTGATTGGGCCAGGACCAGCTGGAGCCCAGCAACATTTCCTGAATAAGCAGCTGCATGCAGCGGGGTCCTGCAACCATACAACAAAAAGTGATAACACAGAATGGACCAACGCAGTCAGTTCTTCTTAACATTAAAAAAACACTTTTCTGTTTGAGTCTATCACAATTTGCAAAGTTTGCGTTTTCATTCCTCCAGTGTAACGTCTTTTACCGTTTAATGCTCCTTTGACGGCAACAAAATATTGCAATTTCACAATCATTTTAGCCTTGTAAAATATAAACAAACATAAAGATCATCAATTTTGAAATGAAAAAACAACCACTCAAGATCAAACATCAACTGAGATAATACTGACTTCTCAAAAGAGTCTTTACTGCATGTATAAGATGTTTAACAGCTGCCTGTAAACTTAAATCTCACAAGAAAAATAAAAATACTTCAGTAAAGACATCCTTCATAATCTGTACCTGCACTGTCACATGAGATAAAGCTGAACCCACCTTCCTTTGGCATCGCTAGCATGAACAATCTGGGGGCCGATTATCTTAACGAGAAGTTCAGCGGCATCATCATGTCCGTTAACTCTGAACACGAGGGAAAGACGTCAGTTTTAACATGCCACAGTGAAGTTATCAGTCTGATTTTGGTCCACTGAGATTACTCACAGAGCACAGTGCAATGGGGTGAAGAGATTCCCTTCTTGGTTGCTTAAAAGTTTGTTTTCAAGTAAAATCCTTAGACATCCCTCTCGTCCTGCGGAGCCAAGAGGATAAAAACCCAATATTGCAATCTTAGCAAGGTAGTGGTAATAATGTGAATCATTTCACACTGAAAGGAAATATTACAACACCAAAATGGTAATACAAGGTGGTGTTTCTATCTGTTTCTTGCCGTGCCTCACCGTGGTGTGAGGCCCAGTGTATGGGTGTGTAGCCTCTGTAGTCCAATATGGAGTCCAGAGGGTCAGTTTTCACAGCAGCCTTTAACAAAGATTTGAGAAGCTCTATGTGGCCGAGGGATGCTGCAAGGTGCAGCGGGGTCCTTCCCTGAGAGTCTCTACAGAGCGCAGAGGCTCCATGCTCCAGCAAAGCAGATACACAGTCCTCACTGCCCAACATGGCCTGCAAGGAAGTACATAAATTATGACATGCGAGAGAAACATAGATGTGGACACAAAAGTATGCACAGGGAAATGTTCAAACACAAGTGCAGCAGATACACCTACAGCTCTGTGTAACGCTGTGAAACCCTTTTTGTCTACAGCGTCAGCCTTTGCACCCTTCTCCAGAAGGATGTGGACGCAGTCGGTGTGACGTCCAAGAGCTGCCAGCATGAGAGCCGTCCTACAGCGGACAAAAACAAACATGAGTTGACTGCTAAAATAGACCTTATTTTCCTGAAATTTGCAGCCATATGACCATATCACTTAAGAGTTTTGCTGCATGTAGAATTTAGTTCCTTCACTCCAATATTCTAATAAAATCAGCAACAAACAGTGTTTGTTTTAAAACATCTATGAGAGTTGATTTTGAGTCAAACGCAGACTTAAAGGGATATTCTGGTGTAAAATTAAGTTAGGGTCAAAACAAACCGTAACACGTAGTTAGACACCCCCTCGAGAGATGAATGTTGCCGACTGCTTGCTTCTCTAGTTATACCAACTTAACGACCACAGGATAGCAGTACACAGCAGTCTTAGGAGCCACACACAAGCCTCAACCAAAACACCACTCTACAGCCACAAATAATGCTCAGGACAGCACCTAACTTCATCAACAGTACATACAGGGTCCCAGCCACAGCACTAGCCACCAAACATCTTTTTCACTTTGTCTAATTTCTTTAGCAAAGAGACGAAACACAACCCACCCACTCACTTCCAGCAGCCACTTGTTTGTACAGAGACCTCGGGCCAGTACATTACGGACTACAGGGGGTGACGCAGCTCAAGGAAGAACATTTATGATCATTTCTTCATGGAAATGCAATCAGACCGAGACCCTAAGACAGAAGAACTACCACGTCTGCAGTGCAAAATGATTAATATGGTGATTATTACTTCAAGGAAATGATAAAGTAATGATCACAAATGTTCTCCCTTGAGCTGTGTCCCCCCACAGCAGTCTGTAATGGACTGGCCCGAGGTCTTGCCACAAACAAGCGGGAGCTGGAAGAGAGTAGGTGAGCTGCGTTTAGTCTCTTTGCTAAAGAAATCAGGCAAAGTAAAAAAGATGTTTGGTGGCTAGTACTATGGCTGGGACCCGATATGTTCTGTTGATGAAGTTAGGTGCTGTTCTGAGCATTATTTGTGGCTGTAGCGTGGTGTTTTGGTTGAGGCTTGTGTGTGGCTCCTAAGACTGCTGTGTACTGCTATCCTGTGGTCATTACTAAAGTTGGTATAACTAGAGAAGCAAGCGGTCAGCAACACTCATCTCTCGACGGGGTGTCTAACTCAGTGTTACGGTGTTTGACCCTAAATTTATTCTATGCCGGAATATCCCTTTAACTGATGACGTCACATTGTCAGTTAAGTCTTACCATGAACAAGTATTCTGATAAGTTTCAGGTTAAACTACTGAATAGACAGCTGTGAATATGTTGTTTGTATCTAATTAAATAATAACAGTCAAAATATAAACTTTTAGGTGACTCACTGTCCCTGTGTATCTGGACTGTCAATGACATCAGCACTGTGTTCCCTGTTGACCAACAAAAGCAGACAATCCATTTGGCCCTCAGCAGCTGCACAGAAGAAAAAGTAAGAGAGAAAAAAAATCAACAGAGACTCAATGAATTAGATTATAAATTGAAGGAGACCAATTTTTTTCATAGTCATCTCACATAACCACAAAACCAACACCAAAACCAAGTATACAGTATATTTTTCAGTCTTATTGCAAGTTGGTTTCTTTAACACCCAAGGCTCGAACACACAAATCAAGAATTCACACACACACATACACAAACACATACACACACACACCTGCAGCATGGAAAGCAGTCCATTTTTTCTTGTGCTCTTTCAGTGTGAAGGAGGCTTGATGCTCCAGCAGCACTTCCACACAGGGGGCAAAACCTCTCTGTGCAGCCAAATGGAGTGCAGTTCTACCCTCAATGTCCCGCACGTCCAGACTCACCAATGTCTCGGACAGCAGACTGAGCGCCTCACAGTGACCATAATATGCCTGGATCAATAGAATATACAAGAACAGAGTAGTTACAGGTCTATAAAATGTGCCATCTTGTTGAAAAGTCACATGATTGTGTTAATTGTGATCACAGGTACTTACAGCTAAGTGCAAAGGACTGACTGGAATATTACTTTCAGCCTCCTCCAGGCAGTTGAATGAAATTTCCAGAAGCTACAAAAGTGACAGAGGACGCATGATTACATAAAACAGTTATATTCTCCTATTTTAGAGGAAGGAGCGGAAAAAAATGAAGGCCTGACCAGCTCCAGATGCTGCTTGTTCCCATACGCTGCTGCATAGTGAACTGCACTGTAACCCTTGCTGTTCTTCAGAGTCGGGTTTGCCCCATTGTCGAGGAGGTAATCTAAGCACCTGAACACAGAGAGCAGAGTATTAAGAGTACTGCTAAGTATTTTTCTTACAGTAATACAAAATAATGTAAGACAGATATTATGCCGATTTCTTTATAAACACTCCCATGCAAATGTTTTTGGGACGTAGTCATGATCACAAAAAAAGAAAAATGTCTGTTTCAATAAAGTAAAAGTTTAATAGCTTTTAATAAGGAAGAACCTAAATAGAACTTCATTCCTGTTTATATCATATTCTATAAAAAAGAAAAAAGCTAATAACTCATTCAGTCGGACATTTTCTTTTATTTTTACTCTTGCTTAATGGTTGCAGAGATTTGACTGATTATTTTGGTTCTCAGTTTTACATTAAATAACTCAGTGATTTGCTGTTAAACACAAACACAAACACAGACCTGAACTATCCTGTAAGCGTTATTCACTGTCTGAGAGAAAAGAGCAGCTCGATGTGTCGGCATGAAGACAATAATCATTAACAAGATGTGTTTTATGGTAAATATGCAACATACAGAGAGGCTTCATGTTCCCTTTCCAAACTGTAGTGAGGCTCAGGGTTTGCGTCCTCTCTGTGAATTAAAGAGAATCATCAGAAATGTTCTCAGCGTTGTCATTCTAGTTTACTCACGATTAATATAATTGAAAAAGCAAATACTTTCTTACCCACAAAAGGTGTGTGAAGCAGCAGCGTAGTGCAGAGGGCTGCAGCCAGTCAGGTCCAGCTCGTTGACCTGAGCGCCGGCTCTCACCAGAGAGATTGTGCACTGGCTGTTAGCATTAGCTGCAGCATAGTGCAAAGGAGACCTGTGATGTGCAACGGGAGAAAAGACAGCTGTGAAATCAGGTCGCAGCAGAGCAGAGAAAAATAATCTTAGCTTAAGACATTTAGCACTCCTTACCTTCCTAAATTATCTCTTATGTCCAGCTCGGCAGCACTACTCAACAGCAAGTTTAGACACTCCACGTTCCTGTCACACAAAAAGACATTCAAGAAAGTAAGGCTGATTAGAGCTGCAACTAACAATTACTTTCAATGTCAACAAACCAGTTGTTCACTTTTCTGGTAATTCATCTGTTATTTGATCAATAAAGTCACGGGTAATTGTGCAATTTGTTGATCTGTGTTTTTTTAAACCAAAAATGAGGTTTTAAGAGGTTTTATTTGTAACAGAGATTTTCTGTTTACTGTTATAGAAAGAAAGAAATAACATGAAAATAATCACATTTAAGAATTGGGAATCAAAGGATTTACATAGTTTTTCTTCAAAAATTTGTTTGATTTAATATCCAAATAGCTGGGTTTTGAAAACCGAAAATACTTTGTGAATGGTAGCAGAGTTAAATTTGGATGATTAGGTGTGAAAGCTTTAAAGTAATTATGCTGAAAGTTTAATTCGGATTCACTCTTTAAGTTTTTAATCAGCAGACACAGGGACAAAATATTAAATACTCCTATTTGGTCAATGAAAAGCAACTAAACACAAAATCATTTCACCTCTACAATATAAGAAAAATGACAACTAGCATGCAAATGCTCTATAGCCTTACACAAAACACAACTCTGGCTAAACATAAACACAAATAAAAAATAGCTCCAGTGAAACATGCAAAAAATTTAATATTAATAATTAAAACAATATGTGTGTGTTTATGTTAAAAGCTCACCCTCCAGAAGCAGCAGCATGCAGGCACGTCCTTCCGTGGTCATCTAACATGTTAATATCAAACCCTGTTGTTGACATCTGAGAAGGCATGATATAAAACTGACCTGAGGGATCAGAAAAAGACACTTTTAGGTGAAAATATTTCGAGTTGTGACGGCAACCAAAATGTAAAAAGAGGAAAAGCACAACGCCCACAGACTCTCACCGTTCGACAGTAACTTCCGACAGCAATCTGGAAACCCATACAGAGCCGCCAAATGGAGAGGAAGCATCCCATCAACCCCCTGTCTTAAGATCAACACCAAAATCATTTAACATGAATGATTTCTATTTTCTCTACGTTTTAAAAAAAAAAAAATCAGGGGAACCTCTTGATTATGATCTTAAAATATTATCAAGCATAAGAAGTCTTGCGAAGATTTTGTGCACAGCTGACATGCTTCATGAATTTATCATTTCAAGCACTTAGAGAGGAGACTTGTGACTGTGCGAAAGAATCACATTGCAAACGAGGAAGAAAAGATGAAACAATATTAGGTTTAGCTGGACAAACCTGGTCTTGTCAGCACCATTTGTCAACAAAGTGCTGATCAGTAACTCCTGTCCATATCTGGCAGCAACATGAAGAGGAGTGTTTCCATACATGTCAACAGAGTCAATTTCTCCACCTGTGTGCAGCAAGAAAAAATATTAAACTTTACTGACGACATGTTCTGATATAAAACAGAAGAGTCTTGAGTATAAGTAATTCAGAGAATCTTGTGGATAGTTTGAACATGTTTTTAATTTCTTTTACCATTCTGGATCAGAATCTGGGAGCCTGTGAAGCGCCCATGCATGGCAGCCATGTGCAAAGGGCTCTTCCCTTCTTTATTCTGTTCATCAAAGAAAGAAAACATGTTAAAAGACGACTCTAAACCATTTAGGCTGCTGTTTCAATGTTTTTGCTAATGGCCACACATCAATAGTGCAAATCCTCCTTTTGCTGTCCCTTTCAGAAGCACTTATTTCAACAAGTTCTTAACCTGCACGTTGACATCAGCACCATTGTTGATCAGCAGCTCGAGACACAGCACCCCGCTGGCAGAGGCGGCAGCCAAATGCAGCGGTGTGCTGCCAAAGTGGTTTGGCTGATTGATGTTGGAACCACAGTTCACCAGCTCAGTGGCCACCATATCCTGCCCCGTGTGGCAGGCTATATGAAGTGCTGTATTCCCAAAAAGGTTGGGTTCGTCAGTCTGAAAAACGGAGGGAAAACACAAATTAATAAGTAAAAAAAAACTTCTAGAGATTTGAATAATAAGAGCCTTGTCTGCAGCAGGAAAGTGCAGACCCAGTAATATTGCAAAAAATGTCCTTGCGGATATTAAATACTATTCTGTACTTTAGTAATGTGATTAGGCCTCTTCACCTCTGCCATTAGTTTTAATAAGTATTTGACCGCGTCCAACTGTCCACCAGCTGCTGCAGCATGAAGTGGAGTGTAACCTTGTTTGTCCTTGCACATCACATCGGCGCCGTGCGACAGCAGCAACTTCAGAACCTCAACATGTCCTAAAAAAACAAACAAACAAACAAAAAACTTTACTTAAAGCATTATTTATGCACAGCACATATCGGCACACAGGACTTGCTTACTACTGCTGGTCAGTATGCAAAAAGGCAAACATTAATTAATAAAATATCTATCCAAATTTGACCTTGTTTACACAGATTTTTTGTACAAACTTAATTTTGAAATTATGGACATCACATAACCTGCAAAGAAAAATGTATTTTGTGTTATACTTAATTGATTTTTTTTTTCAGTACACAACAATCAGCTTTTTTTTAGGAGTTTTTTTTGTTGTTGTTTTTATTTTATTTTGTGATATTTACTCTTTGTAACATTTGTCAAATTATGTGACAACAGTCTTACCCAGGTATGCAGCCCAGTGGATTGCCTGCCTATCCTTCTTGTCTTTGGCACTCACACTGGCACCTTTGGTCAAGAGCAAGCCCACCATCTAGGGAGACGTTACGCAGATAACAATTTTATTCAAACACGTTTCAGCCCTTATTCTTTAAGGGAGGAGCACACATTGTTAAAAAACTTAATCAATAATATAACAAATATCAATATTATAACAACAAGCGTGCCTACTTTCCAACTATGTTAACTATGAAATTATAGTTATAAGATATGGCATATCCAATACAAACAAAAAAAGACTCTTACCTCTCCATGGCCACTGTGCGCTGCATGTTGCAGTGGTGCTCTGCCCGACCTGTCAGGAACATCTAGGCTACGCACATGTGGTATTAGAGCAGAAGCACAGCCTGTGGCCCAGTTTGCTGCCGCCATGTGTAAAGGCGAGTGCCAGAACCTATCCCGTGTGTTGATCTCCACTCCGTGCTGAAGTAGCAGCTCCACTGCCCTCTGAGAGAAAAGACAAAATGTTATAATTTGTCTTCAATTCCTTAGAAAATCTTGTATTTCTGTTTTCAAAATGGTAACATACTTCATTTCTTGAGGCAGCAGCTCGATGTAAAGGTGTCAATGAACCCTGGTCCTTGGCATTGACATGTGCACCTGTGGCAGGAAGCAAAGGCAAACGTACTTTTCCTTAGGAGTGTTTTTGGTCGGTTTTAGCTCCTCTGTACTAAATTCATTCATCTTAACTGATCAAAGGCTTCCTAATAAAAAATTTCATTACGACTCTTGACAATATCAAACTATTGTAACAGTTTTCCTACCCGAAGTAATGAGTAGGTCCATAATGTGGACGTCACCCAAATAAGCAGCAGCATGAAGGGGTGTACTTTGCTCTTGGTCCTGAAAAAGTACATTAAATAGCAAATAAATAAATAGCAAAAACAACTTCAATATGCTTTGATTAACACTTGGCTCACTGAAACATCTTTACAAGCATAATATAAGGTCCAGAATAGGGCTGGGTGATATTGGAAAAAGTTTATCACAATATATTTTTTCATATCAGTCGATATTGATGTATATCACAATATAAAAAATGAAATTTAACAGTGCTTATTGGTAGCATGTCTTTTGCCATACAATAAGCTACTGCATCTGTGAGATCTTTGTGTCTCTTTCACGTTTTGTAGTAAGGCGTTGCGCTAGAAAATGCGGACTGAATGGTCGGCTGTTTTGGCTCCACAGGCGCCATGGGCTCCTTGCTCCACTTGGGGTTTGTAACCTTTTGCATTGCATGTGCTCTGCCGCATGGCACTGCTTCAGGTGGTGAAAAAGATTTGAGGTATTCCCCAACTTTGCTAAAACATGTACAAATTTTAATGGTCAAGTATGTGCACAGGTACAAGGAGTTCAACTTGGGTAAACTCCACCTAACCATAATGCAATCAAGTTTACTTCACAGCTGCACAGAGAGGTTCTGATAGATCTTACCGGTGAATTGACATCTTCATTGTGGTTCAACAAAAATGTCACTTCTTCTGCATTTCTGTTGAATATGGCCTGGACCAATGGAGACTGAAAGCGAGATTTGAGGGGAAAAAAGGGGAACAACAGAATGAAAAATAGGAGTTATAGTTCATTTGTAATCATTAAAATTTGAATGCAACTCTGATTAACAGTTGGGGGGGAAAGCAACAAGATGCAAAACAAACAGCCTCGGCACAGGATCTCAGCTACTTTCTCAGCAAACTTGCTGAATACAAGGCTGCTGAATGTGTTGGTTTTAGGGGCTTTTAAGGAGGAGTATAAACAATGCAACCAGCTTCACCAAAGTTGAGGACATTTCGAAAAACTTTATAGTACTGTTATAAGTCTAAAGAGAACAATTGTCGTGCAAAACCCCACATCCTATGTCTGTGAAGGTGCAGTACTTTCTTGGGGATCGTAGAAACGACCCACTTAATCCGATCTTGCATAGAAAACACTACAACAGAAATAATCTGTCTTTCATTGATCAGGATTTAGACTTCATCCGGCGGTGGACATCTGAATGCCCACTCGTGGGTACATGCATTTAACAAATCACACAGAAAACTGATATTCATTTAGTTTTGTGAATGAAGTTATCAGGAACATGTAATAGCTTTGCATCAAACTTTGCTCGACATTTCGCTAACAGGACTAGCCAGCCGTCGGCAGGACGTACCGTTACTTTTACAACACTGAGTGACACGGCTTAACTTATTACCTGGTCCTTGATATTTCTAAAGTCCATTGCCAAATCACTCTGTGAGGTCCTTCATTTAGTGTGAGAGTAAAGTTGACTACATTACACTTTGGATCAGCTAGTTAGCCTAGCTGTAGCTTAGTTAGCGACTGGGATATGTGATGTGTACTCTTTGGAGTTCTTCGAGTATCGCGATGGGAGTCACGGGGACGTGATTTGGTGGCACTATATTTGACGTCAGATCTATGAACTTTGCCATTATACTTCGTCCAAAAAAATCCTGGGTGACCTACTGCTTTATTTTTTTAGGCTGCTGACTGTGTTTACTCTTTTGATATTAAAGACATTGTTTGTTACAATGATAATACAGAAGATGGAGCTCTTGACTGTTTCTTAATTCCCCTTTAAGTCTATTTGCTAAGTTCATCATCCGCAAACAGAAACAGGTGTGTCCCAAATCGTATAATTCCATACTATTTCGCATACTACTTCCAAACTTCTATACTTGTTTTCCATTTTGAGTGGAGTATACTCAAAGTTTTAAGTATTTAGCTGTGGAAGTATGCGATTTGGGACACACAACAGATATCTTCTTTAACTGCTTATTGCCTTTTGCACCATATTTGATAAATACTTTTATATACTTCTATCAAATCAATATGATCAACAAATTACTGAAAAAACACCTGGATACGGTCCGATAAAGCCATTCTTACTGATAAAATGAGTGTGGGCAAGTGTCCACAGTCAGATACTCAAAATCTTGACCTTGTTGAGTACGTCATCCAGGTACTTTTGCCTACTCAATTTTTGCATACTATCCATACTTTTTTCCATTTTAAGTTGAGTATACTCAAAATTTAAGTATTGAGTACTGGAAGTATGCGATTTGGGACACACAGCAGATATCTTCTTTAACCGTTTATTGCCTTTTGCATCATATTTGAGAAATACTTTTATATACTTCTATCAAATCAATATGATCAACAAAGCCATTCTTACTGATAAAATGAGTGCGGGCAAGTGTCCACAGTCAGATACTCAAAATCTTGACTGATTTGAGTACGTCACCTGGGTACTTTTGCCTACTCAATTTTTGCATACTATCCATAATTTTTTTCCATTTTGAATTAAGTATACTCAAAATTTTAGTATTGAGTACTGGAAGTATGTGATTTGGGACATCCCAAAGATCTCTCCTTTAACTGTTTAATGCCTTTTGTATCATATTTGATACATACTTTTATATACTTCTATCAAATCAATAAGATCAACAAATTACTAAAATAAATAAATACCTGAATACAGTCTGATATGTGATTAAAAAAAATGTCCTCTTGTAGTTTATCATTTCACCAAAAAAAATGTTAAATTTTGTTAAATTTTAAGGACATTTAGATTTTTTTGGTTTTCAGTAGTAAGTGAAATAAGCATTTCAGCTAAAAAAAAAATCGAATTTTCTGGCCATAATTTGTGGTGCCAGGCATTAAAGGGCTACTTTTCTCCTTTTCCCTTAGAACCAAATTCCCTTCTTAAAGCACTCACTTTGATTGACAACAAAAATATGCCAAGTTATCGTATTGATACCTTTCGTAATAACACCTAAACAGTCTAAACAGTGATCATCTTATAATTCTAGTCGTCTTCATTTCTTTTGGTTTATTTCTTATTATTTTTGTTCTTTTACTCATATTCGTTAAAAGTAATTATGTGCTATTGTTACACCCGTCTGAAACTTTTGACATTGATAAAAGATATTAAACTTAATGTGTTGTGTTGTGTTCAAAAATTGTCACCCTTAAGAGTGAAATAGAATTCCAACTAAAGTGAAAAATAAATAAAAGCTAAAGCGAGCAGTGTAAAGTATTTTAGGACATTAACTCATTACTTTATCATCAAACATTCATGTTACTGTCTTGAAAATTAGATGTTAAAAGGCGATAAAGCGATAAAATCGTGCCCTGCTATTGAATAAATGACATGATATGTGTAATATAACAACAACAAAGAAAACAACAACAATAATAAAAAGGATAATGAAATTGTAATACTGATAACAATTTTACTTATACAGCACCTTTGATAAAAAGTAAGTTTGGACGTACTCCATCTCGACTGCATCAGTAATTTTCTTGCTACACCATTAAGTCGGTCAATATTAATTGGTGGATAGACACAGTTTGTCCAAGTGGGCCATTTCAGCAATAAATATGAAGTGTTTTTGATAATTTGGAAACAAGACAACGCGAGAACCGTTCACATTACCTGAAAAGCAAAACTGAGGGAAAATTTTATGTCTCTGTCCCATGAGACGTGCCCACTGTTGACCAATCGCATCGTCTTAGCATTGCTGCGCAGGCGCACTCTATGTTGTACTTTCCGTTTGACATGAAAGAGTCGACTTTAGCCGCATAACGTGAGACCAAGCTGCTAACCAAAAACTACATATGGTCCGTTTATAGGCACTTCAACCGTCAAAACCCGGTTATTCCTTTTATTCTCATCCATAAGCTACACACAGGTAAGAGCGTTTTGATACTTTAGAGGCTAATGAGAGCGCACACGGATAGCAAAGACATCATGGAAACCTGTTAGCTTGATCAGACACATTAGCGGTGAAGCAGTCTGTCACCTACAGAGGCAGCATGTATGTCAAGATCACCAGGGTTTAAAATCTCGGCTTGTTTGACTTTTTAATATGTATTTACTGCTGCTTTTGTTGATTCTAACTAACTAGATTGTTAGTTGTTTTGTATGTAATCTCTGTGGTTCAGTATTAGCAGAGTTGAAGGTGTAAGGTAAAGGAGCTTGTCTATCTATTTAAAGACAACATTCATTGTTAAAGGAGTAGGTGATGATTGATGATTGCAGTCCAACTTTATTCTGATGTGATGGATGGAAAATGACCCTCTAGTAATGATAAAAAGTGCAGAAACATACTGTTTTATGTGTAAAAACAGGAATTGTAATTACCATCATCAATTGATTTAACACTCTTAAACACGCCATTCACTATGAAAGACATCAGAGTAGTCATTACTGTTGTCACAATTTTCCGGTTTAATCATTAGGTAATATTTACTTTGAAAACTTTTTCAAAATTACTGTGATATCTGCACTGTATACTAGCCTGATTTCATAGTAAGAGTTGATCAGACTTTCAGACATAGGAGCCCCTAGTTCCGTATTTTGATTGGACACAGAGTACATAGGTACTCTCAGTTCTCCTGTGTCCCTGGTTCATCACTGTCATTAGAGTCATTCATCATGGCAGTTAAAAAAATCCTCTTGGCACTTGCATTAGGAATTTCTCATTCACAGTAATGAATGATGCAACAATTACTTGTGAGCAACACAGGGTTGTACTGTATGTGAACACTTAAATGTACTGTCATGACTAAAATATTGACCCAAAGATTGATTCATTTTGTTTTTGGTGAATTGTAATTGTGATTGATGGCCTGGACATTAACAAACACCCCCCCAAAATATGAATACATAGCTTGGGGCAGAATTAGTTTAGAGAGAAATCAACTTTTTTTCTCTGTATAGTATAAAAAGTGAGTCATAGAGTATCATATGAAGGGATACAGCATTTGAACCATGATTCAAGCCGACATAAATATAAAGTACATTTATAAAATTGGCCCACTTGCCAATATCCACGATGTGTTTTTGAACCACTGATGTGATTTATTTGAAGGGACCAATCTTAGACTTAATGTTGAGTAATAGAACCTACAGGTCTCAATAGTAGATGACAAATCGATAATAAATAACAAGCTTGCAGGTTATTAATGTCTGGGCTTTGAAAAATGTAGAAGCAGGTTTTTGATAGTACCAGGTTTTGATCCCCATCCGTAGTGTTACATAAGTAAATGTTCTTGATGGACCAGTATTCACAAGACAAGTGTTGATTTCCTGATTGGACAGAGTGAGAGCATACGCTGTTTTAAGCCTTGAAAGCAGATAAATATTCACTGTGCTGGATGTCACAGATCTGATACTTTGACTCTTCTGCTACTGAGATCTCTGGAAACAGTAAGAATAAGTTGAACTGTTATTTTTAAAGATTTGTCAGCTATTGTGCTGATGAAACATCATCAGCTAGACAATGTGATTTACTAAAAAAAAAAACTTCCTTGTTTGCCGTGTGGGAATAGTTTCTTTTCAAACCACTGTGTGAGAAGCTTTGTTGTCGGTTAGGGAGTAGTCGTAGATTTTGTGATTGTAAAAGCTGTCTCACACAGATTAGGCCTCTGTGGTTTTTGTCGAGGCCAGAACTTGGGGGAAGTAAGTAGATGCATCATTGATCTGGTTTCATATTAGTCTAAGCACTCTTTAACTAGGCTATAGTTTATGGGAGTTGTGCAGTGGTGAAGGTTACTTAAAGCACATTTACTCTGATACACTGACCCAGAAAATGTCTAAAATGCTGATAAAGTAGAGAGACAGGGTCAGTGAGAGTAACATGATATAGATTTACAGAGAATATCTAGTGTAGTTTGATCCTTTTTGTTATTTGGAGCAGAGCAGACTCGACAGCTTGCTTTGAATATTTTTTAAAAACGAAAGAGAAACTATGTATACCTACTACAACTTATACAAGGTGGTGTGTAGTTGTTAACACTCCACCTAATATAGAATAGCATCAAGTGAAAGATAACATTCTTAGATGTTGAATCCTGCAGCAAGATGGTGATACGAGTTATTTGGTTTACTGGAGTATGTGAGTCGTAGACTGCATAAAACATGGACATAGTCTGAGTGTTATAACCTATAGTTTTTTTAAAGTGGAGTTAGGAAGCCTATCCTCAGTGGTCACAAAGAAGAGGGGTTGAGGTGGGCCTTCAGCCTCTCTACACTAACAGCCTAAGTAAATGTACACTAACTGTGTCCCTTAAAACAGAAATAAACATCCATTTAATTGCTACATTTTATAACTATTACAGATATTAATAATTTAATTCAAAATAAACACTTCATATAGTCACACTGACATTCTTCTTAGAATCAGTGATGTGACTTTTCCAATTTATGTCAATGAGGCTTTGATTTTCAGATGTCCATAAATTCATTTTCACTACTCCTGATATAAAAAGTTTAATTCTCCTGGAAAAACTGGTATTTCATATATCTACAAACGAGTACTTACTAGTCATAAATTTACTCTCAGATATCTAAATGAAACCTCATCAACAGATATCTACAAAACATGAGTAAATATCTACAGCTGAATTGTTTCTAATCATAATGCTATGATGATATCTACGATGACATTTTATTCAACACAATTTATTTTTAATGATATCTAAAATTACGTTATGGAAATCTAAAATGGTTTGTAAATTTATTCATTCTCAGCATTGGACTGTTTCCTCTCTTTTTTTTTGTAGTTGGTTATGGTTATTTCAAATTCACTTTACAAAAACCAAGGTGCTGCTTTCACACGGAACTTTTAGTGCAACAGGGCTAATTTCAGCCAACTTAAATTTTCTTTTGTTTACATTTTGCTCTATATTGTATTGCATCTTAGCTATTGTATTATATTTTTATTTATTGTATTGTATTTTTATTTATTCTTTGCTTGGAAACAGACCTGGGTACTAATTTCGTACCACAGACTATAAAAAGTGTGGGTTATAAAGTTCCTTGAATCCTTGAATACTTGAAGGCTAAACCTGCTGCAGCGTCAAAGTGTTTGGACATGTCGATTTATTCAGCAGGCTGCTTAGTTTCACCTGCAGCTGTCTATTCTGGATCTACAGTACTTACCTACAGTCTGTAGACTTAGACTGCTTACAGTGAAGTATCATACCTCAACCTCAGAGTTGTAAAATATCAAGTCCTGTTCTTTGAGAAAACTGCAGTCACTGCCAGGACGTTAAAACCTCCTGTCAACCTCGGTGATTGATTTTTTTTCACGAGGTTGTTACAAAAAAAAAGAGCATGTCACATTTTGGCAGGAAATTAATATTCTTCTATTTTATATTCACAAATTTTTATATTATTACACCAACGATTGCTCCTGGGCAATGTGCCCTGAACCTTATCACTTAGATAATGCTCCTTACTTTGAACCGGAGGAAGTGGCACTCTGTAGGAAACCTTGACTATGTGAAAGCACATGACTGTGGGATCATATGAGGCTGCAGACAGAGCAGGTTTTCCAGGGTCTCTCTCTCTCTCTCTCTCTCTCTCTCTCCCTCTGTGTGTGTGTCAGGGCACATTGTGTTCCTAACTGTTCTGCTCCTGTGATGTTTTATATTACGATCTTTTGGGTTAAAAGTGAAGATGGAAATGTTACACACAGTGCTTGAGGCTGTGTGTTAGAGGAAGGATGCAGTTAGATGAAGTGAAACTCCCACACCAGTAGTTGACTCAGAGTTTGTCGTAATAATGACCAGTTGGAGTTGTGCTGAAAGTTTTGCTTTGTCATTAGTATGACAGGAATTTTAAAAGATGCCAATTTTGGTTAAAGGGTAAAGTTGAACAAAGTTATGCACAGTCATGTGGAACTACGTGAAAATGCTGGTCTTCTTTAGCTGACCCATCTGTATTACTGCTGAAGTTTATCATACAAAGATGTCTGTCATGTTTCTTCAGATTATGTAACTGCTGTTTTTCTTATTCCAGGGGAGCTGATAGTAAACCCTCAAGTTTCCAGGGATCCCTCAGCTTGCCCTGATGAAAGCTGAGCAAGACGCAGACCTCATAGAAGGTAACCTTTTAAAAATAATAGAAAAATCCCCCGCAGCAAGAGATGAGCTTCATACTCAGTGACTTTGTGCTTATACCCAAGTCTATGTCTGACACATCTGAAATCATGTTTACAAAAAGTGGGTTGAAGCAGAATGTGAGTGTTGTAAATGCTCAGTGCTTCTTTCATGAACTTTACTGCTGCCAGTGCTGTTGCTTGTGTGATCCATTGAAGGATTAAGTGTAGGACACTCTGCTCTGCTCCACTGTCATCTCCAAGCACAAGCTGGGAAAGTGTGCTGTGGCATTCTGTGGTGTGGGTTTTATACTTCCTCTTTGTTGGGATAATTTTAAACAGACATCATGTCAGAATGTTGTGACAGGCCACAGAAAAAAGGAGATTATAAAGCGCTGAGTCATATCAAAAGCAGAGTGATTGTTAGCGAGCCGTGGACTTTAGGACCGGTAGTCTGAGATGAAGAGAGGACAGAACGAGAGGTCCTACCTGAGTGAGTAGCGCACATTATTTATGGTACAATTCAAACCCATATATTTAGGGACTGGAGAACTAATTTCCAGTGTTTGAACAGCATTTGTTTGTTTGTTTTAACTCGTCTTTCAAATGGTATCCTTTTGATTTCCTTATTTTTTACATAATCCATGTTAAGATTTGAGCAAAGCACCTCTAATAAGAAGTTCTAACGTACCGGTTAAAGAGATGTAATTAAAATTCTTGAACTTGAATCACTTCTGTAGAAGTTTCCAAATCTGAGTTGAATTACTTTTAGCATATCAGCGGTAAGGTTTGTTTTTTTTCTCTTGGCGATTCAAATGGAAATTTCATCTCAGAGTTTTGTTTGTCAAGTTTCAGCAGTTTAGACAAGTATGAGATACTCTGACCCAAACAAATTCCTCAAAAAAAATAAATGTTCTTAGTTACTGCTGAAATTTGAAAAGTGTACTCAGTGTATTTTATGTATTTTTTTAAGAACAACAAAAACCACCCAGACTGTTAGGTGATGTTTTGAACTCTGCCCATGTCAGCTTGTTTCTGACCGTCTTCGGTTCAGGAATAAAGAGTTTAGTCAAGAGGAGTTTTCCAACAACAATTGCTCTGTATAGTAACTGACTGTTTGGTGAAGTTTATCAGAACTGATCAGAATGTATGTTTGTGTGTTTGACAGAGGTTGTAATCTCACAGGGTTAGACAACGTTGTCTTTGTTGTACTCTAGCAAACTCTCTCACTCTGTTCTTGGCACTAATCTCACCCTCTCTGTTTTAATCTCTTTGGCTCTGTTAGAGGACTCCCCTCAGGAAAATGCTTCAGCCAACAAGTACAGCTCTATCTCACCTCCTGCCTCACCTGAGGACCAGGTTGATAACATCTCGACCACATACTTTGAAGAGAAGGTCCCAGTTCCTGAGTACATTGGCCAGGTAATCGTCATGGCACTGTTTTATGCACAATGAAGAGAAAGTTTAAAGTTTATGCATTATTCAATGATAATAAATGACCATGTCCAGACACTTGATGGACTATATTTAAAATGCAAACAAATGAAGTTGAAACCAGACATGATTTCATATCAGTCAGAATACAAAATCTTGACTCGTCATGACATGCTGTTTGTTTGTTTGTTTAGGTGTTCAGTTTCCGTAAGCTCTGGGCCTTCACTGGGCCCGGGTTTTTGATGAGCATCGCTTACTTGGATCCAGGGAACATCGAATCTGACCTGCAGTCTGGAGCTAAAGCTGGCTTTAAGGTGGTATAGCCAAGCTGGTTCTGTGTGTTCTGTCCTGCCAATGTCCTTTTCAGTCACCTTGCTGGTTTGATCCTCTTTTTTCCTAGTTTCAGTCTGAGGAAGTGATTCCAAAGGTCTTTGTTGTCTGTTTGCTCACATGCACGCCTTGTCAATACTTGTTTCTCCATCAGAAAACTTTTTTTTTTTTTACGAAACAGAAATGTTTATTCTTAACATAAGCAGCAGATTTCTGTAGTTTTGTTCATCATCTCTGTTCCTCTTTCTCAGCTCCTATGGGTGCTGCTTGGAGCCACCGTCATTGGGCTGCTGTTGCAGAGGTTAGCTGCACGCCTTGGGGTCGTCACTGGGATGCACCTGGCTGAAGTGTGCAACCGCCAATATCCCAAAGTGAGCATTATACACTCCTATTTCTCAAATGAACGCCTATTTTCTTGTTGAATTGTATTTGATGCACAGGGCTGTGTTTGTAAAGTTGATGTGAAGCAGAACCCTCCATGGTAAATGAGAAAGAAGGACTGTTGTAGTTGATAAAACTCTGCTCAGTTATCTGATTTCACAGCCTCTGATTTTTTTTTTCACTTTTTCTACTTTTTTTTTAGGTTCCTCGAATCATCCTTTGGTTAATGGTGGAGTTGGCAATCATTGGCTCAGACATGCAGGAGGTCATTGGCTGTGCCATTGCTTTCAACCTCCTTTCTGTGGGCAGGTACTGTCTTTACCACCTCTCTATGAAAAGTGAATGCAACTCTTGTGCTGACTCGGTCTAGAATTGTATTAAAAAAACAAACTTACATCCATTGACAATTCCTCCTGTTTGTCTCACAGGATCCCTCTGTGGGCAGGAGTCCTAATCACCATCACAGACACTTTTGTGTTCCTTTTCCTCGACAAATACGGTATAGATTTTCAATAACTGACTGATAAGTGAGTGTCCGACAAGTTGCAATCTCATTGTGTTAACAAAGCTTGTCCCTCATTTTAGGTCTAAGGAAACTTGAAGCTTTCTTTGGCTTTCTCATCACCATAATGGCTGTCAGTTTTGGTTATGAGGTAACGTCCAGAAATTCACAATATTGAGTCGTTTTTGCCAAAAAGTATAAATGAGGCAATGACATGTTGACTTTGTGTGGCCTGTGTAGTACATCCTGGTAAAGCCAGATCAAGGCGAGGTGCTGAAGGGGATGTTCGTACCGTACTGCGCCGGCTGTGGGAGTGTCCAGCTGACACAGGCTGTTGGGATTGTGGGTGCTGTCATTATGCCACACAACATCTACTTGCACTCCGCGCTCGTCAAGGTGAGTGGCGTTTTTGTGGTCATATGCATAAGGCAAGACTTAGGGAAAAATATTAATATGTGGAAAATATTTGACAGTTTGTTATTCCTTTAACTCTCTTGTGACAATTTTGGATGCCCAAGTCAAAACATTTCTCAGTAAATATGAATGTCAGTATTCTTACCTTTTTATTTACGATTTCAGAACAAATATGGATTTGTCTCAGTTGTTTGTAATTTTCTTAAGGATAAAACTGTTAAAACCATATCTGTCAATCTGTGACTAAGTACAAATTCACCTCTAGGTGGAGCAGTATGATGCAGTTTAGATACAAATGATCAAAACTGAAAATTGAAAAACTGTTTTTTTTTTTCTCTATATTTTGACATGAACCAGTCTCGGGATATTGATCGCAAAAATAAGAGGGAAGTGAAGGAAGCCAACAAATATTTCTTCATCGAGTCAACGATTGCTCTATTTGTCTCCTTCCTCATCAACGTCTTTGTTGTCGCGGTCTTCGCTGAGGCCTTCTACAACAAAACCAACATGGAAGTGGTGAGTATATCCCGGGTAAAAGTTTTGTTTTCTCAGCTGTGTGTACTGCTGGAGCTAACTGGTAACTTGATTTGAACTGGTTTGATTTTCTGATGAGTGCCGTTAGCACACAGACAGTATGCAGATCCCTGACTTGAGGCTCATCATGTGATTGTGTCTCCTACTGCAGAATCAAGAGTGCAATGCAACCGGCAGCCCTCACACAGATCTATTCCCTTTAAACAACGGCACACTGGAGGTGGACATCTACAAAGGGGTACGTTTGTCATCAAAACATCTTCAGTGAGCACGATCAGAACTTCCTGCTCAGACAGAGGGCATGTTTGCATCATGTTCTTGTTTGTTCGTTGTTACATAAATTAAGACACAGGCAGGTCCTAAAGGTTTTGGCGTCTTCCACAGGGGAGTTGGGCCTCGGACATTTTTGTGGACTATGGTTTGGTTTAATTGAGTACATCTGAGTTAGAAAACTGAATTAAAATTTAGAAAAGGAAAAAAAAAACAGTTGCAACATGGAGCCACTTTCATGAAGCCACTGTGACCTATGTGCAGTTTTTGAGGTCCATGTCTTTATAACATTTTTTGTGTGTTTGTGTAACTTGTGAACAGATTGATGGACAGAGAAGGGGGCTAAATCAGCTATCTTTATTTTTGTTCAGGGAGTGGTCCTTGGATGTTTCTTTGGCCCTGCAGCCCTCTATATCTGGGCAGTTGGGATCTTGGCAGCTGGACAAAGTTCCACAATGACAGGCACCTACTCTGGGCAGTTTGTTATGGAGGTAAGACGAACTATTCATTATAGCCCTGTGAAAGATCTGAAACTAATGGTTTTACTTGATACTCATGGTTTTGTTTTGATGTTTGCTCAGGGTTTCCTGAATCTTAAATGGTCCCGGTTTGCACGGGTGCTGCTGACGCGCTCAATCGCCATCACGCCCACACTGCTGGTTGCCATTTTCCAGGATGTTAAGCATCTGACAGGGATGAATGACTTCCTCAATGTGCTCCAAAGCATGCAGGTAAGGATGACCATACAAAAGTGGAAAAGCCGTATTTCCACTGATTTTATTCTTGTACAGTAGCGTGTATCCTGTCAAATAATTGTTTTTCAATTTATGTTCAACAGCTCCCATTTGCATTGATCCCAATCCTGACATTCACCAGCCTGACCTCCTTAATGAATGACTTCGCAAACGGATTGTGAGTGACTTGTACACTTTTTTTATCTTATTTCCATTTGAAGAGAAACTTTGATGCATGGAACTGAAAGTACTGCAATTCTGAAGCGCTTAATTGAACCGTGAACTTCTCCAAAGCTGAATGCAAAAAAAAAAAAACAGCCGTCTCTTTCAGTTTGACAGCCAGTTGTTAAACACGTTACAAGAGGTGTGTGTGTGAAGTTATTCATTTACAAGTCAACTGCAACCTGGTTGTTCAAGGTCTTAGTTAAATAAGTGTGTACTAAATATTTGATCTGTCATAAGGGCTGATTCTCTAATTTGACAAGTGGCTGAAGAATAGAGATGGAAGGCAGTGTACTGTGAATAACGAGGATTTATTTAGTTGTGGTTGGGAAGGAAAAAACGTGATTTCTCAATGATCAAATAATCTGTCTGTGTCTTAAGGGTGTGGAAGATTTCCGGAGGCGTCATCATCTTGGTGGTTTGCGCAATCAACATGTACTTTGTGGTGGTTTATGTCACAACACTGGCAAGCACGCTGCTCTACGTCGTCGCTGCCCTGCTCTCCATAGCCTATCTGTGTTTTGTCGCCTACCTGGTGAGTGAAATCGCTGCAACACGTTGTTCAGTTATTAGACCTTGTTTATAGAATATGAATAAGAAGAACTTTATTTATCCCTGAAGGGAAATTCAAAATATGATAAGAAATGGATCAAATATGCGCATCAGCACGGTTTCAGAGTTAGAATACTCCTCAGTGTTTGTCTAAGTCTTCTGTCTCATAACTACCTCAGTTAACAAGATATTGTTATAGTCGTCTACACAAACCTTGCAGTATGTTGACCTCTTTCCTCCCTGTCTTGTCTGCAGGCTTGGTACTGTTTGGTTGCCTTGGGGGTTTCCTGCCTGGACTTTGGCAGCAGGGTAAGCAAGAGACCTGCTGTGTTAATAGAGGAGCAGTTTGAGTCGGACTCGTAGAGCTGAAAAGGACAGTAACCACCAGCATTCCTCTTTTCTCTCGGGACTCTGAGCCACGTACTGAACAAGGACTCTGCTAGATCACATAGGATCTTGAGAGCACAATTCCTGCTACTGTCACATGTGTACTTTGTGGAGGGATGGGTTTTTAAAAAGGTGGTGCTTTACAGGTGCCCAGAGAACAAAAGTAAAACTACACCAGCTTAGACAGTTTGATGTTTAAATGGAGGGATGACCTATGAGACATAAAAACACCAGTTAACATTTGAACAGCTGCTAATACATATATTGACACCTTGACAGTCTGTCTTTTTTTTCTCACACTTTGGCTGTAATGGTGAGAAAAATGAAGAAAATCAATTGAACTTAAAACCTATACATATATTTTTTAATGATTAAAGGCTTTTATAACAAGACCGCATTTAACCATGAGCATTAATAAAGAGGGAGCAGCGATGTCGAGGAACACACTGTGTGAAAAATAAGTGAAACAAGCATTACAGAATACATGAAAGTAAGCCACACTAACTATAATTTTTAATCCGGATTAGATCATTTCTTACTTAGATTACTTATGAAACTTACAAACTGTATCAAAGAACTTGGGTTTTCTATGTTGCTCGTGTTTTTTCTTATTCTGTTGAATAAGCTGTTGAGGTTTAACTTGGATATAGTTGTTCTTTATTATTATTATTATTATTATTATTTGGAAAAACAAACATGATTTATTTTTATTCAGTAACAGCTAACATGTCAGTTGTCATGCTAACAGTACAGTTATTCTTTTTTTGGATAGCTTGACAAGCATTAATGCTAGATTTATCCCATCAACTGCAGTCTACCTCATCATCCTCATTTTATCTCATCGTTCAAGCAGTTTGACTCACCGGGTGTCACCTGGCAGTTATTATTTTTAAGAGAATAAGATTGTTTTACTATTCACACCAAGGTTGTTTTATGCATCTTACTCACAAAACACCAACTTGTATCTAGCTCTAGTTCTTTGACCAAAGTAAGGTCAGGGATTCTGATATTGCAACCTGATTCCTGACTTGTGAAAAAAGAAGCAGTTGCGTGAATTAAGCATGAAGTTCACCTCTCCTGTGTGATGTCCTCGCTGCCGTCCACTGTCCACATCAGGCTGATATAACAAAGTCTAAAGAAAAAAAGAAGGAACCATGAAGTGTAAAATCTAATTTAACTAAAAACTGGCATTATTTCTGTCTGTTGGGCAGTTGAACATTTAGAATACTAAGATGAGGCTTCCTACTGAAATGAAATTCAACCTGGAAACGTTAGCTTCATTCTAGAGAAAATGCAGTTGTTGCACTGTGAGAGTGATTTATGGGGATATTCCGGCGTAAAATTAATTTAGGGTCAAACGCATCGTAACACAGAGTTAGATACCCCCCCCAACCACACGATAGCAATACACAGTGGTCTGAGGAGTCATAAACAAACCTCAACCAAAAAAGCCACTCTATAGCCACAAATAATGCTCAGAACAGCACCTAACTTCATCAACAGTACATACAGGGTCCTAGCCACAGCACGAGCCACCAACATCTTTTTAGTTTTGCCTGATTTCTTAAGCAAAGAGACTAAACACAACTCACCTACTCGTTTCCAGCAGCCGCTTGTTACCTTAGGCCAGTCCATTATGGACTGCAGCGGGGTGACGCAGCTCAAGGAAGAACATTTATGATCATTACTTAATAATTTCCTTGAAGTAATAATCACCATATTAATCATTTTGCACCACAGACGTGGTAGTTCCTCTGCCTTAGCGTCTCGGTCTGATTGCATTTCCATGAAGAAATGAAGAAATATCCTGCGGTCGTTACTTAAGTTGGTATAACTAGGGAAGCAAGCAGTCGGCAACATTCATCTCTCGAGGGGGTGACTAACTCGGTGTTACGATGTATTTGACCCTAAATTAATCAAGAAAGAAGGGATTACAGAGATCTATTGTAAAATAACATTTATGAAAGGAATCTTCTAAAGTATAGTGCTTTTCTGAGAGGGAAAGGAACTGCCCACGTGGCATGTTTGATATGAATGTAAAGCCAAATTAGTGCTTGAAGGAGAAATGGAAACAGTAGTTAAACAAGCTCACATGAGCTAAATATTGAGTGGAGGTCACATATAGCCCCAAACCACAAACTTTGTGTCAGGGAGCTCTAGAGTCTGTGATCTATTTAAGAGTGCTGTGTGGATCCCTGGTAGTGGTTCAGTGAGGTGAAGTTGTGAAAAAAAGTCAACTCATCCAAAAATTGTTTTCTTCTCCTGCACTGCATCTGTGAAATAAACAGCAACTGATTTCAGGCGTCTTTATGGGAGTGCTTGTGCCCTCCTTTGAACCCTTAACTTGTTTTGAATCTGCCTTTATCCTAAATATGAAACCATACATATTTATTGTAGATACACGGCCTGTTTAACTGAAACATTTTATATGTATGTTGAGGGAAAATAGTTATTTGCTTTAAAGCCAAGTGCCACCTCAGCTGCTCTGAGACTTCACTCAGCATTTTCTACCTTCACACATCCTGGTATATCTAACATGTTGCAATACTCAATAATGTGAAACACAGTTAAAGAGCAAAGCTATGTCATAATGTGGAATAGAATCTCAGAGATGGGGTTTAATCTCACAAGACACAGGTACAGATAGATTTTTTTCAAGTTATAAAATAAGTGAAGAGCAGTCTAGATGTTTTAAAGTTTGATAACAGACTGTGCTTATTACCCTGAGACGCCTCATGTAGCAATACCCAAGCAATATACATATTTATCATTACACACACCGGATCATACAATGATCACTGCAAAGATCTCAGGTTCTTTTGCAAGCTATTGTTGTAAAAAAACATTCACTTTATGGTGGTGGATACAGGTACAGCTGCACATCTCTGCTTCAGAGTTCTCCGAAGTTTTCCTTGTTTGTTTTTTTCGGGGTGGATAGAAAGTTTAGCAGACATTATTTAGCCAACTGTGTTCAAGAAATGTCTCACCAATACCTCTCTGGCAAGATAAATACATAGCTAATGCACATTTGTACTGTTACAGAGTAAGTTTAAAGAAGTGTACGCTGAGCTTTAGTAATCAGTAATTTCTGCTTTTTGGGATCAAATGAATAATGTCTGTTGTTGCTACTGGATAAAGATCATGTATTTAAAATAAATGGGAAATAATGCATATAAGGACATTTGTTGGTGTATTCTGTCTGAGGATCTAAAGATGGGTTTATCATCTCTAGTTATGCATGTAATGTATAAAAACATAATTGATAAAATAATAACAATAATTGATAAAAAAAAATTACAAAGCAAAAATGCATCTGTGCTTTTTGAATTGGCAAGCCGTAATTCCAGCAAATTAGGGTGATACTGTGTTTCCATAAAACTACATGTTCCTCTTTTAAGTGGGTTAGAAGACTAAATTTAAAGTGTGTTTTGATCAAATGAATACAACTGGGGTTAAAAGAACCTCATGTTGGGCAGTAGATATTATCTTTTGCAGGATTTTCCTGGACAATTAAGTTAACACTTTGACCTGAGGTGAGCAACTTTGAGAAATCTGTAACCTCAAATCCTGAACTGATTGGACCCTCTTTGCCTCGGATCAAAGTTCTTCATTGATTTTGATGTCCCCTAATCATTCAAATGTCAGTGAACCACTAACACTTGACACTTTACAGTCCCAGATTAAATATTTCTGATCAAACAAAAAACATCTTTTTTCTTTTGAGCTGGCGGGCAGCTTTTCTATTTTTTTTTTCTTTTTTAAAAGACTTAAGTTCAGAGGATTTCCCTTACTATTTCAATGATTTTCATTTTCAGTTTTCAATAAAAATTCAAAGATCAGTTGTGTATCATGACACTTGTGGTAAAATTATGTGGAATTCTTATTTTGCAAACTGAAAATGTTCTTATGAGTAATATAATGATGCTAGACCTACTGAAATGTCTTTGTGCATGTCTCACTGATCCCAACTCTGTCTCTTGTCTCTGTTTCACATACAGTTGGGACTGTCACGGCACACGGACATTTACTTATTGAACGACATAGATGCTGACACAGTGGTCGAGAGTTAAGGGGACACCAGTGGCGTTGAGCTGCCTGCAAAGGGGGGGGACCATCAAAGCTTGGCCAGTATGTGTTAATCTTCGTCTCTCCATGCCTTAAATTAAGTGTGAAGTGCACAGAGAAAAGTGCACACAGGGATGTCTGTCATGCTGGTTAAAACAATGATGGCAGTTTTCTATCACAAATGTCTCTGTAACTGCAGCTGAATAATATTTATTTAAATAATGGTTATGTGGGAAATGTCTCTCTAAGTTACGTCCCTGTGACTTTGACACCTTATAGACTGATGTACCAATAACACCTTAAGGTCCAATGCACTGTGTTTTCATCTAAGGATGTACTACAACTTTGAAAGTACGTGCCAACCACACTCTTACATTAAATGACAACAAAAGTTTGCAGGCTCTTAAATTCAAATACACAGTCAGCTGTTTCTTCACTGGGATTGAAGATAGACAGGCTTGTATTTTAAGTAATTTTGTTCAAATGTTGAGTGTCTCTCTGATGTAGTTTATGAAAAAATGAACCAGTTTGCCACACATCAGCACAAAGTATGACTAGTTTAGGAGCCCGGTGTCATTGCTGTTAGACATTGTCATCAAGTTTGATATCGATAAGTACAGAAAGTTGGAGTATTAAATAACACTCAATGATGGACTAGTGTATGATGAGACAGTTTGCTATATATTTTGTAGAAAAAAATACAGTTCGTCATTTATATGCAAATTTGCAGCCAGTTTTTCATTTTAGAAATTACCTCGCTGCACTAAAAAGCTCTGCTGTTTTAATTCACATTTAAACTCCTGCTTCGGTGATCCTCATTTTAAGTATTTAAGAGACACAGTGTGGCAACAGGGACAATCTAAAAGCTATATGATAACACATGAACTTAAAGTAGCACATGAATAACATAGTATATAAAGAAAATCATGAATTTGGGGTCATTAATTTGTAGTTGTAACAAATAAGAGTAAGTCTGATGTAATGTAATCATTAGGTATGCCCCATTGTTTCTATTAAGATTTTTAAATGTACTTCTCGGTCAAGCTTAGTTAAGTTCACTTTGAGTTCTTTAATTTTTATTGTTTTCTCTCCCTGTTAATTTATGTGTAGTTTATATTTTATGCTCATGCAACTTTGGTTTCTATATAGTTTGAGTTAATATGATTGCTTTTATTTAATTTAGTCTCAGCTTCTTGGGAGGTAGCAGCATAACTTCTACTTGACTATGCCAAATTTCTGTTGGTGTGATATATTCAAAGTTCACACTGTTACAGAAAAGATGGGAGTACATTTCCAATATCAGTATAGAGGCACTCATTGGCAGCTTGTGAAAAATGTAGAGGTCTGTATCCAAAAAAAAAAGAAAATGCACTTCAGTAAGAAAGCAAGCGTGCCTTTCAAAAACAGTATTCTGGAAAAACAAACTTGAAAAAGATAGATATGCTAGATAATCTGAAGAGCATGTGATATGTGAGTATGTTAAAGATACTTGAAGGTTGTGATTAGGCTTCTCCATGCTGTTAAACAGACCTTTCTTTGACCAAATATTTAACTGCACTTTTGTATTGTCTTTACTGAACACCATAGTGCCTCCTGTGCTCACCGCTGGGTCTTTTTATTGTTCACATTATTGTAGGTGGAACAGCTAAACTGTAGAACTTCAAGTAGAGTCACAAGAATATGTGTTTTTGAGCTTTAGCAGAGAGAGGCAAAGAGGATCTTTCTCTAATCCAGTTTTTTTTAATTTGCCATTGTGTTCAGTATTTGGCATAACACTTTCTGAAAAATGAAAACAAAACCTTTTTTTTTTGTGACAGATTTATGAATAAATATTTGCATTAACTTATATTTTCTTATGACTGACATTTTTTTGAAATACCAAATGACTTTTTTTAAACACTTTCAAATATAAAGAACCAGCTCTACATTACAAAATGAGCCAAATTGAAAACATAAAAAATGGCATTATAGGCTTAATGTAAAAAAAAAAAGAAAAAAAAAAACATTTTAAAGGGCTGTTAAAAGAAAACAGCAATTAGCAAATCATTTTCTGTTGACTTAAGTTTCTTTCAAAACCGTAGAACATGGGCATTTTGTTTAAAACTGTAAGATAAGTGTTCCACCCCATATGAACCTCAGGCTGTTGCATAACTGATACAAGGAATTTTCAGCAATTTTATACCTTTTTTTTAATCGACCACACCAGAATTTGTCAAGTCAGTGAATGTTTGAATTCAGGAAAATTTGTTGGTGATATTATTTTGATGACCATACTGTAAGTTTAATTATCAGTGGGTTTTTTTCTAATTTAGTTCATTTATACCACACAATTTAGTGTCAAGATTTTACTACAGTAGTGTTTTCTCCAGACAAATTTTTTTTTTACATATATGCCATCTCTGTCGCATTTTTGACAATGTTTTAAATAAAAGTACTCCTTTAAATTTTAATTTCTGAATGTGTTTTATTGTGCCTTTTACGTGAATATTGACAGAAAAACATTCATTTTCTGGTTGTACAATGAGTCCCATTCAAAGATGTCCTACTGAACAACCTTTGTAAGTTTTCATACTCAGGTTGCCCCCAGGTCTGTTGACATGACAATGGAAGATTTTTTTTTTTACATAAGACATTATATTTGACACAAGTGAAATGTCTAAAATGAATCTATTTTGTTCTTCAAGTCTAAAATTTGTCCAAAACAGGAGAATAATAATAATCTTATTCCTTTGAAAGTATTAATCACCTGTGGAGTAAGGGTTTATTTTTGCACAACTGGTATTTTTACTCATTCCATAAGTTGATGCAAATATATTATTATAATATCAATGACTATTTACTTTAGGTATTGCTTAGTTTAGGTTATGTTGTTCATGTCCTGTCATTGTCACACAGTATGTCAGGTCCCATTGACATTGAGAAAAGCCATTAATTGTTTTATTGGTAACACCTCAAATCTTTTTTTTTTTTTCTAATTTCACAAGCCCTATAAATTCTTTTAATACTTTATTACTCTGTAGTTTCAATAACCCCAAAATTATTTAAAAAACATAGCACACATCCCCTGACTGCAACATGAATATTACAAAGTGTACCACATGGGGCTTTAAGCAAACTTTATGTATAGTTTTTGACTTTCTAATCAGTTTTATTTACTTTTATTGCTATCTTTGCATAAAATTTTGTCCTAGATAAGTTTTCTAAATGGTTTTATCCATACATTGTAATTTTGTATTTGTCTTAGGTAGCAGCCACAGACAGAGCCGGCTCAAGGCTAAGTGTCCGCGTAGGGCCCCGCAGCCAGGAATTTTTTTTTTTTTTTTCATATATGAGTGATGCTTTCTGTATGATCAAATATATATTATTGTAAAAATAAAATAAAGTAAAAACATTTAAATGCTGCTTCTGATGTAGGCCCATGATTCGTACTGCCGATACGTCAAAGCTCTGCTACCGTTAAGTGCCTCCTACTGTGCAATGTGCACTGAGCATCCTGAATGTGTTACATTTGGAGATTAAAAACCATATGTGGCACCCTGAACATCATTCATCAGTCATTCATTGGTATTATTTGTATGGTTGCATTGTTATTTTGTTATTACCTAGGCCACCCCCTTAAATGTATAAAGACATGTCAGGTGCGAGTCTGAATTTATACTGTAGTAGGTGTGTAAACGATCAACAGTCAATTTTATTGGCAGAGATAGAGGGCCCCAAAATCAAATTTTGCTTAGGGCCCCAATGAGGCTTGGAACGGCTCTGGCCACAGTAATAATAGTTATAGCTTGTTGTGGCAAAACAAGCTAGCTGCTTACTGCAGCTTTGTTCTAAAGTACAAAACTTAAATTAACTGATTAGAAAGTTTCAAAATACCTTATTTGAGCGATTCTATAAGATTTGACTTGGTCGTCCGTTAAAACTTTGATTAAACCCCCAAATAAAGCTGTCTGTGGACAAATGCAACCAAACCTCGACTGAACCCGCTCAGGGGTTGCCATGGTAACGGTCATGGCGTCTTCCCGGACACGCGAGGGCGCTCTGGATCCTGAATCCTGTCCGTTTTTTTCCGCTGCCTACGTCACCACATTTCATTGGTATCGTGGAAAAGCGTGAAAGTAACCTCGAAAAACACCTCAAGAAACTTGTAAGTTAACTTAAAAGTTTACCTAATGCATGTTTTTGCGTCTGAATCTCTGTTTTAAAATATTTTAATGGGGTGGTTTGTCCGAGCCGAAGCTTTGCAGTGTGGTTACCGGATATATCATGACTGACACACTTGAACGTGTTTTTTTTGCCGGTTGTATCAGGTTAAATCTGTGTTTCAGGTGGAAGATGAGGGGAACGGTTCATGTGCTTGCATCGTGTCTATTTCTTTGCCTTCTCCTGAGCTGTAGCCAGGCAGCCAGGCAGGGACAGGACATCAGATGTGGAGGTACTTGTTATCCCCTCAGCCTCATTCCTCGGCTCATAAATTCACAGAAAGGGTCTTCATGTGGACTCTCTGCTTTGTGCAGCCTGCAGGGCTCTGGTGGATGAACTGGAGTGGGCCATCTCCCAGGTAGATCCAAAGAAAATGATCCAGACGGGATCCTTTCGGATCAACCCAGACGGTAGCCAGTCCATCAGAGAGGTAATACAGCAGCAGCAACACAGCCACGTAGTAAGCTGTCCAACCCACTCAGCAATCAGCAAGTCGACATCCCCTCACTACTAGAGTGCACATGTTTATGAACTGCTGGAAAGGTTGTCATCTAGCCTAAATATTTTAGGGCCTTTTTCAGCGCCTGAACCTTTCTGTTCCAACCCTTCAAAGAGGAAGTCTCAGGATTTTTGCTTTATGTATAACTTAACTTATGTAAGTTAAGTTATAGGGGAGAGTGGGGTAAGATGAGCCATTTTTCATATTTCAGCTCACTACATCAAGGCAATCATAATTTTGTCTCTAACTAGTGTATCTGCATATATTTCAAGATGTTGTCTATCCCTATTTGCCGCATATTACTCAGAAAGAACTATTAAGACTCAAAAGGACTCCTAAGTAAATAAACTTTAAATTGCCAGCGTACCCTTAAAATATGAATAAATGTTGGTAATTGTTTTAAGAATTCACCTGTGTTCACTGTCAAGATGGTGTCACAGCATAAATCAAATTTATACTTCCATTTAATTTAGAGAGACCAAAATATGGGTTAGTTGAATTAATATCTGGCCAAGTAAATTTTCAGCACTTTATTATGTTATTTGTTAAGATGGTGTATGAAGACAACTGAAGAGGTTTTTACCCTAATCAAAAAAAGCACAGATAAACCTGAATGTTAAAGTGTGATAAAAACTCCCAGCTAACATTAATGCAATGTTTCAGTAGAAGATAACAACAAGCTAGAATTTACAGGGGAGTCAGCAAGAGTCTGCTGTAGATTGATTTTATGTGTGATTGAGTCGACAACTCACATCATCTTATAATTCAGTGTTTTCTGTGACGCAATCAGGTTCCTCTGGCTCGATCAGAAGGACACCTCCTCGAGCTGATGGAAAATGTGTGCGAGAGGATGGCAGACTATGGTGAGCACACAGATTCCTCTACGAACAGGAAGTCATATATTAGGATAAAATCTCGAAGTGGTGAAGCCATGGATCTGTCAGAGGCTACGTTGGATTCAAGAGTTACATCTAGTTTAAAATTTGCAGTGAGTACAGAATTTCTCCTCTCCTGCACTGTCTCCAAGACTCTGTGCCACAAGATTTGGACTTGAATTGTTTATGATCTTTTGTTGCTGCGAAGAGAAATGAACTGTCTCAACTAGGATACATTTGTGCAACACACCCCAAATCTGTGGCCTCTGATTTGACTTTTTCAGCTTCTAACTTGTTCTTTTTTTCTTTTCTCCAGTGTGAGACAATTGTTGAGCAAAATGAAGATGAAATTATTGAATTCTTCGCTCATGAGACAGAAAATGTCAAAGACAAACTCTGCAGCAAGAGGACAGGTATATTTTTCAAAGGATTTATACCACTATCTTTCACTTATACTCTGTATTTTCTGTATTCTTTTCTCATATTTTTCCTGTCCTGTGTCCTCCACAGACCTTTGCGACCACGCTTTGAAAATACCCCACGATGAACTTTGACATCATCTCATCGATGCTGCAGTCTCTCTTCAGCTGATATGGAGACATTAGGGTGCTGTAATGTTTTCAGTTGTCACTCTTCACTGGTTTTCACTTGAGCAGTGGTGGAAGTTGTTCTCAAATCTGTATGTTACCTGATAGAAAATACACCTTGGGATAAGTGTCATTCCTGTTACTTGTGAGAATTTAAGGACCAGTTTGGCCCGCATCTCTTTTGTCACATGTTTACATGCTGTAAATTATTTGACTTTACGGTGCTTTGTGTCTTGGGAAGGCTCATGTCCAGAAATGTTCTTCACCAGATAAAAAACCTGAACCGTGAAACTGTGAAATCAGACATCAGTGGCTACAGGATTTCTCACATGATGCATTATGTATATATGGTAACTTAATTAATTTGTGACAAGAACACAGAGAGCAGGGTAAAATTTGGTCTTGTGGTCCTTAGATTCTTACACATGTATATTTAAGACAGTTCTGATGCTCGCCAGTAATTTTTTAACACAAGGATGACTCGCTTTTTTTTTTTTGTACAATATCTTTTGAAGGTTAGAGGTAAAGAAGTTCAAAGCCACAATTAAAAAGTGTTTTTAAGGTCAGTAATGAAAACTATTTTAGATTTGAATGAATTGATCCAACAAATGGGCTTGAATAGAAGTTTCCCATGTATTGTATTATCCCACTCCTGAAAGTGTGATCCCTTTTCCCCATCTGCGTCAGCATCAGCAGACAGATCAAGTGTTGCTGCTGAGGTGTGCTGATTCTGTATGAACTGTACGTTTTCACTCACAATGATCAGATATTTTCTATTTAAGAATTTCTAGATTTACCTCAAGTTTTCAGAAAGGCAAAAAAGAAAAATAAGGAGGTCCTTAAACTTTAATGTGAAACTTTAAGTACAAACCTAACTTTGTTGCTTCCAGTGGCTCATACTCATCTTGTCAAATCAAAATGGATACAAGCCAGTGTTTACGCAGAATGACACACTCCTTATTCAGAGAGGAAAACATACTGACACAAAATGGTATCAGCTGGAGTCCTTGTGGCTTTAGGAAACGAAACATGACAAATCTTTGAAGAAATGCTATGAAACCTCGCTGCGATCCCACAAAGGTTTTACATTCCTACATCACTCGATTTAAAGTTTCTCCACTAGAGTGTGCTCTACACACACAAAAACAACACACTCTGCTGGGAAGACATGATGTGCTGTCAACTTACAACGATCTCGAAGTGTTTCTGGTTTCATGTGTTTACATTGTGTAATAGAATGACCTTGCTGACTTATGTGAACATGTTGTTTCCACTTTTTATATATAAAGTTTCCAAGTTTTCTGCATCTGTTTAGTCTGTAATGGGAACATACTTTCTTAAAAATCAACACAAATCAACACAATCGAGTGTCTTGTAGTTTCTAAATAGTTTTCCGAAAGTTCTCAGTCCTAAATCTGTTTCATTATTAGTCCTTTTCACAAATATATTCAGTACCAACGTAAGCTGCAGTTTGGAAATTCTTACTGAAATTAACAGATAATGAGAACCAGGCATTTTGCTGTGACATGGCGTGACAGACTTTGAAGAATTTTTTTTCTTTTAGCTGAGGTTTTGAAGTTCATCCAGTTTGCATAAAAACATGCTTCTTCAATAATCAGCTCAGAACAATGGATTGATTTTTACTTAAAATATCACCACGAAACAATTTCAGATAACCTCTTTTATTATTGATGCATACATACTCCGAATATCCAATCTGTTATATTACCTAAAAATACTTGTTTTAAATATGAGTTAGTTTGAAATTGATATTTTGAGTACAGAGTATAACTACTCCTGTTTCACAAGAATCAATGTGTAAAATGCACAAAGCTTGAATACGTTTGATTTGCTTGATGTAACAGTCCGACATTTTACGATACAATAAAAATGTCAACATCCATCAAAAATGGAAGGTTGAGGTTTAGTCCAACAAAAAATGAAATTGTGTTAACTTTTTAAATATCTGTAAACAAATGTTTTTGATAAAATTACTAACTCATCAAGCTTAAAGAAATTTGGATATAACACAGGAAAGTTCTCAAATAAATCAGATCAGTGTCAATGTATTATTTAGTTGTCTAACTCGGTCATCCTGTAATTGGAAACTGCAACCTCAAGGACAAAAAGCTTTGTACAGGAAATTTCTCCCCACCTTTGTACATGTGTTTGCTACCCCCAACAGGCACTCCCCAGCCTATTTAAACTCATTTTTGGCACTCCCACCTCTATTATTCTGCTTCTTAGCTGCACTCTTTATTTTTTCTTTACGGAAACAGCATCACTCTCCCTCGGCTTTCTGGCCCTCTTCATAATTCTGTTCACTGATTTCTGCCCTGGTATCATGTTGAATTTCCTCCCCTTCCTCCTCATCAGCTCCAATAACAGTATCTCCAGAGCTGTGGCTGCTTGTGCTACTGCATGACAGTGTGTCTTCCTCTGTGGGTCCACATTTCTCTGGACTCTGCTTGGTTTGTCCTTCCTGAACTTCATCGACACCATCTACTGTAGAAACCCCGTTCCCTGCTTCATCAAAGTCTATCCTCTTAGCTTTCATGTTCTCTGTCCCGCCCTCCCCTTTGCTCTCAGGATCCCACAGCTCACTCACTTCCTCCTCCTCATTCTCAGAATCAGGAGCTGTGTGCTTCCTAATGCGATTTACTGCATCCCACAGTGACCTGGGATACTGGGGCAGTTCTTTAAGGGTCAAGTCAGGAGCATCACTTTCTCCTTCATCCTGTTTCAAAGGAGGCAAAGAGCTGAGCGACAGGACTTGGGGTAAATCAGAAGAAGATGGGAGTTGTAGATCCTCACAAGACTCTGGAGTGAAAGGGAAAGGGAAGGTTTCTGGGATAGCCTCAGCAGGAACAGCATCCACATTGGGACTCAGAACTAAGGGACTGACTGAGTCCACTTCCAAAAGAGAAACCAACTCATTGTCAGGCTTGTTTGAGGCATTTAGTGGAGAAGGGAGCTCAGACGATGAGAGAATATCCAAATGTGATGGGGAAACCTCAAAGTGAGGTGAGGGAGGAGAGGAGTCAGGAGCATCAATCAGGGGTTTGATGTCTTGCGTATTTTTGGTTTCCAGTTGAGTTTGAGTGTTGGTTGCGATGTCTGTGGGAACTGTCTTTTGGGAGACAATTTCAGGACCCTCAGTGGACTCTTTTGGTTGTTGCTCTCTGCTTATTTGATCTGTAAGATCCTCACTAACTTCTTTTGGTGGCTGTTCTTCAGCCACATGTCTCTCCTTTACCAGTTTGATTTCCTCTTCTTGGACACATTCAGATTGTTGCTGAAAAATGTAAAACTCTTCAGTATTGTCCATAATGCGGCCTGAAGCATCCTCATCAGCTTGTTTTGTGAGTGGGCCACTGTCTTTCACACAAGAAGTATCATCTAACTGTTCACTTTCAAAATGTGCCTCAGATACCTCTCTCATATCTTTGGCACAGCTGTTGAAGATTTCATCATTTTGCGGTTGTGATGTGTTGCCACTTATGCTGTTGTCCTCTGCACCAGTGGACAGTGCATCTACCATTTGATCAATAGATGTTGAGATGTTTGGGGACTGGTCAATATGAGAGGTTGAGCTCTGGGCAAACAGGGTCAATAGAGGAGGAGGAGGTGGCAGTTGATGAGCTAGGGTTTCAGTGAGAGATGAGACTGCGGGAGAAGGAGCTGAATACTGAGGGAGGTTATCATCTTCAACAGGCTGGTCATCGTCATTATCTTTCTCAGTTGTATACTCTCCATTAGTAGATCCAAGCAGAGGACTCTCAGTCATTTTATTTTGAAATGAATATTTGTTGTCTGTTTCTGTCTCTTCAGATGAAAGATGCTCCTGTGATGCTGCAATATCTTGATCACCATTATGATCTTCTTGATCTTTGTCATTATCTTTCTCTTGCAAACAAACTGCCTCCTCAGTTTGGCTGACCTCTGTCGGATTCTGTGAGTTTTCCTTTTCTCCCATGCTGTCTTTTATCTGTTCGTCTGTTTCACAGCTGCTATTATCCTCAGTTGGAGGAGTATCAACTTCCTGGTTCTCCAAAAACAAGTCAAGGCGTGATGATGTGACTGCGGGTTGTTGGTCAATGATGCAGTCCTGGAAAGGGATACCAAGGATCCTCTCAGCGCGTTCTGCCAAGGTTTCTCTGTTAGGAACCAAAGATGGCATTGATAACATCATCGTGGGAAAAGAAATTTCAGTGTCAGACTCCAATTTTTCCTTTGGATCTGAGTCTGGTTGGGTCTCAAGACCCTCGCTGAGTTGGAGGGGGTTAGTCTTTGCATTTTGGTCAGTTGTACCTTCTTGCCTTACATGATTTTTTGATTGGAAAGCTTCAGTCGAAGTTGTCAGGGAAATATCAGGTGGAATGTTTTCAGTGTTTGGCATTAAGTGTAAATAGTGGACGTGCTCTTTCTTTGGTGATGGAATCAGCTCCATTTTGACAAGAACACAGGTTGTGTCTATAACCAGTAGGTCGTTACTGTCTTCAGACTCCGTGGCTTTCGTGATGTCCAACCTCCTTACTTCAATGTCAATTGGATGAACTCTACCAGAGTCCTTTTGGTTTGGCAAATCATCTGATTTTGCTTCCTCGCTGCTCGTCTTTGAACATATGACTGGACTTTCGATCTCAGCTCTACTTGCTAAACCAGGCTCCCTCCACAAAGGGTACTTGACAGACACAGGCTGCATTGACTGAGAAACCTGTCTAGTAAATGAAGACTCTTCATTATCAAGACTTGTCACTGATTCATTTGACTGATTATCTACCAGTGTGTCATCATGCACAAAAGTTGGCGTTTCTTTCTGTTCATCTTGGAGACTTCTTGAGTCAGGAGTAACTGACTGCTCTCTAAGTGTAGGGGCCTTGAAGTCTACCTCATCAGCAAGTTGGTCATCGTTATTCTCCAGATTTTTGGAAACCTCTCCTGATTTTGTGTTTTGAATGTTTGCTTGTGAGGCACATAGTGGCAAAGATGGTGTTTCTGAGGTTCCTGCTATTCGGGACACCAAGCAGAATATGGTCATCCCACCTGTCTTTTTATTTAATCTGAACTTTCTTCCCTCAATGACTTTGAAGAATGAGTCCTCATTGATCCTTTTTTTCTGCACTGCTGGTAAAATTTGTGGCTGTTGTGGAGACAACAAATCCTCATGCTGTATGTTTGTTGTCTCAGTACTGTCAGCACTGCTTGGCTGAAAAGCATCTTTTTCATGTTGTCTTTGTTTCAGTCCTTCAAGTCCTAGGTGGGTATTTTGATTCCCATCTGCTTGCGTACAGTCCTCTTTTTCAACTTTTCTTTGACCAAGCTGTTCACCAGCGACAAACTGCTTCTGGGGTGTGACCTGTGACCATTGTGATTGCCTCTTACCTTCTTTCTCCAAACTGGAGTCACATTGGTGCAATTCAGGTGAACTTTTATGTGAGCTGTTGTAGGGAGGTGGAGCGATATAGCCAGGAGGTTGGCTGAACATCCGACCTTGGTAGCTGACCTTTTCTTTCATGTCCAACATGTGGCTTGTGTCCCTGGCGGATGTTTGCAGTGGATAATGGTTTGGACCTTGCTGTCTACCTCCCCTGTCCCGGTGTCCTGATTCTCTGATGTTTGCAGATTGTATGACTTGTTGAAGCGCTGCTACTCGTGGGTCTGTTATGCCTCTGCTGCTGTCTCTGCTCTCTAACAAACTCTGGGAGGCACCCCTCAACCCTGCTTCCATACGTTTCCTCCTAGGAAGTGAATGGCTGTATCGGAGTGCCCAAGCCTCCAGCTCTCTGTAGCTGCTGTCATTCCTTTTCGTTGAAATTTCACAGTTGTAACGAATAGGACTACAGAGCTCCCACCTCTTTTGCCATCCCTCCCTTGGGTAACCTCCGTCATAGTCCCTTGCTGCTCGTTGAGTTGCTGCCCAGTCTCTGCCTCTTGCTTCAGGCTGCTGATATTCTCCCAGATCCCGGTGCTGCTGAGGATGATGGTCAAGGACAAAAGGGAATTGTGAAGACACAAGACTAGTTAAATCTTGGTCTGTCCAGTTAGTGTACTCATGTGGGGTCCCTCCTGTTCTTGATCCCTGTGCAGTCCAGTAACTTGACTCCCTGCCTTGATCTTGTTGCACACTGTAGTACAATGGATAGTGTGTTTCCTGATGTCTGTCATTGTAGCTGTGGGTAAAATGGTTGAAAAATGTCTGAGTACACTGATAAGATTTTACAAAGCAGCTTATCCCATATGCTGTTTAAAAAAAATCTTACAAAAACTGGCACTGTGTGAACACTTGATGTTGAAGTTAGTCAAGGGTTACTTTGGTCCGCATGGGTGCAGCTAATACGACAACAAACTTAAGCAAATACTTTTTAGTGTAATTTTTTAAAGTTTGGTACCAACACAGCAGCGCTTAAATTAATGGCAATTAACTGACTGAAAACTTAACTGATACACCACACTCACTTATGTGCAAAGTTTCGTCCAGGAACAGTACCCGGTTTGGAGTAAAGTGATGGTCGCCCCTGGTTCTCAGTCCAGAGCTCCATTTTCACAGATCTGAAATTAAGAGTTTTAAGCGTACACTACGTTGTGAAGTTATGTCTAACCTGCCATTTGATTTTGTTACATGTTAACTGAGAGAAAGGTAAACACACACACACAACGTACCTTTAATAGCAGTTTTCAGATTATTGTCCTTGCTGCACATGAGATGACAGGAGGTCTAATGAAGCCCAAACAGGATTACTTGTTTTAAAGGATGGTGTTTTTTTCAGCCCCCCTCCCACTACACAAACACACTCACACTCACACACAAATTTCTCTGTCACTGTGAGCCCACCTCCTCTGACACAGCCAATATACGCTTTTAACAGACCACTGCAAAGCTGTCCCAATCAGTTTTTAAAAAAATAGTATCATTTGATTGATCATTTCTATTTAAAGTCACACAAAACTTAAGGTAAGATAGATATGATTTATGTTTTAAAAGTGTGTGTTAAAATAACAGAAAAAGTCCAGTTTATAAATTCAGAAGGAAAACTTTTAATGTGCTTGCAACATTATAATTTTTTACAGCTGCAAAGTCATTACGATTTTATTGTAGCTGGAATAAGGATAATTTTTAACAATTATAAAACCAAAAACTACTTTTACAGCCTTATTTAGAGTAAGTCACAGCGCACTTCATTTTTATGTTTTTAATTCTATATATTATGAACTGAAAATCTTACCTTTTGGCTCATATAACACTGTACTTCCTTTTTTTCAAGCTACATATAATTTTCATACCCATGCCCAACTGATCAAGTATAATAACAAAGTCAATGACCGGCCTTTTGCACAACAGTCAGTGAGTGGTGCTTGGCCTGATGGGGAGCAGACTGCGCATGGAGATACGATCTGTTGTTTTGTCGGCTGAATTGTAGCAGAGGGAGAGACAGGCAGCGGATGCATTTGAGTCCCTTTCTTTGAAACTCTCCAGCGTAACAAACAGGCTTTCCTTCTCTGAACAGAAAGTCTGTACATCAGCAGGGAGCAGGAGTGAGGGGATGAAGTATGCACAGACAGCGGGCTGCAGGGAGGGCAATCTGTTGATGTTGACAGAATAGTTGGGGATGGGATGGACTTTGTTTGGGGATTTGTTTGTCCCAATTTAAATAGACAACATTCTATTGAATATCAGCTGCCTATACACCACCAGATAAACAGGAGCTGTTTTGATTTAGACCGTACATTGAATTGAAGAATATCGTCTGTTAAAAGCAGGGTGCAGATTAGGAAACAACGCAACAAAAACAGGGAATAGAGGAGCTTAAACCACAGAAATAAACAAAAATGAATATAAATATCTGATTCTAATCAATGCTCATCAGGCTACAAAACCAATAGGTTCTTTATTTACTCAAGCAAATTGGTACTAATACCATCATCTAGTGTTGAAAGAACTGGAGTTGATTTGAAACCATGTAAAACATTTTTGACAATATATACACATTTATGACTAAATGAACAACAATCTATGTTTGACGAGAGAGATGCTGAGGTATCATTGATTGATTAGTGCTTTATTAGGACATCGGTCATTTGATCAGACTCGATAGACAATGTCCTGTCAGAAAAGCATCCAATAGCAATGATATGATGTGAATGTGTCAATGTGATATGAAATCTAATAACAGTTTAAGTGGTTTTAAGACTAGAGAGGATGCTGTATATTCACATTTTATTTCCTGTTTACCATTTTATAACTTAAACAGGAATATAGTTTTCATGTGGACACTCAAACAATTAGTTATAGTAGCTTTCAAAGCTGTGATAATGTAATATGTTAACACTGCAATTTTAATGTAATGATGCTCAAACCTCAAGGGAAACTGCATACCAAAATGAACCAGAATGTGTGAAATTTTCAGCAATAGTTTACATACTTCTTTACTAGGAAGGCAAAGCTGGTGAGACTTTGTCAGTGTATTCAGACAGAATCAGAATTACAATTATATGAAGTGTTTAAAAAGAAAAGAAGAAGAGATGAAAAAAAGAACTTTAAATCTCCAGTCATGTGATTAAGATAAAATGAATGAAGCAACCTGAGCTGTTCCCTGAGATGTCTGAATTTAAGAACAAGTCAAGACATGATGAGGAGCTGGAACAGGTCACTGTGATTGTTGTCTGATGTTTAGACTTTGTTTACCAAGCAAAATGTTCCTGAGACATAAGCATGAAAACATGCACTTCTTTTTGTTGGAAAGGGAGCTCTAACGGCAGAACTATCAGTTTCACAAAAAAGTAGGAGAATACATGATGTAAAATGTTAAATGGGGAATAAAAATCACAACTATTTTAGGATCCAGTTAATCAAACAGAACATTTCAAACAGAACATTCTCTCATCACCAGATTTCTTCAAAACATTTATTTTTTTTCACAAATACATACTTTTAGTGATAATAAATAAAAGATAAATAGGATATTACAGATGTTTCACAAGATAAGATAAATAACCTGCAAAATAAATAGAATTCACAAACTCAATTTAGACCTGTGACCAAACCTTTGGACAACTGATCAACTTAGGCTTTAATCCTCAAACAGGAAACTCTAGAGTTTGAAAGTGTATTCAAATATTTTGAGCAAGCTGTTCTTACAATGAAAATAATCTAAATTTGCAGCCAAAACAAAGTATTGAAAGTTATCAGTGTTAAGTGACAGTCACGTCACTTGACTGAAGTTTGCACTTTGCAAACATCATTGTGTCTGATTTGATAGCGTTATTTTTGAAACTCTTAAAAGACACTGAATATATCAGTCATGAATGGTCTCGACACAGCCTCTAATATGTCTCAGGTTTGTAGTAAGTTGTTCTTGCTGTTCCAGGTCTCACTTCAGAGATGCTCTGTATATATTCATATTTTCTTTTTCATCACGGTGCACAAGATCCACCTTAAATCTGCCTGGCAGATAATCCTCATAAAAACGATGAGTCCCATGCTCTTCCCGCATTTTAGATGACAGATATACCAGACCTCCACTCTTGCACAGATGAGCTAGAGTTTCTACCAGCAGTGGGTAAGTCTCTGGAAGGTAAACAATGTCTGTCCCGAGGATCAGTTCCCAATCAGAGGAGAAGTTCATTTGGTCCTCACCCCAGGACAGAGGGAGGACAGTGGGCTGGGTATTAGGCCAACCACTGGGTGGCATATTAGCAGAGACGTTGGCCTGCAGTTGAGGGAGAGCCAAGGGAAGGTCTGTGAGTGTCACCACTGCACCTGAAAAAATGAATGAAGATAAAAACAAATGTTAAGTTAAAATGATGAATGTTGGTACTACACATGATCAAAGTTTCAGATTGTAAGGTTAATATGTGTTTAAGTAATCCTCTGATGGGACTACAAAGGGGCTCTGAATGACTTCAGAATTCAGCAAGATCAATATGAGATATGCTCAATTTGTGACATCACCAGACAGTGCATCTCCTTAAAAGGGCAAATGATGCATAGTAAGTGTAATATCACCCCTTTCAGATGCACTGATTATTAAATTGTGTTTTGCACTGCAGATAGTTTTGTTTTTTTACAGATGCAACATCCAGAAAGCAAACACGTGTGGTGTGTTTTAAAACATTTCCAGGATACTCTGGCATTGATGAATGGCTGACAGTGAAGTATTTGCAACAGTGGTACCACGGGAGCAACATGTGCTTTGGCAGCTGCAGTTTAATGGGCTTCTGGTGTAAGCAACTTTGAGTTTCAGGTCTGTATGAGAAGCTGGTTGTGAGTCGATGGAAAAACATGAGCTGACTCAAGAAGTAACTTTGTGTACAAGCAGCTTGTAAATGTTCAGGAGCCTCTGACAGGGTAAAGGCTACGGTGGCCGAGAACCGCCACTGTTGCAAATTTTTTTTTAAAATGAAAAAAAAAAAAAGGAGTCACAATGATACTGATGCAAAAAAGTAGAGATGCAAAAAAAAAGACAATTAACTTCTGTGAAAATAAAATGATGCAAATTAAAAAACCACAAGGGAAGTGAGCTACCGGGGACCAATAATGATGATGCTCCACTTTTTTTGTTGTTGGTTTCCGTTGTGGCTTTTTTTTTTTTTTAAATCTGCATCGTTTCTTTTTTTATTTGCAGCGGGCTTTGGTTTCTTTTTCTTTTTTTGCATTGGTAACTTCTGTTGTGATTTCTTTTTTTTTTTTTTTTGCATTCTTTTTTATTAGCAGCAGTGGCAGTTCTTGGCCTCCATAGCAGGCTAACTGGTATGAACCCCATGTCAATGGCTTGTCATCTAACCAAAGCCCGTAGTAACGTACCCATGCAGGCAGCCAGTATACCGACCACACCGGTCCCTGCTCCCAGCTCAATGACACGCTTTCCTCTCAACTCCACAGACTGCTCTTCAAAGTAACGACACAGCTGTAACGCCTGTGCACACACATTAAAACATATTTTCAGTATCATGTCACACTAACACAAAAAGACATTGCAAGCACGGACTAGACTTGTCCTTACAGCTTCCCACACTGGGGCAGCCACACCGAGGTTCCCCCCAAACACCTGTCTGATCCTCAGCTGCTGCCCACATAAACTGTAAACGGTGTCTTGACAAAATGTGTCGGCAAAAAGGCAGTCATCTACGGGGAACGGGTCGTCTTCATCCTCATTACAAATCATCGTTGGTTTGTCAAACCGGCATATGGCTAGCAGTGTGTTTGCGATCACGCAGCACGCAACCACAAGCTACAACTCACAGTAAAACTTCTTCCGGGTCCATACCTTGGTATTTTAATTTGAAACTGCAATATTAGAGACGGGGGAAAGAAACACTACTCATACAATTCATCTGAAATTTACATTATCTCTTAACTTTATCACTTTGGCAACTTATGATGCAATTTAGATATAAATTCAAGGCTATACTTAAGATTTTATTTTGAAAATAAAATTAGTTTCCGGGTTACTGTACCCATCGTCTGTTCGCACAAGTCTAATGTTCCTCGGCTCTGGGTCTTAAGGGGATATTTGTGCGTAAAATTAATTTAGGGTCAAACACACCGTAACACCGAGTTAGACACCCCCTCGAAAAATGAATGTTGCCGACCGCTTTCTTCTCTAGTTATACCAGCTTTAGTAATGACCGCACGAAAGCAATACAGAGAGCCACGCGCTCATCCAAAAGCCACTCTATAGCCACAAATAATGCTCAGAACAGCACCTAACTTCATCAACAGTACATATAGGGTCCCAGCCATAGCACTAGCCATCAAACATCTTTTCAGCTTTGCCTAATTTCTTTAGCAAACAAACTAAACACAACTCACCTACTCTTCTCCAGCAGCCACTTGACCTCAGGCCAGTCCATTATGGACTGCTGCGGGGTGACGCAGCTCAAGGAAGAACATTTACGATCATTTCTTCATGGAAATACAATCAGACCAAAACGCTAAGGCAGAAGAACAACTATAGTATAGTGTCTGCAGTGCAAAAGGATTAATATGGTGATTATTACTTAAAGAAATAATAAAGTAATGATCATAAATGTTCTTCCTTGAGCTGCGTCACCCCGCTGTAGTTCCCAATGGACTGGCCTGAGGTAACAAGCAGCTGCTGGAAGAGAGTAGGTGAGTTGTGTTTAGTCTCTTTTCTAAAGAAATCAGGCAAAGTTAAAAAGATGTTTGGTGGCTAATACTATGGCTGGGACCATATATGTACTGTTGACGAAGTTAGGTGCTGTTCTGAGCATTATTTGTGGCTATAGAGTGGCGTTTTGGTTGAGATTTGTTTATGGCTCCTCAGACCGCTGTGTATTGCTGTCCTGCGGTCGTTACTTAAGTTGGTATAACTAGAGAAGCAAGCAGTTGGCAACATTCATCTTTCGAGAGGGTGTCTAATTCTGTGTAACGGTGTGTTTGACCCTAACCTAATTTTACGCCAGAATATCCCTTTAAATATGAGTGGTGCATTCTTGAACTCGTGGCCTTTTGATAATCGGGTTGATTCAAATGTGCTTACAATCCCCCTTTATATGAGTAAATCTGATATTTTGGCACATTGGCAATGCTGTTAGTTGGCAACTTTGTGTTTAACCTAGACTGAATAAGGAAAAACAAGTTGTAGCAACAGCTCTGTTCTTGCATCACAATAAGTTCAGAGTAACTTTATCTGATTTTCCTGGTCCTGAAAAGCAAGTTTTGCCCAAAATATATAATAACAAATAATTTCCTGTTCACTTTTGAGCAGAAAGGATTATATGCAGGGTCAGCTGGCATTCACAGTGGAGTCTGAGGAGCCATCCTCAAGTTGCTCGTCTTGTCGCCAGTCATTAAAAAACAAAACTGGACAATGTCTCATAACAATAACAGCATGGTGTTGTGTCCATACACTTCTTTAGATTTAATTATAAAGATACTTCATGAAATCTTTTGTCAATCTTGTTTTTTTTTTCCAGCTGTAATCATGCAACTACTGAAATTCATAACACGCCACATCATGTTCCGGGTTTATTAAAAAAAAAGAAAAGAAGAAGCTGTATCCTCATCCATTTTGTTTTGAAAACAAAACTCTGAAGTGTACCACTGGGACAAACACACACACAAATTCACATCAATGACAAAGATGATTTAACGAGAGTATAAAGTGTAGATTTGAGTATGGATATGTTTAGAAAGCTCTTCATCATTTCATTTTATCAGTCTTTATAGAGCACAACAACATATCAAGAATTTCCAATGCAGCAGACTTCGATGTCATGTGTCCAGTCTGAAAAACAAAAAGATCTTAGTGTCTGCTTGTGTTGGTCAATATCACAGTTTTTTTCAGTGGAAAGGACAGTTACTGTTAAGTTTGGACGACAGACACTCTTTAACCATTTTACAGTAATTCTGCCCAAGACGGGTGAATCTGAACCTTCTTGATTTTTTGACATTATTAAAAAAATAAATAAATCTTCTCATCATATGATGACAGTAGTATTACATCCATAACACAGCCACTACCCCTCAGGCCTTCATGTGCAAACTGCAAGAGTTTAAAAAAGGTAGCACTTTATGCGAGGACCATGTAAAACAAGTCGATTAAGTGTTTTTAACAAGGAGCACTTGATGGAGAGTGCAGCAGGAGTGACATTGTTTTGAATGATTCAATAGATGACCGACCACAAACTCCTCGGGCCAACAGTGGAGTTACATCAATCAATACATTGTGGAATAAAATCTTCAAAGAAAAGTGGTCCTTAAGTTGAAGGAATATACTTGGTTATAAATGACTATTCCATTTCTATCTGTACTGTCCTAATGAAAAATGTTAGTATCTTAAGGTAAAATACTGACCCAGGACATAAATGTTATGTTGAGATGCATATTTCTCTTTACAAACATTATATTTTGTCAAATATTCCTCATATAAACAAAATGTATGCCATGATATCAGACAATAAATGGTGCTTTGAGTTCAAGAGGACTTCTGCTTCTGCATTGAAACATGTTGAGTCCATTTTTACACACTACAAAACATTTTCTTAAGTTAAGACACATACTTGAACACACTCCTGTTTGATAAACTTCCGTCACAGAGTCTTTGCAGATTGGTGTGTTTCACTTGATAAAACATCATATAGCTCAGACTGATAATTACTTCTTTCATGTCAACAAATCACTGAGGACTTTTCGCACAGACCAAAGTGCACCAGCAAAGAGATGATTTCTTTGTCTTTGTTTCCTAGTGGGTATTAAAGGCAGTCAGCTTTGTTTTCAGCAGAACTGAGACCAAGTCCAAGTCAACACAGATGCACAACAAACACCCACACAGACAAACAAAAGCCAGAGGAATGCATCATTAAAACTTTGTTCCAAAAAGAATAATAATTAGAACAACTACAATGACAAATAGGATCAAAATGACCAGCATCTTTCGGTTTTTCTTCTGATACTGTTCAGCCTGCAAAGAAAAGAGAAAATCATTACAGTCACCGAGCGCATTTCTTTTAATGAGCAAAGGTAAAACATCAAGAGCGTAACTTATCTGAATGAAAAGACTTTTGAATTGCAAGAGTGTAACCCTGTCGAGAAATGTGTGTGTTTACCTTTTGTAACTGTTTGAGTCCATCCTCTGTTTTAACACAAGCCTGTTCCACATTGAAGTCAATTCTGTCGAGGACTGTGCCCTTAAAAAAAAGAAGATCCATTTAGTTTTGGGATGGAGGCTTACATTTGTAGATTTCAGCTTTGTTTATTGAGGAAATCTAATTTTAAAAGTAATGATGATGTTTTTAAACTCATTTGGGTAATTTAAAGCAGTGCCACAGTGACAGGAATCAGAGCATATATGGAAATCTTTTAATTTTCACTACATGCGCAGGGAAGGAGTGATTTAAATACCTGTTCAACCACCATTTCAGCCAAATCTCGGAAAATTTCATTCAGATCTGAGATAGACTGAACTATTTGACGAATCTCCCTCTCTCGTTCCTCAACCATGACTGTGTTCTCTTCCACCAGCATTAGCTGGTCTTCCGTGAACCCCTGAGAGGAAGGAAAGAAAAAAAAAAGTTGCTGATGTTAAAGTGATAAAATCTTAACCTCAACATGCAACAACAGGCTGCATGTAGACTCTGCAGATAGTGCTCAGAGACCTCTGTTTATGTAAAAAAATCTGAAAACAGGCAAAACTTAGAAGATTTTGAACTTCTCAATTGTTACAGAGAAATAAAGATAGTCAACCTGTGTTGGATTGCTATTTTTTGTTGGTTGCATAAACTGTAAGGGGGGGTAAGGTGTCAAACTATCTTAGCATCATGTTTACGACAGATTCCTCAAAAGACAAATAAACAAAACAGTTTGGCTCAAAATTCTTTGAGAAATATCAACAATAAGTTAAGTTATATACAATCTTAGAAGCAAATAAAAGTATAAATTAAACTTTTAAAATTAACTTTGACATTAAATCAGTCACCTTGGCATAAACAGCTAAATCTTCATCTTCTTCCATCAGGGGCCCAGAGTCAAAAAAGTGCTTTGATCTCTCTTCACGATTCTTCATACCTGCAACGTAAAAAATACTCAAATTCTCAGATGACATGGGGGAAAAGTAAAAAATAAAAGAGACAGACAGTATGAGCAACAATCTTGATGACACCGATGCAAGGAATCATCTTTGCCAAGTTTGTCGCTCTTACGTTTTAGGTAGCTGGACTGTGTGTGTCTGAAATTGGTGGACAGTTCCTGCAGACTCTGTGCCAGCGATGAGACCACATTTCTTAAAAGCCTCTCTTCCTGCTCTGTGCAGTGACCACAACGAGACTGCAGACCTGTCACTGCTCGTTGGCAACGATGAAACATCTACGACGATGATAAATAACATGAGCAAGCAGATACAAGCTTCTAGTTTCACTTAAACTTTAACGGGAAATACAGCTGGATGTGTCTCTAGAGGATAAACAATGAATTCTCCACAATGCCCTTTATCTGCTCATTAATGTATCCTGTACCTGTGTTATCTCTTGAGTAGTGATTTCTATTGCATGCTCCTCCTCACTGCTGTCATCAAGCGTAGGACGATTCATGTGTTTGTCATGAAGTACTGCCAATTCCTTCATTTTCTGCCGAACCCGTGTGATTTCATACTGAATCTAGATGAAAATGCATGACAACAGAAAGTCACATCCTGTGCAGAAGTTACATGGCTGAGACAGAAAAGCTTAAAAGTTAAAGATAAGAGGATTTAAAACGAATGCAAATGTTGGCTTTGGGTCTGTCATGCAGGGATTATTCACAGGTCAGGTAGATTTTACAGCCAAGAGTGTAAGTGTTTGTTACCTCATCTACTCCCTCTATCCATTTAGGGGGCAGTTTCTTGGTGACTCCAATGGCAGCTTCAGGATCCAAACTAATCCCAGACACCAAGGCCATGCGGTCATCAGCCAACTTTAAAACAAATCATTTCGTTAAAACATTTTTAATGGCAACTTAGTATAATGGTGACATACTTTATCCATGCTAAATAAGAGTACCACAAAGATAAACAGCAGTACCTCATCAAGCTCCTAATTTGATTGGCAGATAGCAGAGAGTTCCCATCCAACAGAGGACAAAGAAAAGGAAAGAAAGACAGAAGTAACAGAGAATGAGGCCCAGAGAATCAGCACTACCAAAATAAACTGTTTCTGTGATTCAGTCCCACAAACTATTTGACATGGTTATGAGTAGAACTTTAGAGCAGAGGCAAAACAAAAATGTAAAACCCTGTTTTCTGTGAGTATTTCATTTGCACTTAATTTGCAGTTGAATCTACTTAGAAATAAAAATAATTATTTGAAGAAAAGACAGTACAGACAGACAATATTCAAGTAAAGTAAGGAGCAGTGAGCAAAGAGGGTGCAGAAGTGGTCCAGATACTTCAAAGTTAAACAAAGAAACAGAAGTGTACAGATGATTTAAAGAAGCTTGAAGTTATGAGGTGAGGGGGAATTCAAAAGGCATATACTGCTAGTATTCACTTTCCAACATCTGCACTTATTAACCGGACAGAGTTTGGGTAATTTTTAAGCTTGTGTGTGTTTCTTGTTTCAGCATTTAAAGGTCTTTCTTGCTGCTGTCTGTTAAAATACAGTCAGTCAAACCAGAGCATACGGCCGATTCAGAACACTGACTGTGTCTTCTTATGGAAGACAGACATTTGTCTGAGTCACTTCCTTTAAAAGAATGAAAATATATCGGATAGAAAGACACATCATAACTACTCTGCTGTAAATGAAATCAGAGTGAACAACTACAACAACCCACTTATGATGAAAATTTTTTACAGCTCTGAAAATATTCATTAATTTTCAGTTCATATACATTTTCAACATTAGTAGACCAAATTTTCCTCTGAAGCACAGGTTTATGGTAAGAGGATATTAAAATGAACATTGCTTTTTAGCATTTATAGTAGAACCTGACATGCAGACAACAGGAACAAAAATACTTAAAAACTCTGTGTAAGAAAAACAAGACATAAAGATGTGGACAAATATGCACGTCACATTTAACGTTTGCTTTTAAGCTACAAAATGTCACAACCTGAGGGATGATTTTTTTTTTCAAGTGTGTACTGATCTTAATAAGAGTCCACCTGCAAAAATAGATTTACTAAGATATGACAGTTCTTTCAAAGAATACACTGTCCTTTGCTAAAGGAAATTTATTTTTAGATGGCCGCTGACAGCTTAGAACAAACTCAGCAGTAGGATGCAGGTCTGACGGACAAATCCACTCAATATATGCTCTGATACAGATGACCATATGAAGCTGGAATTGAAAAGCTGAGTCAACTGATGATGCTCTGGTGAAACTGCAGGTGAATGAGCTATGAATAGGTCCTCTGTTTAGTAGGGCAAATAGCAGACAATGTTTGAGCAGGTTGTTAGCACAACACAACACAACAGCTGCACTGTTGGGCTTAATTTACTTTCTGCCTAATATTCTCAGCTGTGAAAACCAAGGCCACAAAATTTGTTTCCCTTTGCCACACAGGAGATGCTAACTCTCCTGTAATGACTGCGACCCCATCACTCGCAGAGATGCATCAACAGGTACTGTATGGAACAGGCCATACACGTGGCAATTATAGTGTTTTAATCTGTCTGTGCCACTGAAAGATCTGCATTTCCCAGAGAAGTTTATCAGAGGAAGAAATCCTGAAATCAAGAAGAAGACATCGTTTGCTCGGCTTCTTGCAGAAATCAACAGTATTGTAGGAAAACTAAGAAACAGCTTAACACAAAGTGACATCTTTCAAATGTGAATGCATGTGAGTGTGCTGAGCAAGATTAAAAGACAACATCAATGAATAGACTCGTTTCCAACTGGGTGAATGGTCACAAACACCCTCCACCTGCTCGGTGTGCGCTGCATCCTGCACCTGGTCTCCCTTACAAGAGACAAAAAGTGAACTCCTATGACTACACAGCTGATGCTCAAGCTTTCCAAACGAGTCAGAGTGATTAATTAATAAATTATTCCCAGTAAACTATTTTCTAGTTTTGGATTTTGCAAACTGTAAATCTTAAGATGGAATAACTGATAACACAGTTTTAATTTTGGAGTGAATCTATCCTTTACAAATTCCTGGAGGTAAATTATTTGTTGTGATCCCATCTGCTGCAACTGTGTCTGCCCCAACACTAACCTAATCATGCAGAGGCAAATAAAAATCATCTGGCCTACCAGACAGCCCTGCTGATCATTTTTTGGTGGAACGTCCTGTGCAAGATGTTATCTTTCACACTAAAAAGTAGCTGTTATCCAGTTGAGTGAAGTTGTGATTCCAGGGAATCGAAAATGATCAAATGAAATTCCTAATTTTTGCATCAGGCATTAAAGAGATATTTTGGCTTAAAATTAATTTAGGGTCAAACACACCATAACACCAAGTTAGACATTGCGAGACCTCAGGCCAGTCCATTATGGACTACAGTGGGGGGACGCAGCTCAAGGAAGAACATTTATGATCATTTCTTAATGGAGATGCAATCAGTCTGAGATGCTAAGGCAGAACTCCAAGTTGCACAGGAAAGTTGCATTCCTACTTGTCTTAATGGCTTCATTAGAGATAACCCAACACAAGGTACATTGGTGTTTCTGGCTGACAGGGGAACATGTTTACCTATCTAAACTGTAATTTGTACTTTCTGTGACAAACAGAGGCTTTACTAGTTGGGCTACAGTGCAAAACCAGTTGGATTGCAGAGAAACAATTAATCACAAGCTACAAACAAAATTTGATCTGGTCTAGACTTAGTTGCTACATTTACGCCACAGCACATCGTTAAACTAGAAGGGGAAAGTACCTGGAAATAAAAAAATTCATGCCTTAACTTTGACAACCCCCACTGACTTTATGACTATTTCATTTAACAAAACCAGTTGTATCTAATTGAGAAAACAGGACATGCAAATTGATATTTAGCAAACTATTGTTCCTTCATTGCTTTGTTGTTATTCATTTAGTGAAAAAAAATATGGCTGCACACCCTTCTCCATCCTCCTCCTCCATCACCTCCCTGCCTCACATTTATCAGCCCTGTTATGGAGTTAATCCGAGCAGCAAACACTACCTCTCCTCATTCGAGTCTAGCAGCTACTTAAAAACACACTTGTATCTAGCTAACACTGGCTAAATGCAAACACACACATTAAAATGTCAAAACGATGCAGACCACTCACCGCAGCATTGCTACGTGTACTCAGACGGGGGTCGTATGTACTCACTTGCTCAGCCAATATCTGCCGGTTTTGGATTGCATTGTTCCGCATTAACAAGAAGGCATCGGTCAGTCGCCTAGTGGCCATGACTGCCTTTGTTACAGATCGAAATTAACTCTGGACTAAATGCAGATCAGGCGACGAGTTGTTAAGTTATAGCCAATGCCGCTGACCCGCAGCTATCACACCGCCAGCTTTAGCTTTAGCTTAGCTTACGATGAATGATTAGGGAGACTCGCGATACAACGTCTACGATGGGCGGCAAACGAATTAATCGATATTTATCTGTCAAGCATCGCCAATGCTTTTGAAAGAAACGTGAAACATGATCGAGTATCTCCCCACAAATTCTTGGATTCAGTGGTAGGTGGATAATGTTACTCCGCTCTGTGTGGCTACGGAAGTACGAAAACGTAAACACCTGCGTAGACTTCTATTTTCTTCTTCTACGACTCATTTACTGCAACTGGAGCTTGTTTTCGCCACCTATCATGGCGGGAGGGTACACGTCTTCTTTTTCTTTTTCTTTTTGGCGGTTGGCAAACCAGCTAAAAGGTGCATTACTACGCCAACTACTGAACTGGAGTGTGGTTCTGGATTTAGGCAGTTGTATTTAAATTCTGTGAAATAAATTTCTCTCTTTAAGAAAGAATAGAATCAATTTGTTTGCCTGCTGTAACTTTGCTCCAAGTATGCTTTCTAGTGTAAAGCTTATATACTTCTCTTTGAGTGAATCCCTAAATCTTTCTCTCTCCTGTGAATATAGGTTGCAGTCCATAATACAATGTTGTAGTGTTTCTGGTTTATTGCAGTCAGAACACAGTCCTGTTGGGTGTTTGCCTATCATAGAGTGTGCGGTTTAATCCTCTGTGTCCTATTCTGAGTCGTGTGATTATGCTTTCTTCTTTTCGAATGGTGAATGTTTTCCTTTCATCTTCAACCTGTTGCTGAATATTGTATTGGTGTCTTCCTGTATCGCTGATATTCTGATGTTCCTGCCCTGTAGATTGTGCGTATTTTGTAATGAATGATTTGGCTTTACTTTTGCTTATTGGAATTTGCATTTAGGGTCGACTTCTTTTTCTTCTTCTAAAAAAAATTCTGGCAGGTTGTACGCAAGGTGCGTAATGCTGGGAGGGTAGGCCCTAATAGGAACATGTATTTAATGATATAAAAGTGATATAGCAACTGTCAAATATTCTCCCCATATTTTATGGTTCGAACTGTCTGAAGCTGCAGTAGAGGTCTATTTTTAGTCACTAGCCCTCCACATGATTATACCCTAGCTTTCTTGCCACATTTTTACTGATTTACTTAGTCTTGAAAGTAGACAGTTAACTTTTTTGTTGTTGTTTCTCTCATTTTAGTTTTATATGCATTGTACAGCTTTTCAAATGAGGTATGAGTAACATTGAACACACCATCCGTTAGGTACAGTGGCCGAGAACCACCACTGCTGCAAATAAAAAAGACTGCAAAAAAAGAAACCGCAACAGAAGTTACTGATGCAAAAAAAAGAAACAAAGCCCATTGCAAATAAAAAAAGAAATGGTGAAGATTAAAAAAAGCCACAAGGGAAGTCAACAATGCAAAAAAAAAGTGGCGATGCAAAAACACGAAAAAAAAAAAAACACAACTTAAATAAAACAAAAATAAAAGGATCCAAATCTTTAAAAAAGTCACAATGGAAGTGAGCTGCCGGGGGCCAATAATGATGACGCACCAGGGTTTTACAATCTAGTTTTATCTAGTAAATAACTTTATTTTTGCAACACCTCTTTTTTTGTATCATTAACTTCCGTTGTGGCTTTTTTAAAAATCTGCACTGTTTCTTTTTTTATTTGCAGCCGACTTCAGTTTCTTTTTTTTTCATCAGTAACTTTCATTGTGACTTCTTTTTTTTTTTTGCATTCTTTTTTATTTGAAGCAGTGGCGGTTCTCGGCCACCGTAGTAAGGCTATTTGCTTTTTACTTATTATACCTTTTAATTTCTGGGCAGACATGACAGAAACACTGAGTCACTATACCTTTAAATTTGACTTTTGACCTGACAACCAGCACTTCAGTTGCAATCAGTGAAATGTGTTTACTCTCATTGCTCCAGCATATCTTATCTAGGTCAGTTTGATTTCTATGTCCTCTTATGTTTCTTGTTCAGATTAGGGTTTAAGTCTGGCTTAATTAAAATCTACTCTCCAAAAGTCCAACAAATGCTTTTCTAAGCATATTTTTGACTCAAGATGTGATAGTTTATCGACACAGTTCACACATTTAGAATTAGAAACAATTAAAGTTTTTACACCCAGTATTACGTCAATGAAGCTGATGTGAAGAGGCTATCATAAATCACACAGGTGCGTGTGTTTATCACGTTGTACGTGTTTAGAGGTGGTGCCACTCACTGTAATTATGTGGCTCAAAGCTCCTCCTCCGCCCACTCTTAATCCCTTATATCCGCTAATACAGCGCGGCAGACATTTCCACAGAGGCACAAGCTGCCGTCAACCAACATCCAAAAGTCACATGCTGTGGAGCTACATGGTCGGGACAATTTAATATTTACCCCCCAGCGAAGGACTGTGGAGAGTTAAAAAGGTAAGACTGGGTACACCCCCTACTCCTGCCTGCCTGTCTGAATGAATGAATGAATGAATGAACACCTGTGCGACTCCGAGAGAAAGTGCTGCTGTCAGGCAAACAAGTATCACATCATAACCCGGCATGGTACTGCTCTTTTCAAAGGAGTTGTCTCAAAAAAGGTTCTTATTTGGGTTGATGAGTTTTTGTTTGTATGTTTGTTTGTTTTAGATATAAGCCTTGAGTTTGAGTAAAGGTTAGGTATAGCTTCATCCAGTTTAAGTTTTCTCAATCACTGCACCCTCAATGACAGGTAGGCCCACTTTATTTTGTTTGTTCTCTGCTACTACCACTTTTCTCTATTTGATGCTGGCACACCTATTGTAACCTGCAGTAACTTGTGTAGTGTATGGGAAGCTATAGATTCCTGGTGTTGTTGTAAACATAAAATGTCCTCTCTTAATGTGGCAAGTATAGGTTTAATTTCCAACAGAGACTGTGTTGATGTAGTGGAGAAATCCCAGCCGGTCTAGATATCATGACCCAGACACTGTGATTGATCAGTGCCCACAGAGAGAGGAGTGTTTCATTCACTAATAGCATGAGCAATCCAAAGAATGGAGGCAAACCAGTTGTGAGTCACTGCCAAAATACTGAATGACAAAAACGCTGTTGCTAAAAGACTATGTCCTAGTTTGTGCACCTTCTCCTGAGGTGAGTGTCTTATCCTGTCGTTGTTCTCCTCTCTGTCCTCTTTGACTCTGCTGTCCCAGTTATCACTTTGGTCACTCAGCCGATCAGTATGGCCTCCTCCGATGATACTGAAACATCTCTGACTCCTGTGGATTTTATTCAGCTGCAGCATTACATGGAATGTAAGTCTCACCCTCTCACTTAACGTATTTTAGCTATTGTGACATTACTGGTCGTTAAATGTGGTATGTGAAACAAAAAGGTCAGCTGGGGTGATGTTTTTCTGAAGCTCATCCTGTCCCTGTTAAGGGGGACCTTTATATCCAATCAGGACTGAGTACTTTGATCATTTATAGGAACATTACCAAGAACATTAACTCAGGTGCCACACTCCAGTTCAGTTTTGAGACACCTTTACCTTTCTCCTGTGTTAGCTTTTACTAAGGGTCGGTTTTGACCCGTGTCTTAGATCAGCTGTAAATTACACTAAAAACAATTTTCTATCTTCCAAATTGGTTCTCATCTCTAGGTTACCTTGTTAGGCTTCATTATCCATGAAATTATTGTTTATAATAGTTTTTGTTGTGGACCTCTGGGCCTTTCTTTGTCAGTATACCCCTCACAAAAACATCTATACTAAACTGATCTCATATGTCTGGACATGTCCATTGTTGTTTTTTGTGCAGTGAGACATGGCAAAATGAGAATTTCCTAAATCTCACATGATTGGGAAGTGATAGTCACAGTTATACAAACATAATGCCAGGGAAACAAATAGGGGGTTCAATATCAGGGCTTTGACTGTGGTTGCTTTTCTGCAAGCTGATGGATCACTGCTTTACTTTCGTTTTACTTCCTAAAACTCTCCAGTGGAAATGTGAGCAGCAGAACTCTGTAATAATAGACACCAGCAACTTGCTAAGAAAGTTTAAGACTCAGACAGTGTTTCATTGAAGGATCATTTAACATCAACTCACAACACCCCTAAAATAAAAGTATATTTTTACACTGGGTGTTTTAAGCCATCACAGGTTTTGATGGACGTGCTGATAGGAAAAATTAAGTATAAAGATGAGGCTAAAAATATTCCTGTGTACTCTCAGAGGCTTTCAAATGAAGTGGGTGTGTAGGCTTTCAGTGTTGGGGGGGAGACTTTGCTGGATAATGGAGTGCTACATAATTACACCTGCAACTCACTGGACCTGAGAGACCTAAATATATGGCTGTGTGTTTCTGCTGAGAGCAGGGAGCAGACATAACTTCAGATACACACTGTACTTTTATGTCCACTGTTAGTGATGTTTGTGTCCCAATTCAGCACTAAACATGCTCAAAATAAGGCCCCTGAGCAGATGATGAAAATCTGAATGAGTTACCAGCTTTCCTGTTTTTGTTGTTGGTTTGTCGTCTTTATAAACCTTCTGGTTCCTCTGCAGACAGCAGTTTGCGGGTGAAAGATGTGATAAAAGAGTTTCGTCCAGGAGGTCAACTGGCCCAACACACCTTTGGGGAGGTATGTTTTTCCTGAATGGGATTTATGAGGCAAAATGTAATTTAACAAAAAACAGACATTCAGAGCATTTCCTGTAAAGAAAAAAAAAATCCCTAAAATAATAAAATATAATATCAACCAGATTTTTTCCCAATTTATTTTATGAACAAGCTTATTTTATGTGACCAACGACAACTTTATTCCTTTTTTATATAACTAGTTATAAATCACAGTTTGCAAAAATGACTTGGGATTCAATTTAGTTTTTCGAAAAGTATCCTTAAATCATCCATGAACGCCATCATGAGTATAGATATTGCAATATCACATGGTTTCAGCCTTTCAGAGTCCTCTAATAAAGACTTTCTTTTTCTCTCTACAGTGCGTGGATGCAGTGGGCTTCTGTCTTTTTCTGAAGACCTACCTGGAAGTGGATGACTTACCTGCACATTTCTGCCAGCGTCTTTTCCTTTATTTTCAGCATGTAGAGCATGATGTGTCCGCAAAAAGCCCCCAGCCCAAAGCAGGTACATTATTTTGCAGTTCAAACTTTTTTTAATGTACCAGCACAGGGCAGATGTTTAAAGGTAGAAACTGCTCTGTTGTCAGGTTCATGCACAAAAAACTTGATTGCTAAACAGTGTTACTAAGTGTTTTTTTTCTGTTCGCCACTTTGTCTTTTTTTCGTCTGTAAGTCCTGCGTCACAGGAATGGGGCCCTAGCCTCGGAGATGAGTGCAACTCTTTCAAAAAAACATTAAATTGAGGATTCATGAGTGTTTTTTTTTTTTTTACTATTTCTTAATCTTCAGGTGGGGTGTTTCTCCGGGATGTGTCCTGTTACTTCTCAGTGCTCGAGGAGGGACAACCACGAGAGAAACTTGAATGTGGGTGTTATCTTTTTTTTTTTGAGCATTTTGTGACATGTTTTTTTTTACATGGTAACTGTTTCTAATAAACCTTGAACACGTATAAATTACTAGGATGAAAATGCTGCCTGATAACTGCATGACTGTTTTTTCTTTCTAGTTACTTTCAAACTTTACGACAAAGATTCCAATAAGCTCCTGGACTGTTCTGTAAGTTACTTTTAAATCTCTTTAAGTTCTTTCTCCAGTTACATTTAAAGGGATATTCCGGCATAAAATAAATTTATGGTCAAACACACTGTAACTCTGAGTTAGACACCCTCTCGAGAGATGAATGTTGCAGACCGCTTGCTTCTCTAGATTTACCAACTTTAGTAATGACCGCGCGATAGCAATACACAGTGGTCTGAGTAGCCATACACAGACCTCAACCAAAACGCCACTCTATAACCACAAATAATGCTCAGAACATTACCTAACTTCATCAACAGTACATATAGGGTCCCAGCCATAGTACCAGCCACCAAACATCCTTGTAGCTCTGCCTAATTTAACTAAAGAGACTAAACACAACTCACCTACTCTCTTCCAGCAACTCCTTGTTTGTAGCAAAACCTCAGGCCAGTCCATTACGGACTGCTGTGGGGTGACGCTGCTCAAGGAAGAACATTTATGATCATTACTTCATGGAAATACAATCAGACCAAGACGCTAAACCAGAAGAACTACAGCGCCTGCAGTGCAAAATGATTAATATGGTGATTGTTACTTCAAGGAAATGATAAAGTAATGATCATAAATGTTCTTCCTTGAGCTGCGTCCCCCCGTGTTACAGTGTGTTTTACCCTAAATTAATTTTACGCTGGAATATCCTTTTTAACTTTGTTGAATTGTGTACCCACTTTAACTGAGTTTTAAATTAAGAAAAATAAGGTTACATCTAAACCAGCTGAGAGTATAATCTTTGTACTCTGTCCTTAAGGAGGTGGATCGTATCATAACCCAGATGGTTCGGGCGGCTAACTACCTGGGCTGGGATGTGACTGAACTCAGACCAGTATGACTGACAAGTCTCACTTTTATGGCTTTTTACAGTTATTTACACTGCATGTTTTTGTTTGTGCTATACTGACATCGTTTGCTTGCTTGTTCATTATAAGAGTGATGTCACTGGTGTAAGAAGATACTAAGAATGAGTTCTTGTTTTGAACAGGTACTAAAGGAGATGATGACAGCCATCGATGCGGATGGCAGTGGAACCGTCACTCTGGAGGAGTGGGTGAAAGGCGGCATGAATAATGTGCCTTTACTTGTCCTGCTTGGGCTGAAGGTGACTCAGCAAAGCATTTGAATCTTTTTTAATTCACTGCACTATAATTTATGATCTGTTGCATTCATGTTCTTTTATAAAACAAACCAACTGCACCTCAGTGGACAACACATATAGTTTTCGATTTGAACTTTTGTTGCCTCCTCTCCCACAGGTGACAGAGAGGGACGGGCAGCACATTTGGAGGATGAAGCACTTTAACAAGCCGACATACTGCAGCGTGTGTCAGGGCATGCTGCTGGGCCTCGGAAAGCAGGGACTCTGCTGCACCTGTAAGAGCTCACAGCAGCCAGCAGGGGGTAGCCAAGCACCGCACATAGGGCAAATGATGCTAGAGGGGTCTTTTTAAAATAGGTGTCTGTTGTTTTGGTGTGACCACAACTTGCACTGAACAGAACTTTATCTATTACAACTAAGGAAAACTAAGGAGAAATGTGGTCATCTTAACTTGAATGTTTTTGTTTTGCAGGCTGCAAGTATACTGTCCACAGTCACTGTGCCAACAAGAATCCTGAACCCTGCGCTCGAACCTTTGTCAAATCTAAGAAGGATATTGGTGTAAGAAACACACTTTTCGAACAAGTCTTCCAGTCCTTACTAGTTTCTGCCATATTTGGTGTTTGTGGTTTTTCAATCTTTTTAAAAACAGTTTATGCGACAGTTGACAAATCTGAGGATATAGATTTTTTGTTAAAGACTATAAACCTCTTAATTAAACAAAAGCAAAGTCTAAAACAAATAAGATATTAGTTCATGCAATGCCTTTTAACATCCCGGCTGTTTTCATCCAACGTTTTCAAGGATGAATTAAATGTAACTTTTAAAAACATGTTAAAAGTATTCAAATTTATTTCTAGACAAGCTTTGTACGGGTACTCAAAAAGAAGTAAAAATTGCATTTGCTGGGTCATTTAGGGCTTTTTAAGTCAGTGTTTGAATGGCCATGTTTCTTATTTTTAGAAAGAATAATTAAAAAAAAGAAACAAAAACAGGTCATACAATGCATTAACATGACTCCTATATGAAATGTTTGTATCTTTACGCCAACACGTCATGTTAAAACATTGATTCTCCTCTCAATAAAAAAACACAAATGTGACAGGCAGCAACATTTAAAGGATGAATAACTGAGGTTGGTGCAGCCTGTCAGTGTTTTTTCAGCGATGGATTACATCCGGCACAGTCTGCTCTGTACATCTGTTAAGTGTCCTAATTTTGCGTGAGCTTGGACAATGATCCATTTGCTGGTGCAGAATCTGAAAATATAAGCCTCCATTTGAATTGCCTTGAATAAACCATATCAGCAAACTGGGCAAATTAAAAACTGGTTAATTGTGCAGGGGTATATGATCTTTGACATTTGCTGATCTTCCATTTATTGAATATTCAAAATGAAAGAAGTGAATGTGGTGAATGAAACCTTTTCCTCATCGCTTTTTGTTTACTCATTTGTGTCTCAGGTGGCATCTCATGACTGGATCCGAGCTGACTGTAACTCCACCAAGTGTCAGGTCTGCCATAAGAAGATAAAAACTTTAGCAGGGAGACGTTGTGTGTGGTGCCAGGAGATGGTAAGGAATGTTTTTTTTTAGTGCTTTTGAATGAGGAGGATGCCTGTTTTTCTGCTCACCAATGTTTGTTTCTTTTTCAGCGTCATGATGAGTGTCTTCTCTCCGGCTCACCAACCTGTGACTGTGGACTGCTGAAAGATCATATTCTGCCTCCATGGGCTATATACTCTGTCTCGAAGGTGAAAATGAGCAGCAGTGATGAAAACATTCATGCTTAAGAATTTAACATCATTTTAAAGTAACTGTTTCTGCGTCGATTACTCGTTCTGCAGGAGGAGGACACCAGCTTGTTAAATGTCACCCCTGATGGACACGTCTTGCAGGTGCTGTTACCACATTCTCTCAACTTTTTAAATACAGAAAAATTTTAAACACTTGCATCCAGTTAGAAATATATTAATCTATCTATCTTTCATGGCAATTCTAGCATTTTATCAACATTTTGAAACAAAAATGGCAAGTATTTTTATTCTAAAAAGGGAGCTTCTTTTAAAAAGAGCTGTGTTTTCTTTATTTAGCAGCAGCAGATGTTTGAATAATGCCTCCTCAAAGACTCTGCCTGACTCACCGCTTGTGTCTCTATATCCTTACATATGTATTTCCAATGAGTTACATGAAATACAAGATCTTAATCTGCTGTGTTTTTTCTTCAGATTCTTCCAATTCCAGACACCCACCCACTGCTGGTGTTTGTGAACCCAAAAAGTGGAGGAAAACAGGGTGAACGGTAGGCGATATAAAAAGATGGATACAGTATATAGTGTCTTTTGCCACAAATGAAAAAGTTCTCTTACTTGGGAGAAACATTCATTTTCACTTTGATTTGTGTTTTATCACAGAGTGCTCAGGAAGTTTCAGTACCTGCTGAACCCTCGTCAGGTGTACAACCTGTCCAATGGAGGTCCAGCACCAGGGTAGAGTATATTTCCACTGCTTTAAGACTCACTGTCAGACTTAATTGACTTTCTTCACATCACTGTTGTCTTTGTCTTTTTTAGACTCCACTTCTTCCGCAATCTGCATGAGTACAGGATCCTGGTGTGTGGAGGAGACGGCACTGTTGGGTGGCTTCTGGATGCTATAGGTGCTCTAGATCCCTTTAGGTTTCAGAAAGGAAATGCAGTAAATGATCTCTAAGGCTGAATATTTTCCCTGTGATTTCAGACAAAGCAGACCTGCAGGTGCATCCTCCTGTAGCTGTCCTGCCTCTGGGCACTGGGAATGACCTGGCTCGCTGTCTGCGCTGGGGAGGAGGTAAAACCAGCTCATCAAACTTTATTACACTCATCTGTAAACATGCTGTAAACTATTAAAAGCTTTTTAATGATCCCTTGATAGGCTATGAGGGCTCAGACTTGAGAGAGATCCTGAAGGAGATAGAAAATAGCGAGTTGATTGCTATGGACCGCTGGAGCATCCAGGTCATACCAGAAGACCCCCAGGAGGCCGGAGACCCTGTGCCCTATGAGATCATCAACAACTACTTTTCTATTGGAGTGGTGAGTTGAAGTAAAACCTCAGCTGATTTTTGATTGAGGGTACGAAAACATTTATGGTATTTCCCATACAGAGACATGAGTATTTTGTCCTAACTATGACTTACTGTGATTTTGATGTCTGTCCCTGTGAGCAGGACGCCTCGATTGCTCATCGTTTCCACTCCATGAGAGAGAAACATCCCCAAAGATTCAATAGCAGGTATTAATTCAAACAAATTGTATAAATAAAGAGTAAAAAGTTATATTTTTGATCAGTTGAGCTCTTCTTGTTTTTCAGAATGAAGAACAAACTTTGGTATTTTGAGTTTGCGACCTCTGAGACCCTCTCGTCTTCCTGCAAGAAGCTGGGAGACTGTCTCATAATTGAGGTTAGAATGTCTAACACAGTCAAGTAGCTGATATATCAAAACTCAGCCTGTGTACTCAGAAGATCATTGCTTCCTCCAGTGCTGCGGGAGACCACTGGAATTGGGTAGCATGCCTCTAGAGGGCATAGCTGTACTTAACATACCCAGCATACACGGCGGCTCCAACCTGTGGGGAGAGTCCAAGAAGTCTGATAGTGTGCCAGAGGTGGAGCATAGTGATGTTATCTCTGACCCTGACCTTCTTAAAACTATCCCACAAGGTGAGGCCAAGCAGGCTGTATTTCTTTATTTTATTTCTATGCTCAGCACTCATCTATAGTTTCTAAAATATCTCATCTGTCTGTCATCAACTTGGCTGTTTATCATACCTCTGTAAGCTTTGAAAAACTCTTTTAACTTGATCTCTCTCTCTGTCACTCTTTCTCTCTCTCGCTGTCTCTGTCTCTTTCTCTCTGTGTACGTAATGTTACTCCTCAGATATGAGTGACAAGCGTTTGGAGGTTGTGGGGCTAGAGGGAGTCATAGAGATGGGACAGATCTACACTGGACTGAAGAGTGCCGGACACAGATTGGCACAGACTTCCCAAATTACTATCAGGTATGCACTTCTACCCACAAAATATAAAAAATGAAGAATATAATGAAGTCGAATATGATCCTGGATTGCATCCTATGAAGTAACCCCTTGTATTGTCAGCCTCTATGTGCACAGGCATGTGTTGAACAGGCATGCAATATGTTCATACATGGTAAAAATGGTGCATTATAGCTCTTCCCTGTTTGCAGAACAAGCAAAGCCCTGCCCATGCAAATTGATGGGGAGCCGTGGATGCAGCCTCCTTGTACTGTAAGTATAAATGACCAAAAAACTTAAAGGAAACTGTCAAAATAAAAACGTGACATAATCAATGATAAAAAAAAAACAAAACGTCACATTGACTTGTAATATCCTTAGCCTGACAAGAGCAATAAGGGCTTTTGTTTAACTAAGTGTAGACATGATAGTTTTTTGACTTAATTGACATTTTTATATATCTTATGAATCACTTAAGTACGCTTATTTTTGCACAGAGTAAAAGATTTTTGAGTATATGAAAATGCCATTATCACTTATGGAATTGTTTTTTATGCATCGTAGATCCACATAACTCACAAGAACCAAGCAAACATGCTGATGGCTGCACCAGCTAAACCGTCTGGCTTCTTCCATCTCAAATAGAATAGCAGTTCCTCAAACCAGCCTGCTGAGTGTTAACAGACCACGTGCTGTATTATTGTCAAAATGCCAAAGGATGAGGGTTAAAAACAAGAATTAATTGTCCAGTGTTTATCTCTGTGTTTATTTTATGAAGTATTACTGTGTTTGTCTTTTGCTTTAAACCTCTAGTGTATTTAAAGAATATTGCAGACAGCTTGCACTCAAGCAGAGACCGCACTGACAGAACAAAAAGTGACAATTTTACTCCTCAGTCTCATTGCTGCTATTGTGCCAATCAAAATGTGATGAATCCATGTTGTTTGTGGTTGGAAATAAAAAAAAAAAAGCAAAACAAATTGCTGTTTATGCTGCACACAGATGAGAAGACGCTGCATTTTATCTTTGTCATGATAGTTTTAAATTTTGTTTAGTCCTGCTTGCAGATGTGTTTTGTTAAGTCAGTGTGTACTTCATAACACAGTGAAAAAAATGACCTGGCTTTCATCAGCCTGCAGAATTTATGGCAGCTCCCCCCTATGACTTCACTGTCTAACTTATCTATCCCTATGCCGTTTACTTTCAGTGTTTTCTAATGGAAAGAAACTTAATCATGTGTTTGTGTGTTCACAGTTACATAGGGATGTAGTTTTAAACAGCTGCTTTAGTTTTCAATCCATTAGCCAGACTTTATTTTTATAGCACTTATCATACAACTAAGTGTAGCCAGTGGTTTACATAAATAGAAAATCAATAAAGACAAGCACATAATACAAAAATACATGATGTTGAACTCAACAAAATGGCAGCTGAGGAGCTGAGAAAATCATGATTTTAATATAGTATTATAGTACTATAGTATTTTAATACTCTGAGGTTCAAATATTAAAACCACAAATAGCAATTAAAGATCTTTAACTAAAGACCTGAGGGCTCTCATGGGCTCATAAGTATAGAGCAAATCTGATAAATAAGCTGGAGGAAGACTAGAGCAGCTGAGCTGAGAAATGTTCTTTTTCTAGGTGAACAGAAACAAGGGCACTAGAGTTATAAATATATAAATAAATATGGCAAGTGATAAAAACATGAATGAGAGTCTCTGCGATGGGATGAGGAAGATAATGCTTGCAATGATTTTTTAGTTTAAAAATAGCATTGTTTTTTCTTTTGTATGATGTTCAAAACAGGTTTTGATCAAACATCACTCCTGCTTATTTAAAAGCCTGTAGCTTCTTTCTCTCTCTCTCAGAGAGTCAGCACTAATGATTAGTCCTGATCTTTGTCCTGGTTGAGCTGGACAACCGGAACATGTGGTAAACCATGACTACCTGTTATATTATATTATTTTAGCTGAAAAATACAGCTAAAAAGATATCAGTTGACTCTGGGACATTGGGAGACACAACAATGTAGAGATGCACGTCTTTCCCTCTAACACTGAAAAAGATAATTGTAAAATAGCTCAATGTTGTATTTAATATATTTAACGCACTGGAGAAGAGTGTATAGTTAGCACTATCACTCTTTGTAACATATTTCTCCCATTTCTCAGGTCTCTTAAAATCTAAGTAGACAGAAACCCAAGGAATGTAGTGAAGTTACACAAATCACTTGGTCCCTTCGTGCACGACATTTTGTGGCTGAAAAAAAATGGGAAATAGATGCTGAGGTCAGCTTTTATTCCCAGTGATGAGCATCTTTAATCTTGAGGAGACTACTTTTGTTGTGTTTCCATTGTACTAACTGTAAATACATTTAATACGCTGTATGATCATTAAACAAGAATTGTGCCGTTGTCCTCTTGCATGTGTGTCCTTAATAGTATTATAAACTTATGGGGCTCATTGATAAAAGTCACATCACTACATTTCAAGAATGAAATCCTCAGGCAGATCACCATTTATTTCCCCAGATCTGGGAGGTCAGTTTCACCTCAGATTTTTTCTTAAAAAGTGGTTTTACAGCTTGCTTTTGTCTTCTGATAACAGACTGATTAAATATTATATTTAGGGCTGTTTGAAAGCTGTAAGTGCTGTAGAATGAGAAAAACTTGACCCATAATGCTTCACAACATTTATTGTGAGAAAAAAATCGTCATTCCTTACTCATTCACCTGTATAAGACTTGTTTTACAAATTGTATATCAATAAAACCCACCCTGCGTTACAGTAAAATATATTGTGCTCTCATTTTTACCTGTCATAAAGAAAAATGACAGCACTTATCAATGCTTGTTTCTCATAATACTGAGCTGTATATTCGCTTTGAGTATCATTCTGCACACAGCCCACTTAGTGAAATTGAAAATCTAAGTTGCTTAATTCTTCCAGAGCAGAGGAGCGTACAGTGAGGCTCTGCATTTGTGTGGGAGGGAAACAGCAGGACTAATCCAGAAGTGGCAGCAGCAGCAGACAGTCAGTGATTGTGGGTGTGTGTGTCTGACATATTTTCTCTCTTTATGGAGAAGACTTGAGATGTTAGAAGTGAAGAATGGCTGATTCTGAAGGTTGGAGGAAAAATTTAACATATTTCAGGGGGCTTAAATGCCTATAAAGCAAGGGTGAATAAATTTGTTAAATGTCTGGTGCCGTGTACATTATTAAAGGTGTCTGCATACTTGCAAAAATCTCTATTTTATATTTTATTTATGCTGGCTTGTAGATTGATTTAATCTAGTTTACATTAATATTAATGTACAAAAAACAAGATTAAACATGTCGTTTTTAACGAGAAGAAAAACTCTATTTCAGACAGTGGTCATAATGATACACGAATAACTTTGCTGCATTAATTAACATTGTTATATTGTAGATGAAATAATCTAAAACTGAAAAGTAGAGAGTAAATTCATCCGTCAAAAAATAATAAACCAGTTGGTACAATATTAACCAATATATGTACTTTAATAGGTTGGAATAACAATCAAGCATTAACTGTTAATATCAAAGTTTAAAGCTCCTGTGAGAAACGTTTTGTTTGTGTCAGTTTTAGCTCCTCTTGTGGACAAGATAAAACATCTTGCCCCCAATCCGGCACCCAATAAAGTTGTCTTCGCAGACAAATATCTCATCTTATTGTCTATTAACAGTTAAATGTGACACTTGATGTGAGTATTTGCCATGAAAACAATTAAAAAAGGTCTCCTCAAAAAGGTCAATCAACTGATCTGACACCTATTACCTTACAGCAGTTTAAAGTATAAAAAAACTACAACTTATTTTCTGCTGTGTTGCTAATGGTCTTGGTTTCCTTAGTGGCTCATAAAGAAGCATCATTATCACTTAAGTTTGTGAGGAGTTGGCTATATGCTAAAGAAACAGACATCAATATTGAATGTCTTTACTACCAACAAAAACGCTCTCAGCGAACAGGACAGAATTCCTGTGGTTGTTTGTTTTTCCTATGGCTGCTGCTCATTGTTAAACGTGTCAGTCCAGTTGATTTAGTGCATGTTACAAAAACAACTTTTAAAAATTTTCTATAGCAGAGATTTACAATATGTGAAACACTAGAATATTGATAAAACACTGGGCAAGAAAGAAGGTCTTTGTCCACAGTGGGGGTCAAAACCTACACAATCTGAACGTTCCACACAGGAGCTTTAAGTACATGTAGCTACTTTGGTTCTTGGCAGTTAATGAGGAGGAATCTAATGTATCATGAACTTTAAAATGAAATTATTTCATTATTCATCTGTGTTGATTCGATGTGAAATGATGTCACGTATACCCTGTGTTTTTTCCCTTTTGTATTTTCATATAAGTGTACTCTGAGCCAGTTTGTGTGTGCCCTTGCAGGACTGAGTAATGGGACAGGAAGGTGATGTCCAGTGTAGTTAGTTGATCCATAGAGATATCAACACAACATGGTGCTAAAATACCAATTAAAAACCCAGTCAGCTCCTGGCAGGTCTGCACAACCCACAGATTCTCACATCCTCTGAAAAAGAATCCTTGCTGGCCCTCACCCTGAATGATCCCTTTAGCTTTCTGCAAAAAAAGGAACCAGACCATTCCTCAATATTCCCAGAGGGGGTTTCGAGTGTTGGAGAGTGTTTTTTCTCTCTGGTGGTCGTGGAAAAATTGTGACATAAGGAGTATTAAGTGTAGCTTATATTAATGCTGACAGATGGACACCTGCAGCTGAGGCTGTGACATCTTTCATGCAAATGACATTACAGTTTGACAGGTTTGTCACTCTGACGCTCAAAAATTTAAAGTGTGAATTGTTGTCATTATTATGTTGTTTGTGGTTTTGGCTGTATCAAAACTGTCGTCACCGATTATAGAACAAAGACATATGTGGTGTGATGAGTTCAGCCTTGCTTCCTGAGCTTAGGGATAAGCAATGGTTGAAAGAAGCAAAGGAGATACGTGTATCTGGACAAAAGAACTTTTATCTAGAGCAGACTTTGTAGAATAAAAAAACTGGTTAATTACAAGGCGGGGCGGCAGTAGCTCAGGAGGTAGAGCGGTCATCCATTAACTGGAAGGTTGTCCATTGTGTCCTTGGGCAAGACACTTAACCCACCTTGCTCCCAGTGTGTGTCCTCCACTGGTGTATGAATGTGAGTGTTGTGTGGTGGTGGTCAGAGAGGCTGTAGGCGCAAACTGGCAGCCACGTTTCCGTCAGTCTACCCCAGGGCAGCTGTGACTACTACAGTAGTTTACCACCACCAAGGTGTGACTGTGTGAGCAAAGGAATGATATATCCAATGTAAAGTGTTTGAGGGTCTCTGATAAAGCGCTATATGCAATCTGATGCATTGTTATTATAAATGTATACTGTCATGTAATCACTTCCAAATGACTGTAACCACTGTCAACATTTATAATGTGAGACTAATAATAAAAACAACAATAAAAAGAGCATGTTGTCCTCAGAGAAAATCACCAGTTTTAAACCAAACTAGCAAACTCCACCTGCTGTGAAGATCATGTGATGGACAAACCAGCCGTTTTTAAAGGATGTAAGAATTTACTTTCAAATGTAATCATGGTTATAAAGAAATCTAAAAAGTCAAATACTAAATTAAGGATAGGATTTGATTAAACTGTCAATTAGATTGACAAGTCTGACTTTAAGTTAAATTTTGTTTTAATCTTTTAATCTGCATTATGTTATTTTATGCTATTTTAGTCCTAGTGTAATTATTTTGTGTTTCATTAACTCTTTTTTAAGATAGCGTTTCCTCAGTCATCTGTAGCAAGTTGAAGTGTCCTGGTCTTTTGTGTATGCATCTGTGTGTGTGAGTGTGAGTGCTGTATGTGTTGAATGGGGGTTGGGTCGGTGGGTGGGGTTTGGTATTTGTATTTTTATTTATTTTATTTCATTGTTTTTTAATATCCTGCGCGAATGGACAGCATTTTGTGCTACAATCCATGTATGAAAAGTGCTTTAAAAATAAAGTTTGACTGATTGATTGATAAAAACAACAGGAAATAATAAAGCCTAACAAAGATCCTATTTGAGAACTATAGATCTAAAGAACATGGATCACCCACTTCACAACACCTTAATGGACCAAAGGGCCAATGGTAGTGGACGGCTCCTCTCTCTTCACTGCAGAACAGAAAGATTCAGGAGATCTTTTGTACCAACAGCCATCGGACTTTATAACTCTTGTGTAAATAGTAGATAACTTTTAGAGACACGTCAAGGGAGACAACAGACAATTGAATTTCCCGTCGGGGATTAATGAAGTTATTCTTATTTTAAATTCTGTAGAGGACAAACCTTGGGTCTCCACACTTAATAACTACAATCTAAAAAACACACAACAGACTATTTAGAATTTCAAAAAGTGTTAGCGTCCATTCAGTTGAGAAATGCTAAGCTACAGGCTCTTTCTTCTATGACAACAAAAGTCGTATTACAGGTACATAAAGAACACAGGTGTTTCCTGTTCTACCCTTAACATCAACAAATCTCTCTGTTGTAAACGCACTGAAAGCCAAAATTTCCAGACCTGAAACGTCTTCACCTCCAAACTACGACTATTTTTAGCGTTTTCATCTAGTAATAGCTCCACGTGAGAGCCGCTGTCGTTTTTCGGTTTATATTTAGAACGCACGCTCCCCCGGTTCTTGCGTCAATGGAATCCCGTGCGTGCGTCACATAGAAGAACGTCTGCAGCGAACGTAACGCTGATTGGCCGATGACCCGGAACGTTCCACCGCCCTGTTCACCATATTTGGGCAAAGACCCGCCCTATTGTCGACGCATCCAAAATAAAACAAGAGTGTATGGAGGTTCCAGCGTTGGTCTGACCCACTGTGCAAGTGTGAGTGTGTTTGAATGAGTGTGTGTGCTGACAGCAGCTGGCAGGGGTGACAGTCATCAGTTTCACTCGTTTGGAATTAATGAAAAGCTTAAAACTCTGGATATTTATTTGACCCAGGTGAGTCAAAATGAACATTTTGTTTCTATATGGACAGATTAATATGCTTGTCTTTATGCTACATTATTCTGACTTGAATAGCTCATGGCAAAACGAGACTGAACTGCTAATACAAGTTATTAATTGTTGTGAGATAGTTTTATTTTGTATTGTGACAAAAATTAATGTTTAATAATGTGTCTCCCATCTCAGTGTGGCTGTTAGACTTATATATAACACAGGAAACACATAATACACTAAGTCCATACAACGTTTCTGAAACATCCATCTCAAAAAACAAACATTAGTACTCTTTAAGGGTATCAGGTCAACTTTAAAAGGATTGAGAAATGCCTGCCAGTGTTTATATTACTGCTTTAAGTATACTGTCTGTATCCTTTCTCAAAGGTTTTATCAGCTGTCTGGTTTACATACTTGACTTCATGATAATGTTGTAGGTTAAAAGGTGGTAAAGTTGCAGTGTTGCTGTTGGGTATGAGAGTACACACATAACAGGGCATTTTCATAATGCATGACATGAATATTTGGACACTTGACCGGTGGGGTACCCCCCTTACATTTAGTTTAACAGAGTTGTAAATGTAGAGGACTGAGTTAAATATTTGGTTCAAACTTGGCGAGCTGTCAAAGAATGCTCACGTGCGAAATGACGTGTGTTAAATCATTTGATTACAAAAACTCTAGATTTGCACCTGTAAATACATGCCCATTCACTCTGTCTTTCAGTCACAAACCACACACACACACACACACACACACACACACATGCGCGCGCACACACATAAACAGGCTTTACCACCTTTCCCATTTGAGCTGGCATTTAGCCCACCCTGAAATACAATCTGCAACACTCGCTGGTACAGCCCCTGTGAGAGAGGGTTGCCCTCCACTGAAGGAGGTTTTCAGAGCATTAACAGCCTGTAACACAATATCTGACAATATCTGATTTCCCTTCTGCATATTAAATAGTGTACTAAAGCTGGTGAAGTGGTATGTTGGGGAAATCAGAGAGTTCGAGGTGTTAATGTATGCTACTGTTTGGATGGTTAGAGAGGGATGATTTAAAACCTGATGACCTATTTGATCTTAGCATTATTTAGTTTACTGGGATGCAATTTAGTGGCCAGAATTCACATGATTTAACACGAAACTCATTGTTTGCCTACGTATGTTTGATTTGCCTTACAAGCTTTTATTTTGAAAAGTCACCACTGTCATATGAGCACTGCTTTCAACTTACTTTCTCTTCAGTTATTTGTCTTACTTTAGTTTTAATGACTATATGTATTTGAAAGATAAAGTGTCTAATTGGTGGTTGGTTTCGTCCTTTGTCCTAGCAATGCCCTGTGTACAAACCCAGTATGCATCCCTGCCCCATGACAACTTCTTCAGCTCTGAGTTCTTGAGTCCTGACCTTAGTGCCAAACTGGTGATGGACATCGGTGGCCAAAAGGACCAGCTGTCTACATCTTCATTACCCAGCATCAACACCTTGGTGGGCAATGGCTATGTGGGGGAGTTTGATGGCTACTCTTGCAAGATCACCACCTCTCCTCCCAACTCTACAGTTTCGTTTAGCCACACTGCTGTGGCTGAAAACCCACAGATGCAAAGCCAAGCCTTCAAGCTGGATGATCTCCAGGTGTATGGCTGTTACCCGGGATCCTTTGCTCTCAGCTGCCTAGATGAAACCCTCTCATCATGTGGCTCCGACTACTATGGCAGCCCAGTTTATACATCTGCTTCTCCTCCAGCACCAGGTTTCCAGACACAGACAGCCCCTGTGTGGGATTCCCCTTTCAGCCCCTATCCTTCAGCCCCTGCAAACTCTGTGGCTGAAAAAACTGCCATGGCCCAGCAGCTCTCCTTTTTCTCCTTCAGCCCCCCACCAGAACAACACTCTCCCTTGGGGCAGCATCAGGATGCACCTCCAGGCCACAATGACCCTTTCTTCCTGCCTCCTCAGCAGCATCTCTCGCCGATTCATTGCCCCCCTATGTCCATGGATCATGGAGCCTTAGAGGGCCCCAGGATAGTGGAGGGGGGCATGACATCCCCCAAAACCCACAACCTGGGATCCAGTGAGGGTCGCTGTGCAGTTTGCGGTGACAACGCATCCTGTCAGCACTATGGAGTCCGCACCTGTGAGGGCTGCAAAGGATTCTTCAAGGTAAAAACCTAAACCGTCTTTTTCCTGGTTAATTCTCGACAGACATGATTGTTTGGTTTGGGTGAAAAATTAGACTTTTGTAGCTTCTTAATGATTTTGGACAAGAGTAAAAGGCTGGTGGCAAAGAATTAAAACACTTCACAGAAACCTCACAGAAATGCTTTAGTTTATTTGAGTATAGTTACAGCAATAAAAGTTTGTTCTCCAGAAATATTAAGAGTTACATGTGGTACTGTATGACGTCTACTGTGCATGTTTTCATGTTAAAATACTATCTCTGTGACTTTTAATGTTTAGATGGGAACATTGGTTTTAGCCTCAAAAGTACAACATTTGCGCAGCTATATGCCATTTAGATAAATCAAGAACCCTATGCTTTACTTTTATCCTCGATGCACCTGGTTATTTACTGAAAAAAAAAACTATAAGGTAGATCACATGGCTACATTTTAGTGCATCAAAAACTTACATGTGTCATTTTTTTTTTCGACAGCGAACTGTACAAAAAAATGCAAAGTATGTGTGCCTTGCCAATAAAGACTGCCCGGTGGACAAGAGGAGAAGGAACCGCTGCCAGTTCTGCCGTTTCCAGAAATGTCTCGCTGTGGGAATGGTTAAAGAAGGTATTGCAAAACTCTCCTGAATCCTTCAGTGACTAATATATGACAGTGAGAAACTGGGGTTAGCAATGACAGTCTTGTGAAACCAAAGCTGGAAGCAAAAGAGATGTATGTGCCAGTTGCAGAAATAGGGAAACAGAAACTGAGAGAGCAGTTATTCTTTTTTAAAGTGCAGTGACGGCCATGTGAGCCTCAGAGCCTTGTGCTTGAACTCTCTCTTTTTTCATTTCTTTCCTTTGCCCAGTGGTTCGCACAGACAGTCTCAAAGGACGTCGGGGTCGTCTGCCCTCGAAACCCAAGACTGTGGCTGAGGCATCATCCACGACTCCGAGTCTAAACATCATAGCCTCACTGGTCAGGGCTCACGTGGACTCCAATCCAAGCATCGGGAAGCTTGATTACTCCAAGGTAAGTCTCAAGACTTTTAACATGCAGAACATACTGATCGGTTAAGTGATGTTACACCTCATCATTGGATCTACACCAAGCAGAGACAGGGAAGAACTCAGTGCTGTTTCTTTTCAGTAACACTGTCACTGCTCCTCTGTTTCTCCCCAGTACCAGGAGGAAGTGGACAACCTAAAAGAAAAGGAGGATGCAGGTGACATCCAGCAGTTTTATGACCTTTTGACCGGTTCTTTAAATGTCATAAAAACATGGGCTGAAAACATCCCAGGATTCACAGATTTCTGCACAGAGGACCAGGAGCTGCTCCTAGAATCTGCCTTTGTTGAGCTCTTTATTCTGCGGCTCGCGTACAGGTCAGCCTCTTTACAAATGACAGGTTAGCAAGCATTTCAGATGTGTGACACTTACTGTACTAACTGTACTATTGTTCTGAAACTGTGCAGGTCAAATCCAGAGAAGAACAAGCTCATTTTCTGTAATGGCTCAGTCCTCAATCGACTGCAGTGCGTCTGCAGTTTTGGTGACTGGATTGACTCCATCATGGATTTCTCCCAGTCTCTCCACCGCATGAACCTGGATGTGTCCTTGTTCGCCTGCCTGTCAGCACTTGTAATCATCACAGGTTAGAGTCCGTATTCACATTTTTGTAAACAAGAATGCAGAGTGCATTTGTATTGCATATTTAAGGTTAAAGATTGTGGTTCTCATGTCAACATTTTTTTTTACATCCAGATCGCCATGGCCTCAAAGAGCCAAAACGGGTGGAGGACTTTCAGAATCATCTCATCACTTGTTTGAGAGAACATGTGAGTGGAAATGGATCAGAAATGAGCCGTGTCCAGCCTAACTATCTCTCTCGCCTTTTGGGTAAACTCCCCGAACTGAGGACTCTATGCACTCAGGGCTTACAGCGAATCTTCTACCTGAAACTGGAAGATCTGGTCCCCCCTCCACCTATAGTGGAGAAAATCTTTTTGGACACTCTGCCATTCTAGAAAAAAGCACCAACACTTATGAGTCATTTGAAACGTGACTTTTTCAGGGGGGCTTTTGCCTTTGTCGACGTCAGAGCTAAAGAGACAGGAACAGTGGAAGAAGACGGGCAGCAAAGGGTGGTGGCTGGAAGTCACGCTGACAACTGTTTCGACGAGAACTGTATATTCAGTACTTGAATACTGTAGCACTTAAACTGCTCAGCGAATTAGCGTCCTGATTGGAAAGTAAAATAACACAAAGTTAATCTGAGTTTTTATCAGCTGACTCTAATGCTGAACCTCCCTTTTCAGCTCTGACTTCTGCTCTGGCAAATGTCTGTCTTTGCTCGAGAGACCATCATTTTTATTAGATTACAGTCAAAAATCAAAGACAGGACTGCTCAAAGATTTATGTTGGTGCAATGAACCTGTCATGGACAGAGCTGAAAGAGTGGCATTTAGGGACACAGTTTATACATACTTTTTGTGTGTGTGTGTGTTTTAAAAATGACTTTATTGCTGTGCTAGGTGTGTGAATGTTGTCCTTTTATTCAGGTAGTTAGACATGACGCATTGCAGTGTTACATGCTCAGTTTTTGCTTATCAGGAGAGAACGCACTAATCTCTCAAAATGTGTTCAATGGGCTTGCTTTTTTAGCCTTTGGGAAGAGGCTGAAATTATAGATTTTGTAAGAGAGTAGAAACACAAACTGTTACTTTGCAATGCTGATGAGTCCTTCACAAAGGGGATTCCACAGATTATTTACTAATTGATAGTTGTAGTCACACTGCTCATTTTGAAGGTCTTGGACCAAAGTTTACTCATGTTTTTATATAACCAGTTATAAACCTTATTGCCTTAAAGCATGAAATGTTTTGCCATAACACTTGTGCCGTCATTTGCAACACCTTACAGAGGCTGATGCTGGCAGGGTTCCTGCTGAATCATTTGTATCTAGAAACACTTCTTGGGCCTTAAAAGCATAAATGGACATGATGAATGAAAACAGAAAGTGCCTTTTGAATACCTTTAGCCTTCAAACCAGAATAAGTGACACTAAGCTACCCCTGATATCACATAAAGAGAACCCCGTGTAATGTAAGTGTCAGCTTAAAAGCTGCAGTCAGAACTGGTTTCTTACTTAAGACCATTAAGAATAAATTCAGCTTGGATTAACTTTTGTAAAGTTGTAAAGAGGGAAATTGTCAGAATAGTTTGACTAAAGTATACAATACTACAACACTTCTCACACTGCCAAACTGGAAGGACATCAAGTGCTGACAGCTGGTTTAGGATCTACAAGAACTAAATCCTGTTCATATGTTCCTGAGGCAGTGAAATCCAGGACTACAGTGGAGACGCCCAGCTCATGATTTAGTCAAATCACATTTCAGTGTCCCTGTCCACTCTGTCCAGAATTAGATATAGCATATCCTTTCCATTATTAGTTTCAACCTTCACAGCACTGTAAAAATCCACTTTAAAAGCAGACATGAAATGTTTAGCATTCAATAGTTACTTGTCTTTGGCTAAAGATACTTTGCCCTACATGTGTTTTAAACCTCATCTTGATGTGTTTGTGAAACTCTCCTACTGTCTTCCATTTTCTTCTGAATGGTGTATTTTTTTTTTTTTTTACTTTATTTTTTATTTTCATCTCAGCATGAACTTAAGAAAATTCTTAAGGAATCGCAGTGACATGCGATGAGAAGATGAGCAGCTAAAAGCACTTAAGTGTTCAAACAAAATGAAGAGCACTTCTTTCTCCTACTGTATGTATTTTGTTTGACATTTGTGTGTGTACTTTGAAAATATGGCCAGGGCTTTCATACTATGGTGCAGAACTTTTAAAAGAAAATATTTGATATTAAAACTTTTGAAAATACTCTCCTGTCTGCTTTTGCTGAAACGTTGTGCAACTGAGTGATATGTGTGTCCTTTAAGTGATGTAGAACTAGATATCATAGGTTTGTCTGATTTTCACCGGGGAAGATTTACACACAGGTCTCTGAACTGCAGTTTTATTGAATTTATTACTTGAGTACTTTTGTAAAATTTCTTTTTGTTTTATATTCTGTTTATGGACATGGGTTAGCAAATGGGAGGCACCATACATCTGCAGTCTTTCTAACGTCCAGCAGGAGGCAAATACAGTGAAAGTATAAAAGCAGTCAGAGTCAAAGGAGCCAGATAAGAAAATGACTCCATCTTACAATGATTCATTACCCCAGGAAACAACACAATCTGAGAATAGCAGGTATTTTATTTTATAACAAAGCTTGTCTCTTTGCTGACCTTGAAACCACACGAGCGTGGTGTTTCACCCTGAAGGTCTCTACATCTGTTGGGTGAGAAATTCTGTACATATGGTACTCTGAAAATACAAAATACAAGACAAAAGTAGGTGCAGTCATTTCAGAAAAATAGAGACAACTTTTAACTTTTTTTGTTTGTTTATACATGACAAAGTTTATCACATAGTCTAATTATCTTCATCTGCGTAATTCCTTCAGCTGATTAGTAAATATCAACATGCTAACACACTGAAACCAAATGTTGAATGTGTTTTTTAGTGAATTCTTGCATACAAACTCTATTATTCTGCACACACAGGCAAACTTTTATCATCACCAAGCAGATGGTGCCATATGCTTAAATATCTATTCTTCACTAAGGGGTTTACAGTCTGTTAGAGCGGCACATGAAAGAAACCTCAGTTGCTATTTTACACAGCTGACACTGCACAGCAACAAGCTGCATATTAATGATGAGATGAGAAGTGACACAAAGTCCTTCGTCTCCTTTTCACCAGGTCTGGGTTGTTTTGTCAAACATGGTGTTAATATTGGCAACATCCCTGACCAGAGGGGAAGGTGACACCGAGTCTCTCTTATCCACCGCAGACTGCAGCATGGACAGCATGGACAGCATGGACAGGACTCAGTCACCTGACACCTGATCCTACTGTACACCACGTTCCGGTCATCTGGATTTTGGAGTTGGCAGACAGAGTGGAAAACGGGGACAAGCGAAGAAAAGAGGAAGAGCCAAAACGAAAGCCAGCTTGCACTGAGGTGTTCATTATGTTACAAAATGGCAAGCATGCTGTCCAAATCAGATTATGTAGAGCAACAGACAGGTCCTGTTTTATAAGAAAGATTAAGATAAATACTGCAAAGATCCTTTGATTTCAACTAAAAGCATTTTTTAAAAATCAGGTTACTGAAACTCTCTACAGCATTAATCCTTTGTGAATTTCCATCTGACATTTTCTTTTAACACATCGATGACAGGTCAAACACTTTGCCCCTTTACACCGGCAAACTTAAAATGCATTTCTCAGTCAACATATCCTTCTAAAGCAGGGAGGCACCATCTGGAGCTGCCATTGGCCCCTTAACTTTTGACCTGTGCCCTGACACGCAACACTCTGAATGCAGAAACATACTGTAGCCTTACACCCTGCACAGACCTTTGGATCTGTAATATGCGGCTTACTTGTCATTGGGATTTGGAGCTCAAACATGCAGAGCTCGGTGTTTAACACTGTGCTTATGAGCTTTTGAACATATATCACACAGAGCTATTCTTCTGACCAAGTCTCTCAATTACAACTGAAAGAGTGCAACTAAGTGTGTGATCAAAGTTCTGTATTTAGAGTTCAGTAGTCATTTTGGGCGTATGATGATAACATGAAATCAAAGTTACAGCTGAGATTAAAATATTTCACATTTTAACTTCATTCATCGACTCGTTACTTTGCAGATAAGACTGAAACACAAATTGGTGATGGCCTCTTTTAGCAGCGATTTACAGGTTGAATTTCCCAACTGTTAGCTTGAAATACATGAGTGCTGCAGGCTAGCTACCGGCTAGGAGCTCTGTTAGGCTTTTCATTTAACTATTTTGCTATTATGCTAATATCTGGGCGGGTATATCTTCAGTATGTTTGATGCGGTCTATGTCATTTAAAAGAAAATCTTTCTCCTCATCGGAAACATGCTTTTCTTGTATTTGTTAGAATGATACGTAATAAGCTTGCGGCCTACAGCTGTAAAACTCTGAGAAAACCTCAGCCATGAAAGACGAGTTTTCTTGACCCCTAATAGTTCTCCAAAGTAGCCGAACATACACCCATGATCTGTTGCAAAAACAGATTAGTAACAGCATTAGAGAACATAAACCCTGGGGACAAAGTCAGATATAAAATTTGAAGCACTGTCACCATTTAGCTCTGTAAGAGTCAGGAGGTAGTAGAGCTCTTCACCCCTCCATCAATGATGCTCACTACAGTGTACAAAAGTTTGTATTCAATTACAAATGATAATTATCTTTGTAGCCTTCTGTCACCTTGAGATGTTGCATCAGAGAATCAAAGACGTAAAAATTTTTTAACCACATTAGGTTTTAGGAATACTTCTATATAGTACTTTTTACCAGCCTGAAAACTCATCCACTCACTACTGGGCCTGTATCTGGATTTCTTATTTTATATTTAAATCTCGACATCATTTACAGGCAAGTAGTTTCAATTATCTGCAATACTGAATAGTCTTTGGTTTTGTCATTCCTTTCATCGCTTACACCTGTATTAATTTGACCTAATAAAATTAGAGAGTTATTAAGGACAGTGTGTACATACATGTTTGCCTCAAAACATATCGGAAAATCATGCACACACATGAAGTAAGACCCTTGTCTAGATATACAGTATTTCTGTGGCAAGTTGTCGACTTTTGTGGTAATATCACTGTGATAAAAGTAACACAAAATGTATTTTTATAATTTACAAATTATCATTGTTTTGTGAATCCATTCTATTTTTTTTTTTCAAAAACATGTTTTTTAAATCTCTCTATTACTGAGTTTAGTTAAATCATTTTGTACCATTTACATGTTGTTTGCTGCAGTGAACAGATGTATCACTCCCAGAAACTGAAATATGAAGTATAATTTTTTTATTGTTTAATTTCTTGGTTTAAGATAAAAATGAAGATTTTTTTGTGTGTGATTCAATTATTTCTGTTTGGATCAGTTAATTCAACAGAATATTTTATTTGTTCTTTATACTGTGATTTAAAAAGATACCCAGACTCACCGCTTCATTCAAAAAGATTAAAACAAAGGACAACATCTTTTTTAACATGATGATTTTTTTTAATCATCGAGCTAGGACCATCATAGAGGACTCGACCAACATTAAGTTATCTCCCAAACAGGAACAGTGAATATTAAACAGAATGTATTCAACTTTACCCTTTATCTAGCACTTAATGTCAATGTCAATTAAAATAAAAAATACTTTCTAAAATGCCATCTTTGTTTGTATATTAGAAGATTTAATGGGCCTTCCCTGACCCGCTTACTAAAGACCCCTTCATTCTGTCATACTTGCCTTTTTGACATTGTAGTTTTTGCCTTCTAATCTTTGGTGAGGTTAAGAGGAGAATCAACAGGGTAGGGACGTTGGTATTGTTTTATTATGATAAAATCCAAATGTTACTTTACAAACCAGCACGAGGGAAACAGATAGCTGGTCCTTGACAGCAAAAGTTCGAGTGTCCTAATCTGGATCACTCTGATCCACATTTAATCCATTACTTCCCTCAAACATAGTCAAAATGATCATTCACTAATCAATTTAGCTGAATGGTCAGTTTCAGTCATATTCTTTGGATTTTTCTAAGACTTTAGTAATTGGCTATGAATCATGAGTCATGCATATTTTTGTGCCACACAGAAGCTGGTATGTGTGTGCAATTATGAGTTTGTGTGTGTGTGTGAGAGCAGCTCATTGCTGAAGAGGATATTGTTCCAGAGGGAGGAAAGCTAATAGGTTTGTTTGTGAGGATGCTGCACCTGTCGTTTATTGATGGATTGAGCTGTAAATAACCCTGTGAAGATGTTTAGTGCTTGGCGGGGGCTTCTGTGTCTCATTCTCCACTCCTTTTTTTTCTTCTGAAAAATCCTTTTTATATGCACACACCTACACACAGGTGCATATATCATTCCACAGATACTCGATGTATATGCCTTTAGAGTGTCCAGAGCTGAATCATTCGTCGAGATTAAGGAGAACATGATGAGAAAGGGGAATGCTAAATTAAATGACGTGTTCTTCAAAAACACACACATTTGTACATGTAGTCCATGTTTGTACAATGATCCGTCTATGTGTGTGGGTGTGTTGTTGAGTGTGGAAAACCCTCTTTGAGTGTATTTATAGCAGGCCATTGTTGAGCCCATAGAAACCTCTGTAATTGGATCTGGTCTCCCTCACTGAGAGAGTCTGGTGATAAATGAGTTGGCAGACGTCACAGCTCATGCCATCCATGTGATAACTGTACGCCCCACATCTCTGTTTTAAGCTCTTGGACCGGCAGGATTAAATTCATAAGTGGACCGTAAGCTGGATGAATTATCATTCTGGGGGGTGAAAGAGGAAGGGATGGAGGAAACCTGTTGACTCCTTAGACATTTAAAGTCTGTTTTTGTTGTGTCCTTGGCTATAATAAGTTTTATTCAGGGGCCATTAAGACAGTTTGACTGAAGGACATTATACATCAAAGTTAGTAAATCCCAAAATCTGGAGTTTAGGGTGAACAGAGAAAATAAGAAAGAATGGGGGACAAAATTTCTTTGCAACTTTATTTTTATCATTAGGGAAATATAAATATACTTTTTAATGTTGTGTATGTTGAAGTACAAAGAGAGCATAGGCCTACGTTCATGCTATCATAAGCATGAGATGATATTTGAAGAATTTTAAAGCTCTCATGAGGAGTTTTTATCGAGTAAAAAACAGACTGAAATCAAAAGTAATTCCTCTTTTTAACTTACACACACAAAAAAACAACAAAATGAAATTTCTATATTGAAATGTTA